GCACCTTATATTCATGATTGGGAGGCTTTATATATACCATATATATATATTACCATATATGATGATCATCATTCAGCAATCCCTATATTACCATATTCAGTTTCAAATTGAAGATTTTACTTCCGAGCAAGCATGATCGCAAGCACCTTTGATTTCTGGACATGCTACAAAAAGGAGCTGTAAAGCGGTCAGCCAGACAGCTACACTGACACAGCATATCATAATGTGCCTGTTGCATTTGTGAGGCTGCTACTGGTGCCTTGCCAGCTGCAGGTGATGGCCTAATCTTTTCGCCAACCTGACAGCTGTTCCCACCTAGATCCAGAACAATTCAGGAGCAGTTTCTCAACTAGACACACCTGGAGACTATCAGTTCTGGTTTCTCTGTGATTGATCATGCTTTATCCTGGTTTATCTCCTGGTTTATCTCCTGGTTTATCTCCTGGTTTATCTCCTGGTTTATCTCCTGGTTTATCTGTTCAACATCTATGATTTGCTGACGCTTCGCGCTTCGCCTGTTTGCTTTGTCAGATCCCTCTGGCAACTGCCCATCCCCAGGCCCAGGTGGCCCAGTGCCGAAGACGGGACCAGCAGCTCCGACGGCAAAGGCAGCAGCAAAAACAGCAGCTGCGGTGAAGGCGATGCTGGTGGATCAACCAGAAATATGTGGAGAGTGATGGAGATATCATGGTATTTACATGGTATTTACATGGTTATATCATGAACTGTACCTTGTCTGTTTTTTTTTTGGCTTTCAGCAACCTTTCAAACTTTGTCCACACTTATCCAATTGCTGTTTTTGGATGGTTTTGGTAGCGACATCTTGTTTGCAGTTTCTGCGCAGACTGGCGTTGTGTTGCTGACTTGACCAGGCAGTAGCTCCGGAAGAAGAGGAGTACTCAGAGTTTGAGCCTAGGTCAACCTTTGAGACTGGAGGGACTTTATTGATTTTGGTCATATTCTATAGATATCTATAGTAATCTACCCCCAAGTTTTGGGGTGACCATGTTGATTCATATTGCCACAGGCTTCATGGCTTAGGTCTTCAGAATCTTCTTCCTCGGCGATGGAGGCGTCTTTTTTTGGGTCAAGTCACAGCCGCTGGGGATGGATTCTTTTCAGCCTTGGGGATCATAAGAAATCATCATTTTTTTCACTGTAAAAATTGGGCCACTGATGATTAAAAGGTACATGTCTTCACTTTCAAAGTTTTGACCTGACATTTTTTTTTGGAGGCTGATGGAATGAGTGATGATTTCAGTACTCCAACAGAAACTTGTCAACCGAAAAAAAAAAAACCTGGGCTCGGCTGAGGTGCCAGGTGTCGGAGGACTCCGCTATGATGGCCACTGATGGATAGATAGTATGGGGACACGAAACACAATGGGAATATCAGGGGGATACAAAATGATAGTTAAATGATAGTTGGCTTTGTCGAAGAACAGGGTGAATCTTTTTAACCAATGCGTGGGATTTTGGTGGCACATTGTTCGATGAACAATTGGACTTCGGGGTAATTTTGGGCAAATCCAATTGCTTCCACAGACAAGTTCTGGAACGCCGTCCACCCCCGTCCTGCACCTACTAAGTCGAAGTATTTCTGAGTGATGGCATGAACATGATACTGATATTGCTTTAGACATCTCTCCAAAGGAGTATTGGTTCTTGTGATCATCTCTTTTCTCCAGTAGGATTTATCTCCTCCTCTGCTGTGTTTTTAAGCCAAGAGCTATAAGAGTCGATCTCATCAAGACGTGCTACCGAAAGCTCACGCTTGCCCTGTGAGGACCACAGCAAGCCAGCGAGCAAGCGGCTCGACAGGACCGGTGGGACTGGTGATGGAGGGAATCCTATCAGGGAACCTAAGGAACATTTAATCTCTAGACTCTAGATAATTCTAGATATATGATATATCTATGAAAATATACCATGCCATGCCATGCCATACCATACCATACCACAATATGATACCATATCACAGCATATCATACGGCACCATGCCATATCATGCCACACCCCAACATGCGTCCAGCAGTGATGCTGAGGCAGCTGCCAGTCAAGCTGCAGGTGCAGCCGGGGATTGCTGGCTGGACGTACCCCCATGATCTGTTGGTAAACCAGTTGACTATGCAGTCATTTTTAGCCAATTTACCCTCTGGTTATTTAACATAGCCATGGAAAATCACCATTTTTAATAGGTAAACCATCTATTTCTATGGGCCATTTCCCATGGCTATGTTAAATAACCAGATGGTATATATATTGTATATTTCTGAATCGTTCCCCAGAAAAAACCTGTTGGGTTTACCACATGGATTCTCTGAAAATACGGTACCCCCAATGGCCCAAATCCTGGTAGTTCATGACGATGTTCACCATTAACATTGCGCATATTACAATTGCTACATATTCGGGGTAGGCTTTTATTTTCCGGCTTCTGGACCAATCCACATATCATATTGTCAGATATATCCCATGATCTCATATCCCAGTACATCCCATGACATCAGACCCCCATATTTGCTTGGTCAAATCCCCACCATGTATATTTCACCACAACTATTCATACTATTAACGTATATCAATGTAGCATATCGCATGGAATTCACAGATATCTCCCGATGGCTGGTTTCCCGGGGCTGCAGGTGCTGCCTCTTCGTCAGCGCAGGTACTGCAGAATTGGAGTGTGTATTAGTATGTATATCCGTACATCATTAAGATGTACCGATCATGTAATATACACATACACATATAGATCATATTATGTATATAGATGTATGTAGATATGTGATTACCTACATAATTATCTATGGTAAGAATGGGATTCTCTGCCAACCACTTCGCAATGATCTCTACAGAACTCTTCCAGGCCCAGGCTGCTCGACCAGTGCGACCTGCCGTTGGAGCTGCACAGGCTCAGAAAGATGGAAACGTGGGAAGATAGCATTATGCCATTGGCTTAAAGCATGAAGACAAGCGGAGGCTTTGAGATGTCTGTTTTCGCCTCAGCTCGATTTCCGAAGTTTATGCTTTCAAGTGCAAACAGATTCTCAGAGTGCTGGTTCGCTAGACTTTTCTCTGAGATTTTGTATGTCATTGAACAACTGCAGGAGTCCAGAATCAGGCCAATCTATTCTGTTCTGGGCCGTAGATTTGAGGGATGAAGGGCTCATCAGTGCCTTCAATTTTTCTGAATGCAGCGGTAGCAGACAAGACATGGGCATTGAATTATGATCCTGTGGGTGTTCTGAAGGGCACGATTGCCAAGTCCACTGTTCCAAGTTGGAACTGGGACAGGCAGAAAAGCAAAAAGTTCCACCCGTTCCAGCGTCCAGAGCTCAGTTTCATGCCCCTGTTTACTAGATTGAACACGTTTGAAAAGCGCCCTAGTGGGTTTTTGGGCTGTGTGATCGCCTCCACGATCCTCAGTGTTTCAAACATTGAGATGTGTTGCATGTTACCGGCCCAATGGAAATGCAATCATGGAAAAACAAGAAAAAAACAAAGTAAACTAGTAAACAATGTTAAATCTCTATGTTTTCCTTTTCAAGGTTCTACTTTGCTTTTTGGGGGTTGGTATCACTATTTCTTTATGCTGTGGGCTTCCCATGGCATGGTTGGCCATGACCATCGTGGCCCGAGGATTGGAACCCCCAAGCAGCGCCTGGCGTTGGCGCGCGCGATTTGCACCTTAGACCTCCGAGGGGCGCTGAGTGCTGTGGGGGATCTCAGGCTGCGACAACGGGGAAAGCATGGGAAAACTAGGGGAAATTGTAATCACTGGGGATTTGTCTGGCCGTTTTCATGGGGAAACTTTCTGTATGACCAAACTTTTGGGACTGATTTTGGGGAAACTTTGAGACCCATTTTCTATTTGAGAATCGCAGCTTGTCCACGTAGATTCGTGACAGACTGGTACCATGTTTTCGGATTTTGGGTTGCTGATAGCCTGTCTTGATCACATAGCCGGCACTTGGAGTTCAGGATGGCTCAACAATTTGATACATCTGTCATCATCTGTCCAAAAATGGATGGTTGAACGATGACTTAAGGATGACCTACTGGGCCCCAGTATGTTTTGGGTAAATTGGAACCCCATTCTTGATGGTTTTTGAGCCCTGGCTGCACGTTGAATCCCGAAATGGTGCTGACTTCGGAAGGTGAAGACAGCAGCAACCGAAGCCCATGTGCTTGGAAAGGCTGCCGGGGTTTGCTGTAGCCAGGGTACATCTAAAGTGCGTGTATTTTAGACAAATCAGCTTATGTTGTTGATGATTGGGGAGGATTTTTCTTATAATTATCAACACATATTATGAAAGGGAACCAGGAATTAGACAACCCACAACTGTCCGATAGTAAACCATTTGTCGATTCAATTCTTGGCCGAGTCTTGCAGCTGAGATTTTTTCAAGTCCTTCGCTGTCAATCTAGGTGTATTATCCGCAGGAGATACTTAAAGAAAAGAGGGAGAGTATTACTGGGGGGTTCCACAAATGAGGGATCCCCAAAATGGATGGTTTATAATAGACAATCCTATGAAAATGGATAGTTTGGGGGTACCCCCGTTTTAGGAAACCCTCATATGAGTAGTTTCTGAAAGCATACAGCCAACTCGAATTGATTCGAATGGTGCATGTGGCTGCTGCTTGTGTGAAATTGCTTACGGTTTTGATTTGGATGATCCGACTATCATCAATGCCACAGTCAAGCGCAAGCAACTAAGAGAATGGGTTGGTCTATATGCTTGCAATCAACCGTGACCTGTGACTTTTTTTGCCCTCCTTGCCAACGTTTTTGTTGCCCGCCCTATCCGCCGGCCCCTCGCCAAGTGTTTAGAAACCGTGTTCTTGGAATTGAATCAAAGTGGAGAATGCATGTTGAACATGCAATCTCAACTGAACATCTAGGTCGACTAGGTATTTTTTGAATCCAACCTTCAAGGATTGGAGAATCAACTGGACATCAGCACTGCTGGCTTCCACCGACCCGTCGCGCGAACGATGGTGCCCTTGCTGCCTGTGGGCGGCTATAGCTACGGATTTTCCAGCCTTGGATCATCCGAAGCTTCATGGAGGCGACCATGACGTTGGGACCCGATCCCCTGACAGAATCTGAAAACATCTGCAACATGTGGTAAAAGTGGGTTTGGAAGGCGAAGACGTGAGAACTTCAAGTCAAGATACTTAAATGGGCTTGGCACCCGAAAGAACCTTCCCCAACCCCCACCAGGTCCCAAGCTCCCTGTCTCTTCAGTGGGTTTGCAGGACGCAGAATTTCGATGATGCCAGCAGGACAGGGGCCAGAGTTAGAAAGGTATCCATTGAAGCTTGACCTTCAAAGATAAGAAATGTGGTAAGCCCAATAATGAGCAATCCCCAGTCCTGAAATGGGTGGATTGGTGGGTTTACCATGGTTGCCGCATGATTAAGTGCCACTTGATATCAAGTGAGACAAGATTCACAGCCATGGGAGGGGAGATCCAAGCAGTTGCCTTCAGGCGTCGGCAAGCAGTGAAGACCATTTGCGAACGCTTGACCTCGCGCTTGGGCTTCCAGAAGCAGAGTATGCTGAATCAGGAGGAGCACATTGAGGTGGGATGGCATGGCCAGCTGGTGGGACCACAGAATCATCTGGGTGTAGATTATATATTATAATATATTATATATATAATATATATATATACAGGATTGCATTGGTTTTCTCTTTCAGGCAGTTGGCAAGCGCCTGGATGTGTGTATGTCACTAACTCCAAATCCATATCCATTAGTAGATCATTCTCCAACATGATTTGTGTGGGTGGATTTTGGGCGTAGCGCTGGACACGCGACCCGGGAACAGAGGCACGAATGACCCTTGGCCGCCCTCACTAGCCGAAGATATTTTTTTTGCTGCTACAGCAAGCAGCCAACAATTTTTTGGTGCACTTACTGTAATATCTATTATAAATTTCAAGGTATCCCCAATAAATCAAGGTCTCAATGTGCGCCCAAGGTCCCATTAGATTTCCGCCGGAGGCGTTGTGGGAGTCCTTCTTGCGCCGCTACGAAGATCCCAAGCAAGCCATGGAGGTGCCGAAGCTGCAATGATACGAGACCTGGAAAGCATGGCTTGGATGAACTGGACATTTACCTATCAACCCCCAAAATGGATGGTTCAATAAACAGATATGTATATATAATTACGTAAACAGATATATATATATATATATGTATATATATATATGTATATATATATATACACGTAATCATACATAATATATATATATTATGTTATACATATTATATATATAATATATATATATTATGTTATACATATTATATATTATATATTATATATTATATATTATATTTTATTTATTATATATTATGTTATATATATATTATATTTTATTATATATATATATTATATTATATTATATATATTAAATTAAATATATTATATGTATATATACATATATAATAATAATAAATATATATATATATATTACATTATATAATTATATATATATATATTATAATATATAATATAATATAATATAATTATACATATATTATAATATATAATATACTATATATAAAATATTATTATATTATATTATATGTATTATATATATTATATATGTTATAATATATATAGAATACGTATAAAATGTATATATATATACACATACCGTATTATATTATATATATACATATTATACCTATATTATATATATATATATTATATTTTTCCCCCAAATCGACAATTTTCTTGAAGATTTCTGGGTCCATTGGTACTTTCTGTTTTGTTTGGTCCGTCGCCGAGGCATTGTCGGGACAGTTGCTGGCCACACAACGCTCTTGGCGCGAAAAAGTCTGGATGACATTTCTGAAGCCCCACGTCCCCGTGGAGCAGGTCCGGTGTGCTCTAAACCGGAAGGGGGGTTTGCGTGGTTTGATATGGTTTGACACTAACATGACGTGGGTCCATTGGCATCTCATTTTTGACCATGTTTGAGCCATACCCAAATGAAATGACACAAAAAGGAGGTGATAGGTCCAGCTATTGGATATGGTATACCTCCTCATGAAGATCTCTTGGCCATGCTTGGAAATTGTCTTGAACATCAACTGCGAGCAGCCGTAAGAAGTGCTCTAGATGACATTTGCCCCTTCTTGGGATCAACGAACAGGTGTCGCATCCTCTTCGCGATGTTTGCCTGTGACTTGGCAGGAAGTTCACTTAAACAGACTGCCCCTGTGTGTCAATCGCACTGTTACCTGTCCATTTCGCGCGTCTCTGCGCTTCTGCCACCACTATGCATTTTGCCGAACCTAACAAATGGGAAATTGTATCATGGAATTGGATGATGGGAAAATTTACAGGAAAGCCCTATATTTGATGGTAAAAACCATGGTTTCCTGTAGATTTTCCCTTAAACCAATCCAGTGATTCTCAGGTTCTGGTTGATTTGGGGCGAACTTGGAAACCTCCGCTTCTGCCCAGAGTTGCTCTGCCGCTGGGATGCAGCACAACAATCCATCATTCGATATCTATCCATGATATCACAGTTCTAGCTATAGTACAATAATATGTATATATATATATACATATGTACATACATAACACACACACACATATATATATATATACATAACATATATATATATATATATATGCTACCCCCAAAAGTCTACCTTTGTGTTTTTTTTGGTTTTCTTTCAGGTGTAGATATATGAGGAGACATGGTATGTGATCCAAGTCCAATGTTTCAGTGAATTGTAGGAAAGGATATAGTCTTAGTTCTTAGTTTTAAATCTAAGATTCCCCAAAGACTCCTGAGCAAATCTTAGATCTTAGATTAGGGAAAGAATGCATTCTGAACCCTTTCCTCTGGAAATGCATCCATCTTGGGTTTCCCTTAAGTAGATGGGATTGATTTAACTGCCATGAAAAGTTTCAACTTTGGGTCTTTTCCCCAAGCCTGAAAAATCAATGAATATACTGTGCCAAAGCAATGAATTTTCTTGAAGGAACGCCCCACCATGTTTCAGGAATGTATCACTCTTGTCAATGTAACATTGCAAAAAAAGTAATGCTACACTACAACTCTTTTCGAAATATATTATTGTTTCCAGTGAATACTGCATAGACTAAGAGAGCTTTCTTATTGAAGTAATGCTGTGCCCTTTCAAGTCACTTTTCTTCAGTAGGGGGCACTGTCAATCTACAGAGGTAGCATTTGTGAGTTTTTTGTTTAAGCAAAGACGGCTCATATTTGTTCATTTCAAGTATACACAATTATATACTGTCAAAAAAAGAGCACAAGGTAGCAGTACTTGTGCCACAAGGTAGCAGTACTTGTGCCACATGCGCAGCATTGTCTTTTAAACATCCAACTCGTTTTCCAACAAATATAGTGTCACTTAGAGAAAAACATGTATGTTCTTCAAAGTAATGGCTACATGTCTGAGGATAGTCTTATTATTTGAATAGATTCTGCATTTGATTAAAAGATGCCTTCTATGTTGCAGTGGCTTTTTGTGCAACTTGTTTCTTCCTTCCAGAAGTATTGTACCTAGTATGTTCTGAAATGGGTCTGTGAACAAAGGAATGCATATTTACATGTTGGTAAAACACTACCTGATCGAAATGAAGAGATATATTTTCAAGAGAAGTGGCTTTCTGCAAAGGAATGCTACCTATTGAAAAGGAATACTCTTTTTGAGGAATGCTACACCCTTTGAATGAACGTGTCTGTTTGTAAAGCCTGCTCTTGTCAAATGGAACTGGTTCTTCAAGAGAAGGATGCATGTTTGATCATCTTTTGTAGTCATTTACAGTGTTTCCACTGCCTTTTTCAGGTTTGGGGAAAAGACCCAAAGTTGAATGATCTTTTTCATGTGGGTTGAATCACTACTTAAGGGATAGTGCCGTAACTGCATTACCCCGTTTCATTGGCTTCAGCTGGTTTTGTTTTGGATTGAAGATTGAAGATTGAAGATTGAAGGTCCAGAAAAAACTTCTTCAATCCAGAGTCCTGGATTGAAGAAGTTTTTTCCCAGCCTTCAATCTTCAATCTTCAGTCCTAGACTCAAGAGCCGTTTGCAAACGTTTGCAAACGCACTGGGAGAAAAATTCCCCTAAGTACATGGAAGTATATGTATATATATATGTACTGGATTCAAGATGTCAAAGTCAATATGTATATACATATATATAATTATATATATATGATTATATATATAATTATATATATATATATATTTCACCCCCTTGGAACCCAACAATGAACCACTGTTTATCTCGAAATTTGCCTCAACAAAATAGCACTAAAAATGTTGACAAAACACTGTAAATAGCAGTAAAAACAAAGAAAAGGTAGTTTTTTTTTTTTTTGGGGGGGGGTACCCTATATACATCCATACATACATGCATGCATGCATGCAGGCAGGCAGGCAGACAGACAGACATACAGACAGACAGACATACAGACAGACAGACATACATACATACATAACATAAAATAACATAACATAACATAACATATGAATATATATATATATTTATACATACAAACTCCCCACCTGCCAGGTGAGGGTTGTTAGATTTTATCAGAGCTGTTGTCCTCCTCCTCCTTCTCCTCCTCCTCCGCCTCCTCCTCCAGTTTCTCCTCGACCATGTCTGCATCAACTTCCACCTCCACTTCCGCCTTGCCAACTCTTCGCCAAGCTCTTCGCCAACTTCCGAGCTCAGTGCGCGCTGCTGGACCTCAACCTGGGACCTTCCCAGCTCAGTGCGCACTGCTGGACCTCAACCTGGGACCTTCCCAGCTCAATGCGCACCGCTGGACCTCAACCTGGGACCTTCCCAGCTCAGTGCGCACCGCTGGACCTCAACCTGGGACCTTCCCAGCTCAGTGCGCACCGCTAGACCTCAACCTGGGACCTTCCCAGCTCAGTGCGCACCGCTGGACCTCAACGGCCAGATAGAATGCCAGAAGATATGCCAGATAGAATGCCAGATATCATATCAGATAGATTGCCAGATAGAATGCCAGATAAAATGCCAGAAGATATGCCAGATAGAATGCCAGAAGATATGCCAGATAGAATGCCAGATGGTATGTCAGATTTAGTGCCAGAATGTTTGCCAGATAGAACGCCAGAAGATTTGCCAGATAGAATGCCAGATAGAATGTCAGAAGATATGCCAGAAGATATGCCAGAAGATATGCCAGAAGATATGCCAGGTAGAATGCCAGAAGATGTGCCAGATAGAATGCCAGAAGATATGCCAGATAAAATGCCAGAAGATATGTCAGTTAGAATGCCAGAAGATTTGCCAGTAACAAAACGTATAGATGTCATGGTGGGGATAACTCGAAGTAAAGAAATTTATATACATTAATCTAAGCGTGGGGGGTTGAGAACCATTTCACAAGGATTTCCCCCCATTTTGGGCCCCGTGGCCAAGGCTTCCTCTTCACCGCTGCCTGCGAACTCTGCGACAGCTCTAGCGAAGCTCCATTGGTTGAAGCGGCAGAAGGCAGCTTCTTGGACGAGGTACTGCAGGGATCCCAGGACATGGAACAAATGCTGGTGACATCTGGCCCTGCTTTAAGGCATAAATTGTAGATCTTTTGAGTCTTGAGTTTGAACCGAGAGTTATTCCTTCATTTTCTTCAATGGGCTTGGCCCAACCCCAGCCCTGTTTGGGGCCCCAAACAGGTGGTGAAACCCGCCTACGGGGTGATGGTCACGGAGACCTTTGAGCTTCGGCCCAACGGCGTTCCGGCCTTCAAGTTTGGCAAGGCGCCGGCGCCGGCGCGGGCGGGCAACTACGATGACTGGAACGAGCCACTTGGAGGACGACTAAGCCACGACTGGGGGCTGGAACGATGCAGCTGGTGTGGATGTTTTTGGGTGGAAATGCAGCTGGTTTCCCATCAGGGGGACCCTCTGGTAATTGAAGAGTAATATGTAGAGTAATATATAGAATGATTCTCCATATGAGATATATTACCAGAGGGGGATGTAAATGTGTAATGAGGTATAGTAAAGCCTATCATTTTTACCATCACCAATTTTGGTTTATCGTTTTTTCCCTGGGCTTCAAGTTAAAGTTACCCACAAATGGTTGGTCCATGGAACATCACCACTTTTAATAGGTAAATCATCGCATGTAACGAGCCATTTTCCATAGCTGTGCGAAATTGCGGGAGGGTATACGGGTTAAATATACAGCATGCATTTGTAATATGTATGTGCACAGTCACAATATCTATCTAGTTATTCATTTTTTTGGGACACCCAATGAAGTATTGGCTTGAGATTATATTTACTATACTCCTTCATTTTTCTGTTGCACTCATTCGTTTTTGGTGATGCACCTAATAGTCGGGAGACATTGTGTGCATATATACGTATATATATATATACATAAATAAATAGATAAACAAACAAATAAGTAAATACATAAATAATGTATATATACACGCTGTATATGATTGACTATGTGTATACATGTTTGTGTTGGTTCCAGAGTAGGCGGCCAGCTGAAGGGGAAGCTGTTGGAGGTGCTGATGCCCTTGGGCACCCGGATTTGGGTGCAGTTCCAGCTGGTAGATAGATAATGATAGATACAACCATAGTTTATAGAGTTTATAGGACCTCATATCTCAACATCTGGTGGTTGCTTCCATGGGTCTTATCCACTAATAACTCCAACTGCACTTTCCAGCAATTAACCATGGCAATGGAACATCTCCAATTTGTAGGGATCATGGATTTTCCATGTTTCAATACCAAAAGGTACTTGTTTTGGGGCCAAAGTCGCACATCGACCTCCAAGCCAAGGCTGTTCTGGGACCCCTGGCGCTTAAAGCATGCACTGAAGATCAAGACGCTGGGCTGTGGCATTGTCCCGGTCTCCCTGTGGCCCTCAGGGAGCTCCGAAAAATGGGGATGGATCAAAGCCCTTTGTTTTTCCATCGATTTGCCACCAATTTTTTGGGGTCCAGGGTCCCAGGATTTTGACGTATAGCCCTGTAGCGCTCAGGACACCGCGCCCTGGTGTCCAGCGCTTTGTGGATGCCTGCCAAGACTCAGCAGACGTGTGGAGGAAACTGCGAGAGTTGGATTGGGAGCATTCTTTGAGGAAACACAAGACGCACCTGGAGTCTCTTGGTACAGATGAAGCCTGAATTTTCATTGGAAACTCCATGAAACTCCCAGTGAACATGATGTAAACATCCGTGAACAGTTTCCTGGAAACTCCTACGTAGGTTTCCCTTCTGGTCACTTAGCAAAGGTTTTAAGATTACCCAATTTTAAGTAGGACAACACCCCAGTTATGATTTGGTTACTAGTCGCATGGTGTACCTACTTGGGGGATCCCTAAATCCAGTGAAATGGCCAACTAATCTAAATACATAGAGGTATATAATGGTATGCGTATATATATAATATATATATATATTATGTAATGTATGTATGTGTGGTAATGTAACGTAATGTAACGTAACGTAACGGATCGTAGTATAATGTATGTATGTATGGTCTCGTGTTCCGTGTTCCTACCCTCTCCCACCCTCCCAATGGTATGGGTCCCCAGGTAGCACCCCTTCCCTTCAATTTGCAAGCTATTGGCAGCATTTCTGAGGTCCAGCCTCGTATTTGCTAGGTCTTTGCAGCATTTCTGACTACCAGCCTCGCATTTACTAGGTACATACTACCTTTTAGACGATCTACGTAGCACACATACTCCCTCAAAGTACCTACGTATAGTCATATATACATGCGCCATGTACAGTATCTACTTCCTATTTGCTACCTGTGTACTCTCACAACACCACATGTGTTTAACATATACCGTACCTACCATACATTCCAATGATACCATACCCATACCTATCATGCATACCACACATACCATACATATGAAACATCATTACCACACCTCCCATACATACAATACCAAACATACATGCCATACATACCATACCTACCTTACAAAGCAACATTCCATACCCATCATAGTAACCATACATACCATACAGACCATACATACTGTCATATCAATCATACCATACCCAACAGACTTGCAACAAGTGCCACGCCTGCCACGCCAAACGCAGGTAGACGTCTCTAAGTGCCACGCCTGCCACGTGAAACGAAGGTAGATGTCTCCAAGTGCCATGCCTGCCACGAAGGTGCATGTCACCAAGTGCCACGTGTGACAAATTGTGTTAAAGATGGCGTGTGACAAAGTGGTGTGTGTGACAAACTTATGTGTGAAAGATGGTGTGTGACAAAGTTGTGTGTGGAAGATGGTGTGTGAGAAAGATGTGTGTGAAAGATGGTGTGTGACAAAGTTGTGTGTGGAAGATGGTGTGTGAGAAAGATGTGTGTGAAAGATGGTGTGTGACAAAGTTGTGTGTGACAAAGACAGGCGGCGGAGGAGGAGGAGAAGGAGGAGGAGGAGGAGCGGGGTGGTACAGAATCAAAAGCAAGACCCCCACACAAAGATGTGGGGAAATAAACACGTCCAAAAGAAGCCTAAACCAGTGCGTTTTGAAACCTAGCCCCAATGTAATGTAATGCAATGTAATGCAATGCAAAGCAATGCAATATAATGTAAAGCAATGTAATGTAATGTATGTATGTATGTAATGTAATGTAATGTAATGTAATGTAATGTAATGCAATGCAATGTAATGTAATGTAATGTATGTAATGTAATGTAATGTAATGTAATGTAATGTAACGTAATGTAATGTAATGTAATGTAATGTAATGTATGTATGTAATGTAATGTATGTATGTATTGTAATGTATGTATGTATTGTAATGTATGTATTGTAATGTATGTATTGTAATGTATGTATGTATGTATGTATGTATGTATGTATGTATGTATGTATGTAATGTATGTATGTATGTATGTATGTATGTATGTATGTATGTATGTATGTATGTATGTATGTATGTATGTATGTATGTATGTATGTATGTATGTATGTATGTATGTATGGTAATGTATGTATGTATGGTAATGTATGTATGTATGGTAATGTATGTATGTATGGTAATGTATGTATGTATGGTAATGTATGTATGTATGGTAATGTATGTATGTATGGTAATGTATGTATGTATGGTAATGTATGTATGTATGGTAATGTATGTATGTATGGTAATGTATGTATGTATGGTAATGTATGTATGTATGGTTATGTATGTATGTATGGTTATGTATGTATGTATGGTTATGTATGTATGTATGGTTATGTATGTATGTATGGTAATGTATGTATGTATGGTTATGTATGTATGTATGGTTATGTATGTATGTATGGTTATGTATGTATGTATGGTTATGTATGTATGTATGGTTATGTATGTATGTATGGTTATGTATGTATGTATGGTTATGTATGTATGTATGGTATGTATGTATGTATGTATGGTATGTATGTATGTATGGTATGTATGTATGTATGTAATGTATGTAATGTATGTAATGTATGTAATGTATGTAATGTATGTATGTATGTAATGTATGTAATGTATGTATGTATGTATGTATGTATGCATGCATGCATGCATGCATGCATGCATGTATGCATGTATGTATGTATGTATGTATGTATGTAGTGTAATGTAATGTCATGTAATGCAATGTAGTGTAATGTAATGTATGTAATGCAATGTAATGTAATATATATTTTTGTTTTGTATTGTATCGTATTGTAATGTAATGTAATGTAATGCAATGTAATGTATGTATGTTTGCTGTGAATGTAATGTATGTATGTATGAATGGGTGTATGGATGTATGGATGTATTGCATGTAATGCATGTAATGCGTGTAATGCGTGTAATGCGTGTAATGCATGTAATGCACGTAATGCATGTAATGCATGTAATGCGTTTAATGAATGTAATGCATGTAATGCGTGTAATGAATGTAATGCATGTAATGCATGTAATGGATGTAATGTATGGTAATGTGATGTAATGTTATGTAATGTTATGTAATGTTGTGTTATGTAATGTCATGTAATGTTATGTAATGTAATGTTATGTAATGTCATGTCATGTAATGTAATGTTATGTTATGTTTTGTGATGTTACGTGATGTTATGTGATGTTATGTTCTGTGATGTGATGTTTTGTGATGTTATGTTATGTTATGTGATGTAGTGTAGTGTAGTGTAGTGAATTGTAATGTATGTATGTATGTATGTATGTATGTATGTAATGTATGTATGTATGTATGTATGTATGTACGTACGTACGTACGTACGTATGTATGTATATATATATATGTATATATATATGTATGTATTTACATGTATGTATATATATATATACATGCCTATATATATATGTATATATATATACACATGCCTATATATATGAATATGTACATCTATGCACGTATATATGTATGTATGTTTTTTTGGTATATGTATACATATATATATATGTATGTATATATATATATAGATTTGTATATATATATATATAGTGATCCTAAAGTAGATAGAATATTTTTTTGGAGGGTGCGGGATTTATGTTGGAATTATGTTGGATGTTGGCCACTTTAAAAGAACTGGTAGTTGGAATATCTCGACCCCCCCCCGGGGAGGTCGAAAACTGGTTGTTCGAATATGGTTTGGAGGGGTAGATCGAATATTTTTTGTTCAAAATGGCCCAGTCACTCCAAGATATCACACAATTAGCCGTACAAGAAAGTCAGACTACATAGAATGTGCCGAAATTCAATTCCCTCTGTTTTTCAATATTTTTTCTCCAGACCTATGTCCAAATTGGCAAAAAACGACTTTGACATGGACGAAAAACGTGTAAAACTGAGGGTTTTGAAAATATTCCAACTATTTGTTTATTTTTTAAAAATCAGTTTTGAAAATGTCCGATATTCTATCTACTCCAGGACGACTATATATATATATGTATATGTAAATATATGTTTATGCAGATATGTATATATATATGTATATGTGTGTATATATATATACACTTCATTTCTGGACAAGCCCACCTGCACACCTCACACCAAAGAGAACTTATCGAAAGGTCTAAGACAAGGACAGGCTTGATTATTCAAGCTTGATCCTTCAGTCTCCCCGAAAAACTTGCAGTGGTTACCATGAAACTTCGAGCCAAGTGGGTAGGTCTGTTTGGAAATAGGTACCCTCGAATTTTGATAGTTGAGAAGAAACCCCTCTTTTTTTTTTCCAGGAAAACGGAGGTATGTCGGGGATCTCCCATTCTTGGACGCACCGGCACACCCACATTGCAGAACTCCCATGGGTGGCCGAACCTGTAAGGTTTCATTCGCACTTTCCGCTCCTGATCGGATCCTTAGCTGGCAAGTTGCAGATGGTTCTCCTATGGTCGAAAATGGTCTTTATCTACTCTTTAAATTAAGCGCTGATGCTAAATTGCTTGGTTCAAGTCCCAACATCCCAAGAAATCTGAGGCAACCTCTATTTATTGGGTCTTCAAGATTTCCAAGTCGAGCTGCCATGGCAATTCGCTGAGGCAATTACCGCATCTTTCTTCTGCACTCTGTGTTCTTGTGCACCATGGTGGTCTTCTGGGTGCAGCGTTTAGGACGTTTAGAGGGCCTGGGTGCACGACTCTGGCGAGACTATGGCTGGTTGTTTCAGGCGATGGAAGCTGCGTAGCCGTTTGGTGCTGGGTGAACAATATTAAGCAATACCAGTAGTACCGCACAAGCCGAGGGCGGAAGTTTCAAAAATAGGAACCTATAGGAGAGGTTGGTTGGTGTGAATCACGGATGGCAGAGCGAATCCACTGATGGACCGAAAGGTGGTTGAGGTCTCCTCTCTTTCTCTCTCTTTCTCTGACTACCTACCTACCTATCTATCTGTCTGTCTATCTATCTATCGATCGATCTATCTATCTATTTATCTATCTATCTATCTACCTATCCCTCTCTCTCTATACCTATCTATCTATCTACCTATCTAGCTACCTACCTACCTACCTCGCTCTCTCTCTCTCTCTCTATCTATCTCTCTATCTATCTCTCTATTTATCTATCTCTCTATCTATCTATCTCTCTATCTATCTCTCTACCTATCTCTCTATCTATCTCTCTATCTATCTCTCTATCTATCTCTCTATCTATCTCTCTTTCTATCTCTCTATCTATCTCTCTATCTATCTCTCTATCTCTCTATCTCTCTATCTCTCTATCTCTCTACCTCTCTATCTCTCTATCTCTCTATCTCTCTATCTCTCTATCTATCTATCTATCTATGTATCTATCTATCTATGTATCTATCTATCTATCTACCTATCTATCTATCTATCTATCTATCTATCTAATCTCTCTATCTCTCTATCTCTCTCTATCTATCTCTCTATCTATCTCTCTATCTGTCTCTCTATCTGTCTCTCTATCTGTCTCTCTATCTATCTCTCTCTCTCTCTATCTCTCTACCTCTCTATCTCTCTATCTCTCTATCTCTCTATCTCTCTATCTATCTATCTATCTATGTATCTATCTATCTATGTATCTATCTATCTATCTACCTATCTATCTATCTATCTATCCATCTATCCATCTATCCATCTATCCATCTATCCATCTATCCATCTATCCGTCTATCCGTCTATCCGTCTATCCGCCTATCCATCTATCCATCTATTCATCTATCCATCTATCCACCCATCAATCCATCCATCTACCTATCTCTCTATTTCTCTACCTCCCTATCTCTCTATCTCTCTGTCTCTCTGTCTGTCTGTCTGTCTGTCTGTCTCTGTCTATCTATGTATTTGCAAGCTTTAAAACGAAGCTATCCTGCGAGACTTCTCAGTTTTTGAACTTGACAACATAAAAAACGCAGCAATTCAGCGAGACGTCCTCAATTTTTGCACTTGAAAACAATTCTGCGAGACTTCCTCATTTTTCGAAGTTGACAACATCAAAACGAAACAATTGTGCGAGACTTCCTTCAAAAATGGAAAGTTGAGTGCAGAGCTGACGGCCTCGTACCAATGCGTTTTACGATTTTTCCACTCCACCTGTCTAAAGTACTGCACCTGCCACGAAAAAGTGATGCCAGGTCATGAGAAGTGCTGCACTTGTCACGCAAAATCATCTCAGCAAAACTGAAGATTTGATGCTCCAAAATGCAACCCCTCTCAGGAAATCAGCGCCCTGACCTCCTAACCTCTCTGATGAACATGTGTCTTGTACTGCACCTGCCACGGAAAATGCATCTTTAATTGCAGATCTTCTTCAAATGTCCCACGCCTGCCATCGTTTTTGGAAATGCTACAAAACCTTCACGTTTTGCCCGTTTTTGACAAGGTGCACAATCCCTTGCCGCCTGCCACGCGAAACGACATCTGAACCTCCAAAAAGTGGTCCGTACATGGTGTGTTTTGTACATTTTGACTTCGAAATGTGCTTCGCGCCACAACGGTGTGCACTTTTTCGACGTCTCAACTTCCAAAAATGGTCCGAGCACGGTGTGGTTTGCACACTTTGACTTCGAAATGTGCTTCGCGCCACAACGGCGTGCACTTTTTTCGACATCGCAACTTTGAAAAGTGGTCCGAACGTGCGGTGTTTTTAACATTTTGACTTCGAAATGTGCTTCGCGCCACAACGGCGTGCACTTTTTCGACATCTCAACTTCCAACAGTGGTCCGAACCTGGTGTGTTTTGTACATTTTGACTTCGAAACGTGCTTCGCGCCACAACGGCGTGCAATTTTTCATCTCTCATCTGGCCAGCTGGCTCCGCACCCGCCGCTTTAGCGAGCCTACTTTTCGCCCCTCCGGAGCGACAAATCATTGGAAAAACACAGTGTTTCGCGACTTTCCCACCTTTTCGCGCACCTGGATCTTCTTTCTTCTGAGACTTTCTCTTTTGTGATCTTCTTTCTTCTTCTCTTCTCTTCTACGACTCTTCCCATTGCTGCTTTCATCTGTCCATATTGTCGGAAACTTGACTTCTGAACTTCCTTCGATTAAGTATATATATATATTAAACCACAAAGCATACCTAGAAACCTGGGCCTATTTTTTGAACATTGGGTTTACCACTTAGTACCTTCCTGACCTGTGCAAGTTTTTTTTTTGCCTTGTCGCTGTTTATAGTTGGTCAGACGTTCAACAACGCCCCAGGCAAGCTTGGGCCTGGTTGCTCCCGCATGGATGTTGCTCTTTCAGATCGGCTTTCAGGCCGGTGGCTGGAGGTCATTGATGGCAGGATATCGCTCTGGTGTTTGCTGGATGATTTTCTATTGCTGGATGTTCTCCCACGTATTCAGTGTTCAACTTTCAAACTTGGAAATATAAATGGAAGGGTACATGCCATCAAGTCTCTTAGTTACTGTAGTCTGAGCCGGCTGCACCGTTTTGAGGATTGCCATAGTACGGGGCCGAAGAATTGACTTTTCAACTCTGACATCAACACGGTTGAAACGAAACTGTACTTTTCTGATCACTGTGGATGATTTTGGTACATTCATGGAAAAAATCCAAGAATAAGGCAACATCCAATTTGTGCTCATCAGCATGTGGAACATGATTTTCCATCAACCATCATCAACCATCAACATCTTTTCTTTCCCTCCCAAAATCAGACGCACCCATATAAAAAAGGTTGTAACATGTCGAACGATTGCACAGAAAAGACTCTTTGATCAACAAAAACCAATCGTTTTCAATAACCCCTATCTAAATTATGTAACCCCTATAAACACGCAGTTGACACGTCTCAAGGCGATGACTCCCAGCTTGGCCAAGCGCAACCGCTTGAGAGGCTTAGTGCAGAAGCTCGGTTAATGTATATAATGTCTATGATGTGTCAATGTATAGATATAAATGTATACATGTATCCACAATATAGTATTATATATGTATATATTTTGTATGATATATATATATATATACACATGGCTATAATACTTCACATATACAATTGGTTGTGAAGCCCTTACAAAGTGGCTCCGGCACATCCACATATACTTGATTAACGACGCCATCTTGACGCCTTGCTAGGCTCTTGTGTGTGGATTTCTTGCCGGTCATCTCTTTTGCCGCTTTGCTGTGGCAGCATCATCTACCCGACGGTGGGGCATAGTGCAGAATCCGCAGTTCTTTGTTGGAGCACACGGATTTTGTTCACCAATAAGCACTGGGTTGTCGATTGTCAGGTGTATCGACCCGATTCCGCTACATCCCGTTTGTGCTGCTCGCCTGCAAGTGGTGAAGAACTGTTCAGCAGATGCCACACGGCAATGCTGGTGGCGCACATGAGACTATGGTGACTATGGCTTCTTGACGGAGCGACAGATTCAAGGTAATGTCATATACAATGTCGCTACTCTGCTTATTTTATCATTCGCCAACTCAGTCTTCTTTTTTGAGTCAATATTCCTTTCAGATTGCCTTGGATCAATCTGTAGCCCATCCCCAGATGATGCAAAAATCGAGGAAAGTTCCGACCTTCGATGTGCTCTTGGTCACGCATGTCTTCTTTTCGGTCTTCACCTTGGTTGTATCGCTGGGCCCACGCCCCGACAACCTCTACCGTTGGAAATTTTATCCTGCCATGTCTCGTCCGGACATTTGGTGGACATGGTTGGTATGTCTGCAAATGGCGGATTTACCTCCAATTTATGAATATTTATGATCATTTCTTTGGGACCATGACAAAATAGCATCAAACTATGGAAATTGGCAGTCTATTTTCGACTCCACTGAAAGATTGATTCTGTTCATTCGCTCCTGTCAGTGAATGTAACACCCGTCTGACTGGACTAAGCCAATGCCTCTGGATTTCAGGATTTCAAAGAAGGGCAGGATCTTGGATAACTTAGGATAGGTCGAAACCAAGTACCATATTTCGTCGGACATCCAGCTATACCAGCTATTTCTGCTAGTTTCATGTTCGAAAATGTACAAGAGTCTCGATCCAGAACCAGTTTTTTTTTTTTATGGACAAGTGTTGTGACACTCAAAACATGGCGACTCAAGGATTGTATTCCAAGTGGGGCTTTCTGGCTCTTCACCGTGGCGTTGTGGTCCATTTTCGCTTCAAGTGGGACATGGTATTGTGGCCAGGCACTACTGAGGAGCCAGATCCAACAGCTCAACAGTCCGGTTTAGGCAACATATCAGGTGGGAAAGATCAGACCGGTTGGTTGATAGGGATTCCCCTGATTGCGACAATCCCCAATATGTTGGTTAGTATAATCCTCCACGATCATCAACCAAACATCATTTATCACAAAAAATCACTTATATTCCCATTATTTTGTTGGTAAAAACAGGGGCTCAGACTTGCCAATTCCAGTGGGGACCAGGATTTGGGACGTCTATGACTCCTTGTCCTTGCCTTTGCCTTACCTTCTTGCGGTGCTGACGATCTTGGTGATTGTGCCGACCCTTTTAGCCTCTTGAGCTGAAGAAATCTCAGCCACGGTGTTTTTCCATCCTAAGTAATCCCATTGGACTGATACGGGTCTGAAAATGGCGGATACCTTCAAAGTCGCCACTATAGAAACAATCATGACGAAGCATGGGATGGAGTGCAGTTCCAAATCTTTGAGGCCAGCCAACATTTTTTCACGGGGCATGAACGAGGTCATCTGGATACACACTGGGAGACAGATGCCTTAGGCCTACGTAGATTTGTGTCAAAACAACCAACATTTGCGGCGATTTTGGCTTTTTGCAGTTTGACCCATACCCAGAACGTGTCATCCAGACAATATGTACATATGACCATATGACACACACACATATATAATATAATATAATATGATATGATATGATATTATATGATATGATATAATATAATATATGATACAATATAATATAATATAATATAATATAATATGTGTATACAGATAGATAGACGATATGTGGGCGTTCAGGTCTTCTTTTCGAGTCTTTGCTTCTTCCTGACCTTTTCCATCTCCATTGTGGGCTCCATGGTGGGCGCTTATCGCTTGGGCGGGGTGCGCTTGATGTGCACCCGCCGTGGCATGGGCCTCTTGGCGAAGATCAGCCGCTCTTCAATCTGGAGCCAAATCGTGGATTGAGCACAAACTGTCTCTCTCTGTTTATATATATATGTCTGATATTATATAATTGAATATACTAGCACTCTTATATATATATATGTATATACGTACTCAGATAGATAAATGTGTTGTACAGGATTGATTAACTACTATGCCCTTACAGGGGCCTAACCCACCAAATTTGATTGACCATTTGTAGCCTCTCTTGGGTTTGCTCAGAACGCTGTGCAGATAACTTCTTCTGCAGTTCACCCCCCAAAAAATCGGGACCTCTTGGCATTTGCCAACTTGTCAGGGAACATGTGGTGGCAAACGCAACCAGTGATGGATTTCGGTTTTGTTCGCCATTGGTGGTGATGCCATTCGAAGGAATCTCCCAATCTTTTGTATGAATTCAGCCTTTCCCATGGCAGCTTAGTCCTGTTTGGAGGCCTGACGTATGTGCCAGAGACCATGGTCGGGTGCCTGCTTCATTTGCCTCCTCATCCCAGTAGAGAAACTGGACTGTGGGAACGCTTCTCTTGGTGGAGGCAAGGCACGGAGATGCAAAACACGGGGTGAAGCAGGTGAAATGAATCCAACAACATGAGGTTTTAGGTCGAAAAAACATCAAGCTTCTTTGGAGGTTCACTTTTTTGATGTTAGTTACTGTTAGTTCATCCAATTCATCCAATCGTTTCAGAACTCACAAATGGTTCATGGGACGGTGATCCCACCAACTGCTCCAGGCGTATGTCAGATCCGGAGCTTGAGGCCGCGGTTTGGAATTTCAGTGGTGATCCCCTTCAGATGGCCATGACAAATCTTGGTGTGATTGTGGCATGGTTACATGATGTTACATGGTTGGCCTCAGGATAACACTGCGAATAAAAAAACGCCATTCGTTGATGTGGTCTGAATTTTGTTGCTAAAAGCCAGGAAACGACAGTGATTTCGATCTCAAGAGTCAAGACTGTACAGTTCTTGTTGATCTTGTTGCTGTAAACCAGGATTGCTTAGACGGTCTACTCGTGTTCGAGCAACTCACCTTCGATCATTTTCCGCTGCTCTTTCGGCTTCAAACTCAAAGCCTCTCTCAGGACTTTGTAAACTTAGGAGTGGATCGTACCTCGTGTATCAGCTTCAGGCCCCGTGGGCATTCTGAGCTATGTCGAGCTTGAGGATGGTTCACGTCCTGGGTTTAGATGTACCTTCAAGGAGGCTGTCGGACAGATACCACCAACTTGAGATGCAGGCACCATTGGTGCCGAACCCTACCAATGCTTCTCAGCTTGCAATGAATCCAACTGTGAATACGAGAGGCTATGGTGGTGTGATTATTACGGCCGCCAGCTGTCAAGCATGGCGAAGTTGCTCATTGCGAACGAAGTGAGAATAGGGGGTCGGGGGGGTGGTCGTCTCCAAACGGACGATTTTGAGGCACTTCCCCACCTAATTCGGGTGGCGATTTTGAGGCTGATGTGCCAGGTGGCAATTGGGTGACGGTGGGGTTCGATTCCCCCCTGGTCCGTCCTCCGACGTGCATTTGGAGTGAGTGGAATGGAGGGTAAAAGGATGCAAAAACGGAGTCAAAGCATAACAGAACAATGGAAAAATTTGGAAAGAGTAATGGAAGAAGAGAGGGAATGGAATGAAAAAAACAAAGGGGACGGATTGGAGTTTCGGGGCGGGGTGTACGATGGGGGGAAGGTTGGAGGGACAAGAGGGTGGCTTGGGCGGGCTCTTTGGGGCGTGGGCAGGCAATGTGGAGTGAGGCTGCTCTTTTAGGTAGCTGTTGGGAAACAAAGGAGCCCGCAGGGTGAAGGGTGTAAGGTGTGGGAGTGTAGAGTGTCAAGTGTAAAGTTTAAAGTGTAGAGTGTGGAGTGTAAGTGTAGAGCGTAAAGTGTAGTGTGTAAAGCGTAGAGTGTAGAGTGTAAAGTGTAGAGTGTGAAGTGTAGAGTGTGGAGTGTAAAGTATGGAGTGTGGAGTGTAAAGTGTGCAGTAAGGAGTGAGGAGTGTAACGTGTAACGTATAAAGTATATCCCTACCCTCTTAGCCATGGTTTTCAGGGGAGGGGGTCAAAAATGTAAGTTACAATTTTGTAGGTACCCATAGGGGGAAAATATTGTAACTTACCCCCCCTTGAGGCACCAAATCCAGGGGAGGGGGGAAGGGGGTCAGAGGTAGAAATTACTTTACTTCGTGTGATCCCCACCATGACATTTATACATTTTCTTACTGGCAAATCTTCTGTCATTCTATCTGACATATCTTCTGACATTCTATTTGACATTCTATCTGGCATATCTTCTGGCATATGATCTGGCATATCTTCTGGCATATCTTCTGGCATTCTATCTGGCAAATCTTCTGGCATTCTATCTGGCAAATCTTCTGGCACTCTATCTGACATATCTTCTGGCATTCTATCTGGCATATCTTCTGGCATATATTCTGACATATCTTCTGGCATTCTATCTGACATATCTTCTGGCATATATTCTGACATATCTTCTGGCATTTCTTCTGGCATATCTTCTGGCATATCTTCTGACATATCTATCTGGCATATCTTCTGGCATATTTTCTGGCATTCTATCTGGCATATCTTCTGACATTCTTTCTGGCATATCTTCTGACATTCTGTCTGGCATATCTTCTGACATTCTTTCTGACATATCTTCTGACATTCTATCTGACATCTTTTCTGACATTCTTGCACATTCTTTGTCCCATGCCTACCTCTTCCTATGATGAGGTCCGGCAGGGAACACTGGGCGGGGATGGTCGTGGTTGAGGTCCGGCAGGGAACACTGGGCGTGGATGGTCGCGGTTGAGGTCCGGCAGGGAACACTGGGCGTGGATGGTCGTGGTTGAGGTCCGGCAGGGAACACTGGGCGTGGATGGTCGTGGTTGAGGTCCGGCAGGGAACACTGGGCGTGGCTGGTCGTGGTTTAGGTCCGGCAGGGAACACTGGGCGCGGATGGTCGTGGTTGAGGTCCGGCAGGGAACACTGGGCGTGGATGGTCGTGGTTGAGGTCCGGCAGGGAACACTGTGGATCGCGGGTCGCAGTTGAGCAAGGACAACAAGGATGACAAGGAGGACGAGGAGGAGGAGGACGAGGCAGGAGGAGGCGGAGGAGGAGGAGGAGGAGTAGGAGGAGCAGGAGGAGGAGGAGGACGAGGAGGCAACTGACATAAAATCTAACAACCCTCACCTGGCAGGTGGGGAAAAAATGTAAGTTGGAATCTGGCAGGTGAATAGTTACAATTGTTGATCCCCCCCCAAGGGGAGTTACCAAAATGTAAGTAAGAACCAAGGAGGTGCTAAGTTACATTTATGAATCCCCCACCGCCTCCCTCCCCCTCCCCCCCCACCCAAGAAATATACAGATTATATATATGGACAGCCAGCCATCACAAACAAATGGTGCACAGGAACCGTACTAATTGTAAGTTGGGGGTCCCTAGGTGTGAAAAGCCTAGTGTTTCACTATCTTTGGTCACTGTGGGACCCTCTACCCAAACTTTTAATGAGGAAACATGCCAAATGACACATCATAAGATCCCATCATAATTACTGTTCCCAGCATACACCCACAAAATGTAATTTGGCATTGCTGAGGTGTCTTTCCTGTGGGGATTTGGGATCTTGCAGCAATGTTGGGGGACCCTGCAGGAACATTCAATCCCATCAAATGAACCCAATGCTGGAAATGAGCAACCAATGGTGCACAGGAACCGTACTAATTGTAAGTTGGGGGTCCCCAGGTGTGAAAAGCCTAGCGTTTCACTATCTTTGGTCACTGCTCTACCCAAACTTTTAATGAGGAAAAATGCCAAATGACACATCATAAGATCCCATCATAATTATTGTTTCCAGCATACACCCACAAAATGTAATTTGGCATTGCTGAGGTGTCTTTCCTGTGGGGTTTTGGGATCTTGCAGCAATGTTGGGGGACCCTGCAGGAACATTCAATCCCATCAAATGAACCCAATGCTGGAAATGAGCAACCAATGGTGCACAGGAACACTACTAATTGTAAGTTGGGGGTCCCCAGGTGTGAAAAGCCTAGCGTTTCACTATCTTTGGTCACTGCTCTACCCAAACTTTTAATGAGGAAAAATGCCAAATGACACATCATAAGATTCCATCATAATTACTGTTTCCAGCATACACCCACAAAATGTAATTTGGCATTGCTGAGGTGTCTTTCCTGTGGGGTTTTGGGATCTTGCAGCAATGTTGGGGGACCCTGCAGGAACATTCAATCCCATCAAATGAACCCAATGCTGGAAATGAGCAACCAATGGTGCACAGGAACCGTACTAATTGTAAGTTGGGGGTCCCTAGGTGTGAAAAGCCTAATGTTTCACTATCTTTGGTCACTGTGGGACCCTCTACCCAAACTTTTAATGAGGAAAAATGCCAAATGACACATCATAAGATCCCATCATAATTATTGTTCCCAGCATACACCCACAAAATGTAATTTGGCATTGCTGAGGTGTCTTTCCTGTGGGGTTTTGGGATCTTGCAGCAATGTTGGGGGACCCTGCAGGAACATTCAATCCCATCAAATGAACCCAATGCTGGAAATGAGCAACCAATGGTGCACAGGAACACTACTAATTGTAAGTTGGGGGTCCCCAGGTGTGAAAAGCCTAGCGTTTCACTATCTTTGGTCACTGTGGGACCCTCTACCCAAACTTTTAATGAGGAAAAATGCCAAATGACACATCATAAGATTCCATCATAATTTTGGGATCTTGCGGCAAAAATAAGTTACGACCCAAGAAATGGTGTAAATTGGACAGATTATTTTTTTTTTATATGCTGCATGCTGGATTATGCTGGCGATGGGCTGGGAATTGTTGGGCATCAAGGTCAGTGCCACACAGCCACACACCTCAAAAATGTAAGTTACAATTTCTGATGTTGCCTCACAAATGTAACTTACAATTTTCAGGTTTCAAAATGTTTTTTTCCTGGATAGTACCTCAAAAATGTAAGTTACATTTATCGAGGTAAATCAGAAAATGTAAGTTACATTTTTGAGGTAGCATGTGCCCAAAAATGTAAGTTACAATTAGCTCACGCCCCCCCCTCATAAGCAGTAGGGATTAAAGTATGGTGTGTAGAGGGAAGAGTGTAAAGTGTAAAGTGGAGTGTGTAAAGTGTAGAGTGTGCGGTGTGGAGTGTAAAGCGTAGAGTGTAAAGTCTAGTGTAAGTCGCCATGTGAACCGTTTTGCTGAAGTTCTCTGTGATTCCCGGAAACCTCGACTTAGCCTCGTGTACCGCTGTCGGCGTTCCCGCAGCCAATGTGGCACGTGGGGTTATGGAGAGATACAGAAGGTAGTTCTGCTTACAATTTCCTCATGTAGTACTTATGTGGAGTGCTTGGAAATGATGTATGGAAACATGATGGCTGGGGCGCGGTGTACGATGTGGGGAAGGTTGGAGGGACAAGAGGGTGGCTTGGGCGGGCTCTTTGGGGCGTGGGCAGGCAATGTGGAGTGAGGCTGCTCTTTTAGGTAGCTGTTGGGAAACAAAGGAGCCCGCAGGGTGAAGGGTGTAAGGTGTGGGAGTGTAGAGTGTCAAGTGTAAAGTTTAAAGTGTAGAGTGTGGAGTGTAAGTGTAGAGTGTAAAGTGTAGTGTGTAAAGCGTAGAGTGTAGAGTGTAGAGTGTAAAGTGTAGAGTGTGAAGTGTAGAGTGTGGAGTGTAAAGTATGGAGTGTGGAGTGTAAAGTGTGCAGTGAGGAGTGTAACGTGTAACGTATAAAGTATGGTGTGTAGAGGGAAGAGTGTAAAGTGTAAAGTGGAGTGTGTAAAGTGTAGAGTGTGCGGTGTGGAGTGTGGTGGTGCATATGGTTCGATTGGAAGGAAGAAAGGGCGTGGCTTGGGGAGGCCATTTGGAGTGATACTCTTTTAGGTAGCTGCTGAGAAGTAAAGGAAAGGAGCCCGCAGGGTGCAAGTTGCAGATGGGTGCTGATGCCCGGCGGTAGGACAGAAATATAAAATGTAAAGTGTACGGTATGGAGTGTAGAGTGAAGAGTGTCGAGTGTAAAGTCTAGTGTGTACAGTGTCGAGCGTCGAGTGTGGAGTGTAAAGTGTAGAGTGTAAAGTGCAGTGTGTAAAGTTTACAGTGTGTGGAGTGTGGGGTGTAAAGTGTGTAAAGTGTACAATGTAGAGTGTAAAGTGTAGAGGGCGGAATGTGAGTGAAGGGTGTACAGTGGCAAGTGTAGAGTGTGGAGTGTAGCGTCTAGAGTGTCAAGTGTAGCGTGTCAAGTGTAGAGTGTGGAGTGTAAAGTGTGGAGTATGGCGTGTCAAGTGTGCAGTGAGGAGTGAAGGGTGTAAAGTGTAACATCTAAAGTATGGGGCCTAGAGTGAAGCGTGTACAGTCTAGTGTGTCAAGTGTCGACTGTGGACTGTGAAGTGTATAATGTCCAGTGTACACTCTAAAGTGTCGAGTACGGAGCACCCACCGGCCTTCCCTTCATTTCTCAAACACACCACTTCCTCCACAGGCGCCCGCTTCCCCGTCTTCCTTGCCTTCCCTGCCGCCGACACGTCCTCTCCCCTTCCGGGCTCCTTTGCGCCCCGTCAGCTCTTTAAACGAGCATCCACTTCCTCCTACGCTCTCTTCACCCTTCCCGACCTTTCCCACCCTCTTCCCTCCGCTCCTTCTTCCTACAAATTCCTTCCTTCTCTCCAAGGGCTCCCCACGCCCACACCCAACACAGCCTCACCCCGCCGGCCCCTCCGCCCCTCCCCCGATGCCCCCACCAACCCCCCGCCGCACTCCCTCCCATGCTCTCCACTCTCCTGTCCCCGTTCAAACTTGACCCTGGCTTTCGTCCCCTCTTCTCAGGTGAATCTCAGAGGCAATGGTGGCGTGTTCGAACACCCCGAAGGTGCTGGGTTCATGAGTGAGTCTGACGATACAGACAGCGAGAATGATGCAATTTCAATCTTCAGCGGCATTTCCACTGCCACCGGCGGCGGCGAGAGTGACCATTCCGATGGTAATCAGAGTGACATTTTAGCCGCGAGTGTCTGCGAGTCCTGTCTGGCAGAAGGAAATGTCTTGAAACAGGAAGATGATGCTACTGTTTCAGGTAGCCAGTCTGTTGGCAATGCCAGCAGTGGCCTTCCTGTTGCCAAGGAAGATTCGAGGGTTGCGATTTAAGGTAATGTGGTTTACCACTTTGACACATGGATGTCTCCAGAGTCAAGAAGAACCTCTGACAGTCAACCCTGCAATCTATTGAGGATAGACCCAGTGTAGCCATGTGCAACCCATTTCCAATGCATGCGTATTTTGAGGCAGGTTTGCTTTGACCTTGTTGTGCAAAGAGACACTCTGTGAGACCTCCATGCGTTCTAATCCTTCCTAGATTGGCCTACGATGGGCGCGATTGGCACCGCCGACAGGATAAGCACAGAGTTTGAATTACTGTACAGTATATCAGGAAGAAAGCCGGCAATCCGGGAACCTACTTGAATGGACATGATATCATCATATATCATCGCAAATATTATATTATATACCTATATGATATGTAGAATTATGTAGACATACTACGTCCCTTTCACAGACACTGTATGTGAAACACGGAACATGTGTAGATCATATACAGCTGGAAATGACAGAAGTAATCCACGCTGTATGTGGAAGTGCAAAGATGCCTCTTGCCTCAGCTTCTCTTCTGCACAGTGTGTTAGATTGTTTCAAAATGTTTCAAACTCTTATGGAGTTCCTGTGTTTTTACTTTCGTGATGTTTCTTGTGAAGTTGCTTTTGGAAATGCTTCACAGTGCTTGAAGCTCAAGATGCTTCAAAGCTTCCCGACCAGAGTGCTTGCATGTCTGTGGTCAAACTCTCACCAACTGGTGAAGCAGTATTAGATCCCACAACCTGATGCACTCTGCCCATCTCTTAGTGGAGCTCCAGACAACAGAACACCTGGCCAAAAACTGAGGCTGCCGCAGCATGCTCCTGTCTTCTGGATGATCTAAGATGATCGAAGCATTTTGAAAGTGATCTTGCTGTCGGCTAATTTATGCGAGCTCTGGATTCGTTGGAATGTGCAGGAGCTCTTAGGAATCTCACAGAACTTTGATGACAGCAATATTTTTTGTGTGAATGGTCACTTTGTACACACGCAAAAAGGGTTGTTTTTGAAGCAGAATCCAGTGGCAGTTCCACGTGTGTGTTTCTATCAAGCACTTGCACACATGATTCATTTTGCAGATGCAGAGTTGTGCTTTGATTCTGAGAAAGGTTTAGAGGCTAAATCACGCTCTGCTACAACATCATGATATCATGGCCGTCTCTGAGTGATCAGCTTTAATCTTGTTCCGCCAGCTTTTTGCCTTGAAACTTAAAACCTCTCCAGGACCTAGGAGTGGATCGTACCTCGTGTATCAGCTTCAGGCCCCGTGGGCATTCTGAGCTATGTCGAGCTTGAGGATGGTTCACGTCCTGGGTTTAGATGTACCTTCAAGGAGGCTGTCGGACAGATACCACCAACTTGAGATGCAGGCACCATTGGTGCCGAACCCTACCAATGCTTCTCAGCTTGCAATGAATCCAACTGTGAATGCGAGAGGCTATGGTGGTGTGATTATGAATCTCAGAGGCAATGGTGGCGTGTTCGAACACTACCCCGAAGGTGCTGGGTTCATGAGTGAGGCTGACGATACAGACAGCGAGAATGATGCAATTTCAATCTTCAGCGGCATTTCCACTGCCACCGGCGGCGGCGAGAGTGACCATTCCGATGGTGATCAGAGTGACATTTTAGCCGCGAGTGTCTGCGAGTCCTGTCTGGCAGAAGGAAATGTTTTGAAACAGGAAGATGATGCTACTGTTTCAGGTAGCCAGTCTGTTGGCAATGCCAGCAGTGGCCTTCCTGTTGCCAAGGAAGATTCGAGGGTTGCGATTTAAGGTAATGTGGTTTACCACTTTGACACATGGATGTCTCCAAAGTCAAGAAGAACCTCTGACAGTCAACCCTGCAATCTATTGAGGATAGACCCAGTGTAGCCATGTGTAGCCCATCCCTGGTGCATATTCTGAGACAGATTTGTTTTGACCTTGTTGTACAAAGACTCTGTGAGACCTCCATGCATTCTATATTGGGTCACGATGGACCTGGCATGATGTCATGCCTCAAGGCAAGCCGGTTCTTGCACCCCTGGCACAGAAATGCCTGGAGTTTGAATCATATCAGAGAATTCAGGGAGAAAGCCGGCACTACGAGAACCTATTGGAATGGACGTGATGTAATCGCAAAATTGCATCCTTTGGCACGCAGGCTCGAAATCACAGAACATCATAGAACATCATCCTTTCAGTATGTGGAAGTGCAAAGATATCTCTTGCTTTCTCCTGCCTTTCAGGTATGATGTAGCATCATAGCATTCTTGAATGTCTTGTTTTGGAGTTGATTCATAGTGTTTGAAGCTCGGGCAGCCTTACCGAGTGCTGATGAAATCGATGGGCCTCCGCCGCTGCTACGCGGGATTGGGGATTGATTTCGGGACAGCACTGCATTTGCCATCTGGGTCACAAATATCACCTTCGTGGTACCTCAACACCACTGTGCTGTATCATCATTTTCATTCATTTTCAGGCTAAAGATGGTCGTCTTATGAGTCTCCAATCCTCCGGGCGAATCTGGCGAGGGTCCTGCGAAGAAGATGTGGTGGAGAAGAAGGGATGTGGGTCCGTCCAACAATTGCTCCCAATGTGATGGCAAAAAAAGGGTAGTAACAAAGTACCAAAATTTTGGGTGCCAATTTTTGGACGACCACAAATTACGGCCATGAAACCAACAAGTCAATAAACATCATGAGATTGTTGAGGGTCCATCACATTCTGCCAGATGCGACTCCAGTACATGACTCCCGTGGTCAAATTCTAGACCAAGTCGCGAATCAACACTGCAGATCGCACAATTTGGCAAAGCTCCTCTTTCGGACCTCAATTGTGAAATTCGTAAGTGTACTTCCAGGCATTTACCAATTGCCAATTGACCATTTCCGCATTGATTTGGCGACTCAGATTTTAGATCTCGAACCGAAAAGGTGGCTGCCGCGCAAACCTCAAACAAATTGGGCAACTTTGAATGTAAGCTTGCTGTCGCCCTGCGAATTTTACTTTCTCGCTGCAGGCTCATTTGTTATAGTTCTTGCTTCATACAACAGTAGGCATGACACTGAACACTGCTGAGGGTTCCCAGCTTGGATGCAAGAATTGATTTCCAAAGCGTTCCCCAAACACTGCTCCAACTGACCTGTGGTGTCTCCAGGCCTTTGTGGATGTGTGGAACAAGTTGCTGAAGGCCATCCCATGGTGACAGCCAAAGATGGATTGATGTGGATTGAATCGGGAATGTTTCAGATGTTTCACATATTGCAATTATATACAATTATTACATGCAAAAAATGAAATCTTTCTGGTAAAACCTATTTCCGAATTCCGAAATCACCTAAAATTTCTGGTGAAGTCCCGAGTCATCGGTTTCACCTCATGGCGGAATCAATCATAATCGGCCAAGCGTTCCATCAAGGGCTGGGAATTCTGATGCCCCTGTAGGGTCCCACCGGCCATGGGCATTTTTCATCATTCACATCCTTTTTGGGCCACACTTCTCGATTAAAGTTGGGTTCACCATCAGACATCAGACACAACGATTCTTTGTTCTGCGCAAGGAACTTCGAGATCGTGACTTAGTTTGTGGGCGAGAGGTGGACTTCCTCTCTTTCAGGCTGGGGCTGGGCCTGGGGCGACAGTCTGCATGTTCTGAGATTCCTGAGCTGAGCAGTGGAACATTTTGACCGTGAATCGGACCACAAGAGCTGTTGGTTTTGGGAATTCCCAGATTCTGTGTGATTCAGAAAGGTGGCCCTATTATATTGGTGGTCATAGCACCGTTCATTGGTTCATTGGGAGTTATACTGGCCAATACAAGTCTTCCCATGGGACGTATGACCATACCACACAATATACATACATATACCAAGTTTTCTGACCATGGCACATCATGGCACCGATAAAGATCATCCACCATCGCCAGGGTATCAGAAACTGCACAGATTGCAAACGCAGGTCGGCACAGGATGCGTTCCAAGGAAACGTTCCAGGACTTTTTAAGGTGGGACCTGTTTGTTGGCGGATGGAGAAGCGATTTAAGGTGGGACCTGCTGCAATCTATATTTGAACTGTCTGTGTTTAGGTAGCTCCAGTTGACTACTATTCATTACTATCATTTATACGTAGTTTATTACATAATAGTTGATATTACTATCATCTATAGTTGATTCAGTTTAACTGGCAACCAAGAAAGGAACTCCGCCCTAAGTCTCCGCCCTGAGGGGTTCCTGTATTCCATGATATTCCATGTATTCTAAGTTGTGGTGGCGGCGGCGGTGGTGGTGGTGGTGTCAATTGTTAGCACATGAGTCCCGGACGAGCAGTGCGATGTTTGTATTGGCCAAGAGTTGTCGCAAGACATGATGGCTGAGGAAACTCCAAATTTGGCACAGCAAGGGGCCCTTACCACTTAGAAGTGTGATAAGCGTATATTTTACGCCATTTCTGTAACTAGCGTTTGACCTGTTAAAACAGCCACAAGTAGGGGTAGTCTTGAAACGCCTGTCTTTTTGGGCCAGTTCTAGCCCCATCCGTTTGAAATTGGGGGCCACCTCCACCTTGGTTTGCAAATAGGATATTAAATCATACTCAATCCATTGGACATGATTAGGCACATCCCATATTTTAATGGCCATAAAACATGGTACTCTTCCATCAGCTTCTCATTTCATATATCTTCCAGATGAAATCAGCCACGGCCCGTCACGGGGCCATGGTGCCAGGCCCTAAGCGCATTGAGTTACCGAGCCACCCTGCCGTCCAACGGCGAAGCGCGGCGCCGCATCGTGTCCTTGGCGCGGTCGCTGCAGATGCATCCGCTGCCCAAGGCGAAGGCACTGAAAACTGGGCCCATGGAGAGCAACCAACGATATTGATGATGGTTGATTATTAATACCCTCAAGTAGTAGGTCCCTAGGTAGTAGTTGAGAGTATGATTTTTATGGGGTTACCAGCATTTTTCTCATGGATTTGTTGATTTTGTGATGGGGGTTTAAGAGGAAACCGGCCCTCAAAATATAGGGATATCATTGGTACCTGTGGGTTTAATGGTGGTTAAATGGGATATCACCAATATTAATGATTCAATGATGATAGGTGTATCATTGGCTTTACCAAATTGTTCATGTATTCAGGCATTCATTACCAGTAATACCGCACAAGGCGGTGGCGGAAGTTTCAAAAATAGGAAACCTATAGGAGAGGTTGGTTGTTGTGAATCACGGATGGCAGAGCGAATCCAGTGATGGACCAGAAGGTGGTTGGAGTTGTGTTTTCTGGAGTGGCTGCAATGGTTGCAGTGGTCACCTCACCACAACTGCTGGATGTACTGTGGTGTAGTGCAGTTGTAGTTGTAGTTGTAGGTGTAGTTGTAGTTGTAGTGTAGTGGAGTTGTAGTTTTAAGTAGTAGCTGTAATGTAGTGTAGTGTAGTTGCAGTTGCAGTTGTAGTTGTGGTGTGGTGTAATTAGTGTAGTGTATTGTAGTGTACTGTAGTCTTGTGTAGTGTAGCATGGTATAGTGTAGTGTAGTCTAGCGTATTGTAGTGTAGAGTAGTGTAGTTGTGTTGTAGTGTAGTGTCGTGTAGTGCAATGTAGTGGTAGTTGCAGTTGTAGTGTAATGTAATGTAATTAGTGTAGTGTAGTGTTGTGTCATGTAATGTAGTTGTAGTTGTATTTGTAGCTGTAACGTACTGTAATTTAATTAGTGTATTGTACTGTAATGTAGCGTCGCTGTAATTGTAGTTGTAGCTGTGGTGGTGGTGGTGGTGGTGGTGGTCGTCGTCGTCGTCGTCGTCGTAGTAGTAGTAGTAGTAGGTGTTGTTGTTGTTGTTGCTGCCGTTGTAGCAGTTGTAGTGTAATTTGTGTAATTTAATGCAATTAGATGTAATTAGTGTAGCGTAGTGTAATTAGTGTTGTGCAATGTAGCGTCGTATATTTGTACTTGTAGTTGTAGTAGTAGTGTAGTGTAGTGGCATTTGTAGATGTAGTTGCAGCAATTTTTCAACTTGACAACATCAAAAACGAAACAATTCTGCGAGACTTCCTCAATTTTCGACGTTGACAACATCAAAAACGAAACAAATCTGCGAGACTTCCTTCCAAAATGGAAAGTTGAGTGCAAAGCTGACGGCCTCGTACCAATGCGTTTTGCGATTTTTCCACTCCACCTGTCTAAACTACTGCGCTTGCCACGAAAAAGTGATGCCAGGTCATACGGAGTGCTGCACCTGTCACGCAAAATCATCTCAGCAAACCTGAAGATCTGATGCTCCAAAATGCAACCCCTCTCAGGAAATCAGCGCCCTGACCTCCTAACCTCTCTGATGAACATGTCTTTTGTACTGCGCCTACCACGCGGAATTCCAATGATTTGTGGCTCCGGAGGGTCGAAAAGTAGGCTCGCTAAAGCGGCGGGTGCGGAGCCATCTGGCCAGATGAGAGATGAAAAATTGCACGTCGTTGTGGCGCGAAGCACATTTGCAAGTCAAAATGTACAAAACACACCAGCTCCGGACCACTTTTGGAAGTGGAGATGTCGATAAACTAAATGACTAAATGCAATTGAATTCTGAATTAAATCAAACAAAATAAATCAATTCTGAATTCCGTTTATGTGCTGTATAATTTAATTTGAAATTATTCTTCCTTCATTTCTTTTTTTCTTACCTTCCTTTTTCCTTTTACTTTCCTTTTGAAACTAAACGCAATTTAATTCTGAAGTAAATCAAAATTGATTTTGAATCTCATTCTGAATTCCATTTATTTCAGTTTTCCCTTTTTGTTTCATTTGTGCTTTTCATTTCCTCTTTCTCTTCCTTTCTTGATCGTCCTGGTGTTCTAATTTAGCGATAACCTAGCGATAACCTTTTGTTGAAAAAGGGACCCCGCAGAAGGGATAGACTCATTTGACCACAGCGATATCATTTTTCGTTTTCATAGAATTATTGATCTTATATTGGTTGGTTACTGTCATTCTAGTTTGGAGTTGAGATTGTAATAAAGTTCCTTGCTTAGGAAACAGTCTAGGAATGTGCTTAGGTAGCTCCCCAACATGGTTGCAAACGCAAAGACACCGAACGCCCCCTTAATCCATCCCCGGCAGTTTAGAGATCTGAATCCGTGAAACCAATTCCGCCGCATTTTTGCATTATTTAGTGTTGATTTGAATAAAACACTGTAAAGCGATAGGGCCACCCGAAAAAACGAGAACCTATATTTTCGCACCACGCATCAACAATTGATTTTGGCGGCGGCTCATATATATTACTCATCATATCGATGTATACATATCATTCATTATCTATAATATTCTATAATATTATATATATATATATGTTCATAGGTAGAGTGTCAGATTCAGATAATTTCATTCTGCCAAATCCCCGATTCAGCTGCCAGGTCAGAGAGATGCCGACGCTCTCTGTGGTGATCCCGCACTATTCCGAAACCATTCGCTATTCGAAGAAGGATCTCTTCAGCGATGGAGAGACCAAAGTGTCTAATGATTCCTGGATTTTCATGGAAATTCACTGAGTGAGTGATCGATTAATGATTAAGGCTTGAATAAGGGAAGATTTCTTTAATTTTTAGGATCACTAGATTGTTTAGGGCTTCACCATGCTTCACCTTTGCAAATCCAAGGATTTATTGAGGTTTCTCATCAAGTACTACAGATCCTCGGCATTTTTTTCTGCAAATTTTAAGCGATGTGGTTTTTGTTCCCTAAAAGCGACTGTGACTTGACACATCCACAACTTGATGTTGCCCAATGACATCGTTTTTGATCGGACCAACAGGACGCGAGCGAGACTCTTCATCATTTCACACATGTTCACAGTATTTTGTATGTACTTGCTCCTTCATCTCCGGTACTTCAGCCACATTCTCACCAGTCCTTCCAAGGCTCCCATTTTTCATATGGCTTTCTGTGGAAAATGGGGAAAATCCTCAAGATTTGATAACTTCTTTTGTTTCACAGGGTGATGAGCTTCACCAATGGATTCAGATGTTCCATGATTTTCCCCAACAACGGGGCCCTTTTTCATGGTCAAGGAGACGAGTTTCGCAACTTCATCGAACGCTTGGAGCAGGAGGACTGTAGTAGCCTGGAAGAGGCCCTTTGCACCTGGGCCTCGTTGCGGATGCAAACGTTGTGGAGAACCGTGGATGGCATCTGCGGTGCCTATGCCAATGCCTTAGAGACTTGGAATTTCTCGGTGTGCCATGGTGGGAAAGATCACGAGAAAGGCCATTGGAATTGGGGATACCATGGCCCCACTTAGGTGGAGAAATGGAACATGGGATGATCATTTGAAGTCCTTTCACAAAGTTGCCCCAGATAATCCCAAATACTTGAAATTTCGAGCTTGAAGATGGGCATGGCTTTTGCCTCCTTGGATAGGATGATATTCGATTATATTATTGTATCAGAATGAGAGAGACCGTATGAGTTAAAAGAAAGAACCATGCAGCACAGGTGTCATCCTTCGAACAGCCTTTGCGTGCCTATGAATTGAGAACTATGCGGGGCTCCAACTGCAAACTAGTCACGTTCTATCGAAGTTTTTGGTGTCCATTGGTGTCGACTTGAAATTTCAGGAGATCTTGGCTCATTACCAAGAAATCTTTGAGTCGCAGAGATCTTTGCGGTCCTCGGTGCGACAGAGGTTCTGGGATCTGGGTTTTGGGCTTTAGCAGTTGGGGATGAGATCACTGCTTTGAAAAAAGCATTAAAAAGTGCCGGAATGACTGATTTGCACATCAATTTGTGGAAGGAGTGTGACACACCACCTAACAAACCCATGGGGAAAAACGACTATTAGTGTCTGCCCATGGGTTTGCGCTGCCTGCACCTTCATCATGCGAGAGGAAGCAGCCATGCACAGCCCTTGATCAGCGCAGATCTACGATAATCTGAATCGGCCATATTTCAAGTCTCAAGAGATTCCTTGAATCTGATTCATTAAAAACTATATTATCAGTAATGTGACAGTAATGTGTTATCTGATATTAGTAATCTGATTCATAAACATGTTTTGCCATTCGAGATTCCTTGCGACTGTCAGGTTGCAAGTGCTGGTGGCCATGCAACAGCAGCTAGACATCGGCTGGACGAATGGTGAATGGGGCAGTCCATGAATGGAGAAAGCCCTGAACCAAATGGAGGTTTCAATGGAAACACATCTACACATGGGCTATTTTCCAGCAACGTGTTTGATTGTCAACTTCCTTTGCTGCAGTGCATGTCCCAAACTTTTTCCCATGTGTTGGGCCGAGTTCTTGAACTAAAGACCTGCAGAACGGACAAGCCGACCCTGTGCCTCTCTCAAAAACAGCCCCAGGATTTCAGGCAATTGAATAAGATCAGAGAAATCGAGGCCAACGGGCCAACGGCCAACTATTCGGGTCCCAAATAATGTCCCTTTCAACTTTTAGCTGTTTTATCTACCATAAACTCCAAAAATTGGGTTGTCCAGCCTGACAGGGTCTGACCTCTGCGAGGTATGCCAAGTTTGCAGATCCTGAAAGCCCGGGCTTTAGCCCCAACGAATTGCAAGCTGTGGAGGTCGGATGATGACGATGGGTCAAGGTCAAGGAAGACTACCGGTATATAGGTTGATTTTGGGGTCCCAAGAACTTAGATGGTTCACAACCAGAAACTCAACCAAGAAAATGTCATAAGATAAGATCATATAAGTTTCATTCTTTAAGTCTTTCCTATATGATTTCGGGGGATTTTATATTCATGGCTATAAAAAGCAGTGATATTCGGACCATTCCACTCGAGTGACTCCTGGGTGAACATCGGTAGGCGATGTTCAGCGCCTTTGGCGACTTTCTGAGCATTGCGTACATCGAGGAGACCGAGCTTAGGATATACATGTGATTATATATATATATATTATGTCATACATATGGATATATATACATACATGATTGTATGTGTACATGTGTATGTTTTTAAAAGTATATATATATATATAATATGATGTACATATTATATATATATAAATAATGTTTTTAGATGTTGACATGGGTTGTTGAACACCTAGGGGTTTGAACAAGACGACATCGGATTTAGTAAACCATCACTAAACGGGGTTTCAGCACGATTTAATCCTCATTAAGTGGACCTTCAACTAAATGGGGATGGAACTACCATACAAATCCAATGGCTTAGAATTGTAAATCGGTGCCCACCACTACATCCATCAGGAGCAAGTGGTTGAAGGTGAGAAGCGTTCCTTGGAGCCCCTCAGGGGCAGGTTTTGCTGACAGGTTGGCTTTCAAGGATGGCTGGAGTATGACATTGGACCCACGACATGCGACGTGGCTAATGTGTCATTGTCCAAGCCCACTCGCAACTTGTCAAGACTGACGACAAAGGCTCACCAGATCATCCTTATTACACCTGGGAGGGTCAGAATTTTCCCCCTGTCATCACTGTCATCTTTAAATTTCCAAGTCATCATTTTCGCTCCCAGGTTTCTTCTCCTGTTTGATCGATTCCTCCTGCGAGCAGATCCCCATCCCTGGCTTCGATGATGTCTTTGCCCGGCGAGCCAAGTATCGAGTCTTGGCTCTCCAGATATCGTGGATCCACGGGAAACGCCACAAATTCACCACGCAGTATGACGATGACACGTGGATTTCCACTTTGTTGAGACAGTCCTGATTGATGTCCTCAATTGATGATTCAGATTGGAGACCTCCATTTTTTCACAAGCAACTGATGATTGGTTTGGTATACCGGTATACTGGTATACCAGTGGGTATCATCATCTTTACCAGATATATCATCATCATATCCAAACATTACCAAATGATGTAATCTAAGCCGATACCTTTCCCATGGCCATTGGTTCTCAGGCATCGAGCTGCCGGGCTTTCCCATTTTGGGGCACGGCAAGAGCCTTTCGGCCGCGATCGGTTTTGTGAATGGGATCGATGGGTCACTGGGTCACCACGTAAAAATCTGGTGATTGGGGTTATATCATGTTATTATATACCCGTTATATTAATATGTTATAAACAGATGTGTGTAATGTTAGTTATGTCTATGTATATATATATATACACATACACACTACACACACAAACACATGCAAAGACTTGGTGCTTACCCCAAAGTTGCAATTCTTGGTATATTTGAATGGAAGAACTCATGAATCAACAAACAAAAGGTGGATCTTCCATCCTGGCGCGAGGTGATAACCAGAACTGTGCTGTGATCTTCACCCGGGGTGAGATCCTTCAGATGATCGATGCGAATCAGGCGGGGTCACACTGGTGAACTCAGTAGGACTAGGACCTGGGCACATTAAGTCATCGCTGGGCAGGTGGTTGATAGTGGTTTTGTGATGCCACCGAAGTCACCGTTTGATCCAAATTCGGGTGATTGCCATACACAAATCTGACAGTTGTCCAACTGTGTACAATTGTCAAAGTGTTTTGTCCGGCTCACAGGATGCATACTATGAAGCATCACTCTTCTTACCAAGCGCATTTCAAGAGTTCTGTGAGCCGGAGAGGACTTCGCCCCTCGGCGAAACAGAGCAGTCCTGGATATATAAGATTGCAGGTTTTTAGCCGGTATTTTGTTGTACTGTAATGTCAAGCCCGGATTCCTAAACTTGATACAACTAATCATTAGTTGGGGGGTTATCCCCCAAATGGTGATGTGTGCTCTTAAAAAGAAGATGCTACTCCCCCAATTGGGTCCACTTTCCTCCCCAAATCTCCCCAAAAAGCAGAGACATCGCCGCCGATTTTTCATCGCTGGTTAAGGAAAGGCCGCCCGGGCATTGTGGGATTTCGTGAGCACATCTTCTCAGCCGTGGGTTTGTTGGGTCGCATTGCAGCGGACAGCGAGTTTACCTTCGGCACCATGATCCAACGGACAGGTGGAAATTCAAAGAGCGGTGGATGTGTCGTGTGGTTGACGTGGATACAGTTGGTACTTGGATGTGCCGGCCCTTCTTAGTAAGTGGTTTATGACCCATATATAAGATATATAAGCCCATACAATCCCAAATATAAGTGAGGATATTCCATATATACCACCATCAATCCAGTGGTGACATTTCTTTCAGTGACTGGAGGATTTGATTCGCCGCAGGACGTTGGACTGGCCATTGAACTCCAGATTCCACTATGGTCATCCCGACCTCATGGACAAATTGCAGGTAGTTCAGCAAGGTGGTGTCTCCAAGGCGTGCTTTCTGCCATGAAGCCGTGAATCATAGAATCATGAACCACAAGAACCACGGATGAATGGTCTGTACCCGGATGTTGCGTATCCAAGGGATAGACTGATGCCGCAGATGGGATGATGTGGGATGACTGCGGTCTTGAGGCAACTCGTGGCCTGAATCTGTCAGAGGATATCTTCGCAGGTTTGGACCTCTCTTTGAGAGGCGGCTGGACCACCTATAGAGAGTACTTTCACGTTGGAAAGGCGCGCGTGCTGATGCTGTGATGGGCAGCATGCGACTAGGAAGAAGACCCTGTCCATAGAACCCGTCTAAGTCTATATAAAACGTCCTAAAACCAGTCTCAGTAGACCAAGATTGCGATCTTTTTGAAGGCGAAAGAGTTTCCACCTCAGCCCGCAGGGCAGAGACATGGGCTTCATGAGTGTGCTATCTTTCTATGCCAAAGTCTCAATGGGAAATGCGGAGCAGGCGTGGGAGTTGTGGATCTGCAGTGCAGTATCCTTTTAGATAAACAAACATAGCACTGAGCATCCCCCATTTGTAGATGCTTTTAATACCCATTGAATACTACTGAAAAATCCGGATTTCATATCGCTACCTTGAAGTAGTAGATGGTACAGTTTCCATCAGAGTCTGCTCATGGCGCATTTTGTTCTGTTGCCTGCGGAGCAGTTTGTCTGCACAATGCCGCAGAATGCCACAGAGAACCACGGGGCCCACATTTTTATTTCACCAAGTTGCTTGAACTCCCATCAATGCCGCCAGTTGTCCAGAATCGAAATTGAGGCGATTACTCGACAGTGGATGCGATTGGGGCTCCACCTGGAGCTTTCTCAACTGCTGGGCATCTTCTATTCTCACATTGGCTTCTACATGAACCAAGCCCTTGTGAATCGTGCCACCAAGGCTAAACGTGAGCGGCTGGATGCTTGTAGGGTGATTTGAGTGGTACGCGCCCAGAGGGACATCCTTTTTGTTGTGGGTTTGGCTCTTTCTCAGCCACCCAAATTCCGCAGGCCTTTTGCTTCTCAGCGGCCATCTTCGCACTATCAGCAGAGGTGCAGGAGAGCTTTTCCATCTTAGCCGTGGAAGAGATGCCCCTTGTCTCTGCAGAGAAACATGGGGAAACATCTGCAGAGAACCCTCCTCCTCTGCTCAATTTCGCACATGTTTTGCCCAAGTCTTGTCCAGCGAGAAGAAACAACAGGCTGCCTATATCTGCCCCACGTGACATTCATCATCCATGCCCTGCCAGTGCCTTGATGCCTTGAGTTCCAGCTACTTCGGCTACTTCTACCTGCTCTTCGTTCTGGCTTCGATGCTTCCTTTTGCCTTCGAAGTGATGCTGGAGGAAGGTGGTTTCATGGCTATTTATGCTATGTATATCTATTTATGATCTATTTATGCTATAGCTGCTATTTGGAATTTATCAAGAACCCCTAACCTCTGTGTAGAAATGCCTGGATTTCAGGGAGACCACTATATGAGTGGGTTTGGACCGGAAAATAGTGTACAAAAAAAGTTTTATGGTTCATCACCATTTTCCATGATTTTCCTAGTCTATAAAGATGCAATTTGATGGTATCCCCTTATTTCCTAGGGACTCACAGGCTACCGGTGCTTTTCGGATTCTGGACACAACGTCTGAGGTCTTCAAGCCCTGTGGAGCTTGACCTTCTCGCTACTGGCCCTGAGTGTCTTAGCTGGAGCTGCCTGAAACACACATCAAGGACAGGTTTTTGTTTAGTGGATACCCCATTGAATGCTCATTTCAGATCATTTTCATGGGATTTAACAGTGAGAATTCTGATCAACGATGCTTTTGTTTGGTGCGTTCCCAAGTTTGAGACTCCGGATGCCTTGATGTTTTCCGAGGCCCCGTGTTTTCGTCCTTTCAGTCCAAACTCATGGGCTACTTCTTCGAGTCTTGACCTGCACAGGATACCCACAGAATGGTACAAAAATGGGGATAAATTTGTTTAGTAACTTTAAAACTATGATACCATATCTTTGGGGGGATGATACGTCTGCGTGTCAAGACGTTTTCAAGCCATTTGTCATGAAGACGATATGCCAAATGTTGGCTTGCTCCATTGCCAGTGCTCTACGAATCAAACAGCAGAGATGCAAACACTCAGATGAAGTAGTTCCTTTGAGGTCTCTGGTGTGAACCGAAGGGTTCCTCGGTTTTGACTCATACCTTTTTGAACATTGAGGAGAATGATAAACCATGACACACCACTGGATTTTTCTGGGTACCCCGTTTTCCGACTACGCGATGTAGCAGAAAGAACCGGAAACAACTCGTTCAGAGCATGTTTTTTCACATTCCTCAAGATATTTTATGATATTTCACTCATATCATTCTGGAATTTGGGTCTCCAAGGAAAATCAGGAGAAAAAGCATCTTTCAAAAAATATTTCCAAACATCAGGAGAAAAAAACCCGAGAAAAATACAGTTTTTTTTCCCAAAAACTCAGGAGACAACCTTGAACTACGGGGGCGCTCAATACATCCCCACGGGCCGTGGTTTGGCCACGCGTCGGGAACCTTTCCTGAAGAGCTTTCGCTGCTTCGCAGCGTCGCACATGTATGATGCCCTGGAGGCTTCATTGGGTGGGTCAAGATGAACAATCATAACATTTCATAACATTCAGCCCCAAAATACGGTATACCGGATATATACTGCAAGGTGATATACCGGGCCACTGCGTAATGATTGTTTTATTTAAGGGGACCCCCCCCATATTGGGCATCATCATACTGAAGATTCGCGATGGGATCGGAAAGGTTTTTGGTCCACAGTGAGTCCAGAGCATCTCTGAACCAATTGACGACATTGACGCGAATTTCATGGTCAGAGTAAACACATGGGATAGATGTGGCATCTTGATACACAGATTATACACAGTATATTATACGCTTGTTGGATTTGTATTGATGTATTCATTTGTAAGCACCAACATCACTCAAAGGAATTTGTCATTCTATACGATTCGCAGTCAAGAGGAGCAACGCAAAGCGGATTTTGTTGTTTGGAATTTCAGGTGTTTTCAGGTGAAAATTACTTTGACCCGAAAGGACTCCAATCGTTGCGTGGAGACCTCCTTGCAGCAATTCGTTTAGTGTTCAACCCCCCTGCTCATTGATTTGCCTTTAGCATTGTCATCATCCACAATGAACATGGGGATTGTCGTGTTTTTATCCTGATTTCATCAATTTTTAAGGGGATGAACATGACATTTCCGGTTTTTGAGCAGGGCTCATGTTGCACAGCAGCTTCAGGTGGTGTTGTTCATCATCTTCAGTGCTGCTCAGGACTATGGATTCTTGCAGTGATTGAAACAGCGCTGTCTTCGAATGTTCTCAAACTGGCGGTTCACAGATTGCGATGCAGCGTTGGGTGACATTTGCACAAGGGGAGCGGTGCATTTTGCTGACGAGTCGATATAGGTCATGGATGGTCATGGTAGTTCCAGAGTGGTTCATGGCGACCGGGCCACCTTTCTCCATGGATGTTGACGATTGTTGACGGTCTGTGGACCGCATGGCTTGAAACTCAGGAACCGGTTTCTACTTCTGCACTGGATTCAGCGCCACCAGTTGGTTGATCGCCCCATTCCTGTTCAACCCCAGGCAGGGGTCGAAATTTCGGGCTATGGCGGCTATGGCGCTATGGAAATCCATGGGGAAACCCCGATGATCCACATTGATCCACATGGTGGAATCATGGTGGATTTTCCATCTCGTTTTGTAGGGTGAGTTTGGGATCGGCCCCATGAGATCTCTGCATCTGCAGGCAGTTTGAGTCGATGGGCCAATCACTGAGCGACTTTCGGGAATGGATGACTTGGATGACCAAATTGGACGAGAAGGAGGAGGCCCAAACTGGCAGTCCAGAGCATGTCGCTGAGGTCCCACATCCTCCATGGTTGACAAGTACACCTCCAAGCTGGGTCCATAGTGTACCACCATTGTACCACCTCTAAATGATGGTTCTTGTCACCTTCAACCCAACTCATCCCTCTGATAGATTGAGCCAGGTTGACCCATGCTTAAGCCATGCTTTCTTTCGCTCCATCCATTGAACCTGGCCTCGCAGGTTTCCTGGTATGCCTGGCAGGTGAGCTTACAGGAGGCTTGAGATGTGGAGATGTCCCACGTCATCAACCCATTTTTCTGATGGATTTTCCACGAAATAAACCATCCATTTTTGGGGTACCCCAGTTTACGGAAACCCCCAAATGTGGTTTTTCATTGGGATTGTTATCAAGGAACACGATGAAATATACACTATGGTGATACACTGCGAACTTTCGTGAACTTTCGTGGATCTTTTCGGAAAGAGCTGCAGCCGATGTAGTTTCACCCAATGTTTCTCTCAGTTGTAAGGTACCTTTGTAAGAACATAAGAACCTACCAAGCTTTTAAGCTTCCATAAGCTTCCACAACGACTCCAGTAGGAGTTTGCAAGTGTGGTTTGGCCGCGCCAGGTCCGAAGAAACAAATTCATTCTTCAGTTTGTCATCGGCAATTGTCGGTTCCTGGCAGCCCTTTGCACCCTTGGATTGGTTGTTTCAGTGCCCAAGCTGAAAGAAAAAACATGAAAAAATGACACAGGTATGATATGGTATGATGATGTCAACCGCTGTTGAACCTGATAACACGTATACGACGTTTTTTCCGATCCTAAAGTGGAACGAATGGCACAAATCTTCGCCACAGACATGGCGTTTTGTAGCATCATGAGGTGCATCCTTTCCATAGCCTCAACGTGGTAAGTGCCTGTGTCTTGGAGCACTGGGGCTGTCGATATTCTCCGGAGCCCGTAGGATGCCGCAAAATGATTGGGCTTTGTTTATCTGTTTATGGCTGGCTCCAAGTCTCCAAGGTCTTATTTACTTGCCCTGCCTGAGCCATCTGCTGCTTGGCAATAAATGACATACCCACTGGTTATTTAACATAGCCATGGAAAATCCCTTATAAATGGAGGTTTTAATGGGAAAATCATCTATAAATGGGCCATTTTCAATAGCTACGTTAAATTACCAGAGGGTAAATGTACCATTCTCTTTGGCCTCGGATGTTGGTACCACCTTTTCGGTCAGCAAAAAAAACCCTTTGCCCCCCCCAATTTTAAACAACTAGACTCAGCCCGAAACCATGGTTTGGTATTGGATCCATTCGCTGTTTCTATGGCCAAGTGGCCTGCACAACAAGTGACTTGTGACGTCGAGTGCTGGAATGCTTGGAAATCACACTGGATTATGAGCATACCAAATATATTGGCCAGAATACCCCCCCTATCATATCCTGTAATCATCAACCTTTTCAGGTTTTTGAAACTTCTCAACTTGCCGAACCATAACCTTTCATGGTTCCGGGCAATTGCGCATTCAATATCATTCAATGACCAAGGGTGGTCTGCCTCTTCCTTTCCATTGGCTTCTCTTGCAAAGCTTCGGGCCGTGTGCCCTACATCCTCATAGCAACTTTGGCGGTGGTGCTCACTTTGCTCGAAATCGCATCTTGGTCTCATCAAACGGGGCTGCGGTATTTGTTCATCTATTCCGTGATCGATAACTGAAGCTGCATGTGGGGCCAGTGTGATTTTGACGTGGACAGTTCTGGCAGGCTCATGTTCTTTTTCTGGCGTTTTGTGCCTATTTGCTGTTTGTCACTGAGTAGAAAGATGACGATACTCAAGTCCTTTTGTTTTGTATGTTTCTTCTTTCTGACCTGCAACTTTGGCAGCTTGTATTCACAGGCAGTATCGGCACACCTGCTGACCCCGGCTGTTATATTTCACAAGCAACTCGGCTGGGCTGCCATGTTGTAAACTTCTGCGACCGTCTTGTCGATGTAGACTCTAGATATTTCAGCTCTGGAGCAAGAACGGGAATGGTTTGACTCAAACGGGCAACTGTGGAATTTTCCAAGACAACTTCTACAGTCTACCGCGGTTGAACACCCCCGCTTTGAACATTTCATCATGGATGGTGTTTCCCCATAAATCATTTCTTTCCTGCATGGTTTGGGACTGGGAAACGAGTCAAGTACACATGACCAAGATTGACCAAGGAAGTTTTGACTAAGACATGAACTATATAAAACTAACAAAACCTAATGAGGGCTGGACGACTGACGCCTGACATCGCCGCATTATGCATTTGCTATCTATGGATTTCTGGAAAGTCTCTTTTCCCCCTATTCTCTATATTCATTGAAAGGACAATACAAAGTACATGAACGTAGGAGACCCATGGAAACCCCAGGCTGGTTACATCAACTGATTGAACTGCCATTTTGGCGGATTTTTGTTGCTTTTGTTTCGGGCCCTTTCACAGTGAAACCATGGATTTTATCATTTTTATCGCAATTCCTTCCAGGCCTTGTAGCCCTGAAAAAACCATCCTTTGGTTCATCCCCTCCCATCCCAGGTACATCTTGCTCCGCTGGATGCTGGAGACGGCTGACGGCCTTGCAGCCAACCCATCGGTCAAGGCGGGCCCGGAACAGCGGTGACCGGCACCGACCGGAAATGGGTCGTGTTCAGCAACGAAAAGGGGTGGTTTAACATAGAACAATGGGGATTCAGACGCTCAGATGGAAAAATGCCACGGGATTGGGATGGGTCAAAACCCACGCAGGACTGAGGTTGGAATCCTGCAAGCTGGTTGTGTCAGGGTGAGGCCGAACGCTCGGCTCCAATCTGAACATCCGCAACTTGAGTCCTCAATGACAGCGGTAGAAGTTCCAACCAGCTCTTCCCCAAATATCTTCCGATTATGGTTTGTCAAAAATAGCCATTAACCCATATGACATCATATGACTATATCCCCAAGTATATGGTTGATTGAATCCCAACAAAAAGAGTCAAGCATTCTCAAACACATTCAAATTCAAAGCCTGACGGGCAGTGGGAGGCCTTCCTGCCGTTTGTGCACGATGCCTGTCGGCTGTGGGCCTTCTCATGGCGATTCCTACGAGACATGGAAGCTCAGATAAGACGGGGAGATTTTCTGCGGGAAACTGCAAGACATAAAACACCCTGGTGGGTTTCCTGTTTTCATCCATGTTCGTCTCTTTCGATTTATTTCCATCTCTTTCCATCTCTTTCCATCTCTTTCCATCTCTTTCCATCTCTTTCCCATTTTGGACTCGTTGAGCCAGGCGGGTCCATGAGGGAAGAGAAGAACACCCAAAATGTTTAATTACAGGAAAGATGAAGCCCATTGGGGCTCGAATGTCTTGCGTTGGGTAGGTTGCAATTTCCGGATTTGTGCTTCCCAAGTTGGGTTGGGTTTGATGAAGCTTTTGCGCGTGGGTGCCGCAATGCCTAAATGCCTAGGCTCTGGGTGTGCCACTGGCACTGCTGTTCTGTGCAATGACCTGCATTCCCTGCCTCAACAGCTTGCAGCCAGATAGCATCCACTTGGGACTTGTTAGGTTGCATGCTTTCAATCCACGAGGTTTCATATGGTTTCATTTTGACTGTGAAGATGGGGTGTGATATCCGCCGACGGTCGGTATTGATATGTATTGATCTAGTGTTATTCTTCTGATTTAGAATCATTAGATTCGTTCTCTATGTGTGACACTGATGCATTCAGCGCGGACGATGTCTCAATGAAGCTGTAACAACCACAATGGGAATTCAACGACGCAACTCGAAAGATTCTGCACCTGCTTTCAGAAATGTAATGGTTGTTGATGATTTGTTTGGGTATTTTGGGTTCAACATCTAGTTTCCGGCCTAAAATGGAAGCGTTCCTAAATGGCCATGTCCACATCTGTGGATTCGTGGTGCAAGGCACACGCTCTTCCTTTTTCACACACGTCGGCCAAAGGAAGAGGTGCCGCATCTGGCTGCAGCTGCTGCGGGTGATACGGGATGGAAGAAATCCTGCACCAGTTGATAGATGGTTTATCATGGTTTATCCCATATCCCATGATTTAATATTATTTATAGGCTTTCAACATGTTTCAACCATCCAAGGTGAGCAGGATTTCTTCCATCCACAGTATGTACTGATGGTGGACGCGTATCACTAAGAATCAACTGCTGCCAGGGCCTGGTGGTCGAAGATGCGGACGAGAATGGGTCCTCCACTCATTTGGTGGATCCTGATCCGATCCATGGCGGAACGGTCCCAAAATCACCAGAAAAAACAGGAACAAGGCGCCCCCAGATGTTGGATATGGAGAAATTCGGACATTTTGGACATTTGTTCAACACTTTGATTGAAGGATGCCATCGAATTGCGGCCACCACCCTGAAATTTCCTTGTGAAAGACCCCTAGGAGTTGCTGTTGGGTGACCAGCGAACCCTGGATGGGAACGAAAGAACTTGCTGTAACTTACATTGGTTTGATGCCGTGGCTGGAACATCAAGTTGAGATCCTCCTTGAATTTGACAGTGGAGCTGATCAGCAACCTGCACCAAGGATCCGAAATTTCTTCCGAGTCCCGACTGAATTTCATGTCCGGTGATTGTGTTGCGAATGGAGTTGGTCCACCAAGATGGCTAAAAATCATGGTTTAAACTTAAATCATCTTAAATCCTTGGAACCCAACCAAAAGCAAAGGCTTCCTCTTTTAGTCAGGCTGCAAAAACCATTGTTCAATACTTTTACTTAGACTTTGACGGGTTTTATGATACGGACCCCCCATAAAATGGTCATTTACAAGAGGAACACCATCATCCCAAGAAAGGGTGTTTTTGCCATGTTTTTCGCCTGGTTCCCTGGGTTTCCCCAAAAAAACTATAGTATAGGCCATTAGTATAGCCGCATAGCCATGGTTTCTCTGAAACTATAGGGATCTATAGGGTATAGCAATTAGTATAGCCATAGCTCAGCCATCCAAATCCATCCGTTTCCCGTGGCTTTCACCATGTTTCCCCAAGGCACCTTTGCGCCTGAGTCCTCGGTGGTGGTGCGGGGGGACCGGCGCCGCCGGAAACGGCCCACGGGACGCTCCAGCCTCAGAGCCACGCAGAGCGAACCCAACTTCGGGGAGCAGGAGGAGCTCACCTGATCCAACAGAAATGGCCAAAAGATCAGAAAGAATAGATATAATAGATAGATGGTTTCTGACAAGAAAATGGCTAAAAAACATAGATGGTTTCTGATATTGTCATAGGTCCCAAATGAATCCCAATGATCCCAAATATATACACATATATGATAAATCGATGGTTTCATAATGTTTCATACCCTTCTAAGGTATGGTTCCTGGGGGGGTAGTATTAGGATTGGATCAGCGTGGCAACTGAAGTTCGTTGCTTACCCCAAAGAAGTCCTGGTTTAGGACTGGATCTATTCATTTTGGGGGTCCAAAAAAGGGGGATATTGACCCTGCTGGGGGGAAGGGATTGATTTTTGTTACCCTCAAACAGTAAAAAAGGAGAGGCCGTCCCCAAAAATATGGAGGCAACAAAGAATGGAAGACTCAAGACTAGACCCACAAAATGGTAAATTGGAAGAGGAGAATTCTCCAGACCCACTTGTAGCAGGTCCTGTTGGTAGTGGGGGTAGGATCTTCAGAAGCTCTCATCCCTCAGCAGATTGAACTGTTGCTTGGTCATATGGTGAGTGGTTACAGAGCAGTAAGAAGCCCTCTTCCCTAGTGCATCTTGACCTGCACCCAAAAAACATGGGGGGACATTTTTAAGGACCCACTATTGGCAAACAATTACTAATTTCGAGAGGATAAACATCATATATAATGATAGCATATATATATAATATTAGATCATATGTAGTTACATATCCTTGTATATATAGTTGTATAATGTGTGTGTATATGTGTATATATATATATGAACACCACCTGGTAAATCAATCTCCAGCAACTGGCAACTGGTCTCTCTTTGAGCTCTTTATTCAAAAACTCACGTGGATGTGCAGACTGGTTTTCACGTGAGTCGCGTTGGAAAAGAGTCGCCTCGACCTTCTCCTCACGGAGATGTTCGATGAGCTGCGACACCTGTCACGAAATGACATCAGGATGGAGCTTGCCCACGCATTGCATGTGGAGGCTGCAAGTGATGTGAAGTAAAATAGATTTGAAGAAATGTACTGACAGAGATGACTTTTCAGTGGTTCTATACCAATCGCCAAAAAGAGAGATATTTACCATCATTATTTTAACATAGGATTCTTTACTTTTTACTAATCTGTTCTATCTTTTTGGTTGCTCTACATTCTGGCAGTCACGCACTCGCAATGCCCGCAAGTTTCTTACTGGAATCGATTTGCGCAAGTCTCACCCTCCCCGACCAGAGTAAATGGCACTTGGTCATCAGCTTGGACAAAAAGAGTATTGCGAGGTGATTAGTTGGGGGATTACTAACCAATATATCGGGGACTATCACAGTACATTTTTACGGGGACTCCTATTCTCAACCAGGGATGCTGAAACCCATTCAAGTGGACCCCACAGTTCACCGATGTTCACCGGGCAGGTTCAGGATGATGATATCTATCTGCCAAGTCGGGGGCCTCATCTTCGGCAGGTCTCGAAGGCAGGTCTCTTTTTTCGGTCGGCTTCGGAGGTTTTATCTGATGTAGATAGATATAAGATGATATAGGATGATATTCAGATGAATTATATTAATATATATATATATTACAATAATGATAATGATAATAATAATAATAACAATATTTTTTTTTCCAAGAGGCACAAAGTAGCTTCACGCTGCGGCCTACGCATGTTGAATTCAAAAACAAGCCAAAGGGTCACTTCTGAGGGCCAGCGTTATATGTATATATATATATATACACATACAGACGAATAATAGTAGTAATAGTAATAATAAGATTAATAATAATAAGAACAATAAATAAACATCAATAATACTAATAATGATAATAATAATAACACCAGCAAACTAAAGATCATATTGATAATAACATATACTATTTACAGTAATAATCATAATGATAGTAATAAGTAGTCATATGATATAGGTGAATTACTATGACTCAGCCAGCATTCGAGGTTTGCATGAAGAGGCTTTGCGCACTGCCTTGTGAGGGCCTCAGGGCGGCTTTCTGTTGATCCCGTGGGGATCGGTCACCGAAAGTCATTGGGCATCGGTTTCCGTTTGGTCATGGGGGTACCCCCAGTCATCATCCATTTATAGATAGATTTTCCATGATTTTCCATGATAAACCATCCAGCTATTGGGGTACCCCCATTTTAAGACACCTCCATTGTGTGAAGTTACCAGTTGCACCATAAATCGACCAGGAAAGACTTCGATGTTAAAACGCGTTTGGCGCTTCGTCGAATCCTTCGCTTGAAGGTGGGGACTGAGATCGGTGATGGGTGACGCCATGATTGCTTCTTCACTGTGGTAAAAGTCGAATTCGACCCACACCAAGTTCAGGATTACAACATGATCCGCATTCAGACAGCTGCAGTATGCAGTATGCCATGCCAGTGATTTTTTTAAACCACTTCAGGATCGTTGCCCGATTCTTGGTTTGAAGATGAACATAGATGGCTATGGGTCAATACCTATAAATACCATTTTTAGGGGGATGAACATCCATTTACCAGCTATTTTGATGTTCACCAGGGGTACAAGGTTTTGACACACTGCCAGATGAACCATGTGTTTCAAACACGTTTTTCACACTTTCCTCCGAACGATCAAACAGTTGGGCTTCAGCTCACCAGCACAGGCAGGCCTCACCAACTTGCAGGCGTGGACCACTTGCAGAGTACTAAGGCAACAGATTGCAAAAACACCAGCGTTAAGCATTCAAACACCTTCTCAGTTTTGCTGAAATTAATTTATTGAGAGTACACGAGAGTACTGTCTGTTTAATTATATAGGTTTAGTATGGTTTAGTTATACACATAGATAGTTATTGGCAATGTGGATACGTTGAAATATAACCTCAATCCCAAATCCTTCAATCCCAGACCCTACCCTACAAGCACTCAAACAGTTGCAGCAAAAAAATAGCAAAGCCTCAACGTGACGCCGATGCTCAATCTCAGCCTCAATCTCAACCCAGAACAGACTTTTGAAACATAAAATTATAGATTCTGACGATATATGCTACTGTACAATGAACCGCTGAAAGGAGACTGTTTTGGATGATTATCCACTCACCACCCAGCACGGGGAATGCATTGAAACATAACGAACAGGAAACTCAAGAACCGGGATAACATAGGGCAAACCACTCACAGACAGATTTGAAACCCAAACTCGACCAATTGAAACAAACTCTGGCACAGCAAGAAATGCGCTGAAAGAAGGGGACGTGTCTGATGGGCGAATCTTGATAGGGCCGATGAGCAATCAGTTTCCTGGTAATTATCTTAATTGATACTCTGTCAGCAAAATCGAAACACAACAATATCTGGAATACCCAGATTTCAAGTTAATCATGTTTCTGAAGTACAAAATTCATATGATCATGAAATAGAAACATGTGAAATTTGGGAAACTTAAGAACAAGAACACCAAAGAAGACGTTAAGCCACATATACAGTGAAGAGTAGAGTAGAACTTGAACATGAAGTCACCAACGAAGAGAAGACAAACAAACAAACAAACCAACCAACCAACCAACCAACCAACCAACAAACCAACCAACCAACCAACCAACAAACCAACAAACAAACCAACCAACCAACCAACACACCAGCACACCAGCACACCAGCACACCAGCACACCAGCACACCAGCACACCAGCAAACCAGCACACCAGCACACCAACAAACCAACAAACCAACAAACCAACAAACCAACAAACCAACAAACCAACAAACCAACAAACCAACAAACCAACAAACAAACCAACCAACCAACAAACAAACAAACAAACAAAGAAACAAACACACAAACACACAAACAAACAAACAAACAAACGAACAAACGAACAAACGAACGAACGAACGAAGGAACGAAGGAACGAAGGAACGAAGGAACGAAGGAACGAAGGAACGAAGGAACGAACGAAAGAACGAACGAACGAACGAACGAACGAACAAATGATGTTCTAAAGCCCAAACAAACATCCCAAGATTTGGGGTCAACAGGCGAATGCAGCGACGGCTGGTGCAGGTGGCAGAGACCTGGGAAAGCGGCAACAAATATAGGGGGGGACACACCCTCCGGAAATCAGACGTGGCAATGGGAAATCTCGCCAGAAATGGAAGGTTTAATGGAGACAAATTGATGAACATTATATATGTATGAATGGGGGAATTTTCATTACCAAATTTGATTACAGGAGGGTAATGTCAACTTGGGATTAGTAATCCCTGACTTGGGGGACCCTGACTCATAGTCCTAGATTACAATCGCATTAATGTTGATTACATAATTTTACGTTGACATCGGCAAAAATGGGGTGATTTATGGAGGTTTCACTACGGTCCCCAAAAACCCCGAAGGCTCTTGGGCCTGAAAGAATCAGCTGCCAGAAACCGACCATAGCTTGGTTGAAACCATGATATTTCGATGTTTGGGAAGAAGGCGGAAGGCGGAAGTTTTGGCGAAGTTTTTCGATGTCTCCAAAAACTTGGGATCGATATCCCACCCCATTCTGCCGAATGAACAGTTCATTCCCAGCGTCCTGAGATCAACACAACGTGCGAAGAATGCTTGGGAAAGATATTGCAAGGCAGAAGCCAGAATGGCAAAACTTTCCAAGAATTGGTGGTTTTGATCCCATGGGTTGCCCATTGAATGTCTCCATCTTCCCATCCCCAACCGAGACGGGTCGAGCCAGGTCCAGTCAGCGTTACCCAAAAACCTGCCAAGAAGGTCGCGGCCTGAAAGGAGAACTGGTTGCTTCATAGATAGATGAAATTCAATGACGATGATTATTAATTATTGATCATTTATTATCATTTATTATCATTTATTATCATATTAGAATTATTTGGTGATTATTTGGTGATTATGGTTACTCATTATCATATATAGAATGGGCTAGCACCCGGGTGCCGCCGACCCCCCTTCTGGGGAGTTGGGCTGAAGGTGGTTGGTCTATATCTAACCCAGCCACGTCCCAGATTTTGTACAGTTGTAAGGGTGCGTGCCAATAAGAAGCCATTGATGTGTGGCCTTGGGGTGCCTGTTGGCTGCAGGATGAAGCATGCCAAGGGAATGTTTAAGCGATGTGGCCTTGGGGCAGCGCTATTGCCCTGTTCGGCGTTCCGAGAAGCTTTTGCACAGTTTGCAGGGTTTTAAGGGTTTTAAGGGTAAGCGTTTAAGGGCTGGCAAACGGCAGGCTTGGACGCCCATTAAGGGTTTTAAGGGTTTTGAGGGTTTTTAAGCGTTTTAGGCGTTTTAAGCGTTTTAAGGGTTTAAGGGCTGGCAAACGGCAGGCTTGGGCGCCCATAAGAAGCCATTGATCTGTGGCCTTGGGGTGCCTGTTGGCTGCAGGATGAAGCATGCCAAGGGAATGTTTAAGCGATGTGGCCTTGGGGCAGCGCTATTGCCTGCGCGGTTCGGCGTTCCGAGAAGACTTTTGCGCAGTTTGCAGGGTTTTAAGGGTTTTAAGGGTAAGCGTTTAAGGGCTGGCAAACGGCAGGCTTGGACGCCCATTAAGGGTTTTCAGGGTTTTAAGGGTTTTGAGGGTTTTTAATGGTTTTAAGCGTTTTAAGGGTTTAAGGGCTGGCAAACGGCAGGCTTGGACGCCCATAAGAAGCCATTGATGTGTGGCCTTGGGGTGCCTGTTGGCTGCAGGATGAAGCGTGCCAAGGGAATGTTTAAGCGATGTGGCCTTGGGGCAGCGCTATTGCCTGCGCGGTTCGGCGTTCCGAGAAGCTTTTGCACAGTTTGCAGGGTTTTAAGGGTTTTAAGGGTAAGCGTTTAAGGGCTGGCAAACGGCAGGCTTGGACGCCCATTAAGGGTTTTAAGGGTTTTAAGGGTTTTTAAGGGTTTTAAGCGTTTTAAGGGTTTTAAGGGTTTAAGAAGCCATTGATGTGTGGCCTTGGGGTGCCTGTTGGCTGCAGGTTGAAGCATGCCAACGGTTTAAGGGCTGGCAAACGGCAGGCTTGGACGCCCTAAGAAGCCATTGATGTGTGGCCTTGGGGTGCTGTTGGCTGCAGGATGAAGCATGCCAAGGGAATGTTTAAGCGATGTGGCCTTGGGGCAGCGCTATTGCCTGCGCGGTTCGGCGTTCCGAGAAGCTTTTGCACAGTTTGCAGGGTTTTAAGGGTTTAAAGGTAAGCGTTTAAAGGGCTGGCAAACGGCAGGCTTGGACGCCCATTAAGGGTTTTAAGGGTTTTAGGGTTTTGAATGGTTTTTACGGGTTTTTAAGCGTTTTAAGGGTTTAAGGGCTGGCAAACGGCAGGCTTGGACGCCCATAAGAAGCCATTGATGTGTGGCCTTGGGGTGCCTGTTGGCTGCAGGATGAAGCATGCCAAGGGAATGTTTAAGCGATGTGGCCTTGGGGCAGCGCTATTGCCTGCGCGGTTCGGCGTTCCGAGAAGCTTTTGCACAGTTTGCAGGGTTTTAAGGGTTTTAAGGGTAAGCGTTTAAGGGCTGGCAAACGGCAGGCTTGGACGCCCATTGAGGGTTTTCAGGGTTTTGAGGGCTTTTAAGGGTTTTAAGCGTTTTAAGGGTTTTAAGGGTTTAAGGGCTGGCAAACGGCAGGCTTGGACGCCCATAAGAAGCCATTGATGTGTGGCCTTGGGTTCCCTGGTGGCTGCAGGATGAAGCATGCCAAGGGAATGTTTAAGCGATGTGGCCTTGGGGCAGCGCTATTGCCTGCGCGGTTCGGCGTGCGGAGAAGCTTTTGCACAGTTTGCAGGGTTTTAAGGGTAAGCGTTTAAGGGCTGGCAAGCGGCAGGCTTGGACGCCCATTAAGGGTTTTCAGGGTTTTAAGGGTTTTAAGGGTTTTGAGGGGTTTTAGGGGTTTTAAGCGTTTTAAGGGTTTTAAGGGTTTAAGGGCTGGCAAACGGCAGGCTTGGACGCCCATAAGAAGCCATTGATGTGTGGCCTTGGGGTGCCTGTTGGCTGCAGGATGAAGCATGCCAAGGGAATGTTTAAGCGATGTGGCCTTGGGGCAGCGCCATTGCCTGCGCGGTTCGGCGTGCCGAGAAGCTTTTGCACACTTTGCAGGGTTTTAAGGGTTTTAAGGGTAAGCGTTTAAGGGCTGGCAAACGGCAGGCTTGGACGCCCATTAAGGGTTTTCAGGGTTTTAAGGGTTTTGAGGGTTTTTAAGGGTTTTAAGCGTTTTAAGGGTTTTAAGGGTTTAAGGGCTGGCAAACGGCAGGCTTGGACGCCCATAAGAAGCCATTGATGTGTGGCCTTGGGGTGCCTTTTGGCTGCAGGATGAAGCATGCCAAGGGAATGTTTAAGCGATGTGGCCTTGGGGCAGCGCTATTGCCTGCGCAACAAGTGCAACACCACACGCAGGTAGACCACCCCCGACAAGCTCCAGTGCTGTCCAGCACCTTGCACATTTAAAGCCCGTGCAGAAGGCCTTGCACAGTTAAAGCCGGCGCGGGCGGCCTCGTGCGTTTGGTGCCCGCACGGAAGGCAAAGGACGGACCCCGCCGTCTTCATCGCTGTCGATGACTTGAACCTTTACTACGGGAATGCGGGAACGGCTGCTTTGGCCTTGAAATACAAAACCTTCCGCAGGAAAACTTACTTGCCCAAAGCATGTAATTTTCATGTCCAAATGCCTGGAAGTCTTAACTGCAGGATGAAGCATGCCAGGAGAATGTTTACGCGATGTGGCCTTGGGGCAGCGCTGTTGGCTGCGAGATGGGTTTGACCTTGGGAAGCTAAGAAGGAGAAGTTCCACACCTGCGGTGGTCCCAGGCGCCGCCCCTGCCTTGGCCAAGGCCGGGGTCGGCGGATATCATATATATCAATCATATATTTTATATCTATATATTACAATGAAATTGATAATATATCAGAATATATCATGATGATCATGAAATTAGATGAACTTCCATTGACCAACGATTTATCAGAAGATTTCAGAGAGGCCGCTTCTGGGACCGCTGCAGTGCAGCCCAACCAACAAGGGGAGCTGCAAGCTTAGTGATTTGCTGGTCTTACTGAGTAGCCTCAGGCATTCGACCGGCAATCTTTTGAATGGAAAAAGCATCTCTGGAACTAAGCATAAAAAGGATTAAAAAGGTATAAGATGGTATAAGATTGCATTATAAGATGGTATTATCACATGGCATGAGATGGTGTAAGATGGCCTAAAATGCACCAGTGGTTAAACAAAATCCCCGGCAAATTCTGCCACCGCCACAAAATCTGGCTCTCCTCACCAAGGTTGGCCGTGAAGTCTGAAGCCCGGAAAGTTCGTGCAGAACTCAGGGTGTTTTTGGTGGAATCAGTGGATGACATGTCTCTTGTAAGCTATGTTGAATGAGAGTTAAACGAGACGATTTTATACTATTTTGGCTTTGGCATTTCATGTTTACCTTGGACCAGGGGTTGGTGGTCACAGATTTTGTTTTTTGTTTACATTTGCAAGTGGATTTGGGATGGTGATCCCGAATGACAAGTATGTTTGGGATGGATCGAAACCACCCAACAGTACAGTATATTTCAACGAACCTTTCTTGGCCGCTTTCCAGCCTTTTAAGCAACATTTTTTCCATGATCTATTACAATGTTCAGTAAACACTCCAATTCCTTGATGTTTTTTCTTTTTCTTTTTTCTCGCACTATTTTCAGGGACCTCAGCTTGAGCAAACCTATCGAATGCTTCCTGAGGCAAAGTAGTGAAGCGTCGAGGTGCAACGTAACGTACGTAGTGAAGCGTTGGGTCTGAAAGGTTGTCGCTTTATCCTCAAATCGACAGTCGGGAGTAGAAACCTTGGATTTTTCGAGCCTTGTCAAGGCTTGTTTTGCCAGAGTCAGGACTTGGTTGTAGACGTTTGGTATCTTGGCTTCTGATTGGGGCAATTTGTTTTGGCATTTACAGCAGTGCAAATTTCCAAATCACCAAATTGCTGAACTGACTGAGATGTCCCTACATATAAGATCCCCATCCTCCAGACATGGCGGTCACAAGACCTGCAGATTCTCATCCAGAAGTCATAGGGCTGAGTTCAACTTCCCCACATTCCGCCAGTTGCTGATGCGGAGACCGAGACTACTAAGGACACAAAGGCAGGAACGGTTCAAGCAGAATCGGACGAAACGATTCATAGAAACCACCCTGAAGCATCCAATACTCAGTTGACCCCTTTGACCAATCCAATGCTCAGTTGACACCCGCTTGGTTGATGGTCATTCAAGAGATTACCTCAAGGATTCAACCGTCCATTTTTGCGAACTCATTAATTTTGAACTATACAGGGATAGAAGCTATGTGATGGTTGCTCGATGGTTGATAAAGGTTCCCACTGTGGATGAGTGCATCATCCACTTGAAACCAGTTGATACTCCTATTGAGGATTTCGGGCACTGCTACGGACGTTTATACTACAGCCTCCTCGATAACTGCGCGAAATCACACCTCAGCACCATGTGGCTTTGTTTGATATACCATGATATACTGATAAAACTGATATAAACTAATATGCATATATGATCATATATGCCCATAAAAGTGGCAATCATCTTGATAGGGAAAATGATGAACCACTGGAAGGGTACCCCATTTTCAGAAAACCCCCGCGCCAGGCCAGCCCTGCTGCAACGGTCCAAGAAGAGCCCGCCGCACAAGTCCCTCAACGCAGGCAGCGCGGCTGAGCCTGCGGACAGGTCAAAAAAAGGTGACCGAAGATTCTTTGGGGGTTGCGACATGCCCAATAAAATAGAAGATATCGCTAGACATGGACGATATGGATGATATGGATGATATGGGGCTTTAACATGCTTTAACATGCTTTAGAAATCTTTTTTCTTTGTTGTTTCTTTGTTGTTGTCGCCGGCGATTCCATGTGATTTCCTCTCACTGAAAACATGGTGCGCCAGGGTGACGAAGGGGAAGCCTGCAGAGGTGGTGACAGAATGGGTAGGGTGACATGTTTGAATCCAGATAGAATTGGTCGAAGAAGAACACACATAAACACGCTTTGGGTATGGCTCAAATTTGCAACCGGACTCAACGGTTCTTGATCACTTTCAACGGCATCCAATTTTTTGGCACCAAATTCGGAGTAGCCATCATATGGTTGGAAGATATGGAAGATGTGCCTGATCAGTTTGTGCCTGATTCAATTGATTGGTTGCAAAAGATGTCATGTGTGTGGATCCCCACAGATCTGTGACGGGGCTCCCGAGCATTTGATGGCTTGAAGATGTTTGGGCTGTCTCAAATTCAATCCTTTAGTAACTTTAGTATATAATCACCTGCCGAAAAAAGAGATTGAACATAAAATGATGTAGTATTTTTTCATCTTCAGTTCGATAAAAGCAGGCAGGGAAATCCCAGATTTTGCAGGGGATCATTGTGGCCTATCAGGCGGACAGTGGGAAACGCGCCCAATCTCAAGATGGAGGATGGGCTATCCTTACCCGCAGGGGGTGGTGAAATGGGATGGCAGTAGCTGTGATCATGCTACAGGTACATGATACAGTAGTGGTTAGAGTGGTTAGAGTGGTTAGAGTGGTTAGAGTGGTTAGAGTGGTTAGAGTGGTTAGATGTTAGAGTGGTTAGAGTGGTTCGAGTGGTTAGAGAAGTTAGAGTGGTTAGAGTGGTTAGAGTGGTTAGAGTGGTTAGAGTGGTTAGAGTGGTTAGAGTGGTTAGAGTGGTTAGAGTGGTTAGAGTGGTTAGAGTGGTTAGATGTTAGAGATGTTAGAGTGGTTAGAGTGGTTCGAGTGGTTAGAGAAGTTAGAGTGGTTAGAGTGGCTAGAGTGGTTAGAGTGGTTAGAGTGGTTCGAGTGGTTATAGTGGTGATGGTGTTCTTGTTCTTGTTCTTGTTCTTGTTCTTGTCGTTGTCGTCGTCGTCGTCGTCGTCGTGGTTGTTGTTGTTGTTGTTGTTGTTGTTGTTGTTGTTGTTGTTGTTGTTGTTGTTGTTGTTGTTGTTGTTGTTGTTGTTGTTGTTGTTGTTGTGTTGGTTGTTGGTTGTTGGTTGTTGGTTGTTGGTTGTTGGTTGTTGGTTGTTGGTTGTTGGTTGTTGGTCGTCGTGGTTGTTGTTGTTGTTGTTGTTGTTGTTGTTGTTGTTGTTGTTGTTGTTGTTGTCGTTGTCGTTGTTGTTGTTGTTGTTGTTGTTGGTTGTTGTTGTTTGTTGTTGTTTGTTGTTGTTTGTTGTTGTTTGTTGTTGTTTGTTGTTGTTTGTTGTTGTTTGTTGTTGTTTGTTGTTGTTTGTTGTTGTTTGTTGTTTGTTTGTTGTTGTTTGTTGTTGTTTGTTGTTGTTTGTTGTTGTTTGTTGTTGTTTGTTGTTGTTTGTTGTTGTTTGTTGTTGTTTGTTGTTGTTTGTTGTCGTTTGTTGTCGTTTGTTGTCGTTTGTTGTCGTTTGTTTTTGTTTGTTGTCCTTTGTTGTCGTTTGTTGTCGCTTGTTTGTTGTTTGTTGTTTGTTGTTTGTTGTTGTTGTTGTTGTTGTTGTTGGTGGTGGTGGTGGTGGTTGTATTGGTGTTGGTGTCGGTGTCGTTGTTGGTGTTGGTGTTGGTGTTGGTGGTGTTGGTATTGGTGTTGGTGTTGATGGTGTTGTTGGTGTTGTTGGTGTTGTTGGTGTTGTTGGTGTTGTTGGTGTTGTTGGTGTTGTTGGTGTTGTTGGTGTTGTTGTTGCTCCTGCTGCTGCTGGTTGTTTTGGTGGCGACGATTGATGCCGCTGTCAAACATGGCCAGCCATGACCAAAGCATCCTGTCAGCCATTCAGCACATCGTACTCAAAGTAGTTTTTGACTGGCAATGCGGATAACTTACGGGCGCGGCTCAAAAAAGAAGACGCCATTCAAGTTTTTTTTAAACGTTGATAACCAATTTCCCATAAACTACTTTGTTCATGTCAATCAATTGATGCAACCAACGTTACTGGCCAACCACTTCGGATCCATTTGGTCGGCAGGCGAGCAGTCCTCACCGGCACAACTCAGGGAGGTACGGAGAAAGCACGGCAGCCCAAAGGGGGAGGTAAGGGCGATGAAATGAACTCCCAAATCCCGTGGTTGAAACTTGAAACAGTAATTTTCCTACATTTTCCCTATCAAAATGGCCACACATATTTAAGCATCCCACATTTTTGGCAAAAACCATGTATGTGGTAGAGACAAATTGGCAATTGGAGCTGCAGTTAGAGCAACAGAACAGCGCATGAATGGAACCGTTGTAGACAAGTTGTAGGCATTAGTGCAACTGCAAAGACAGACTGGAAGTATGCTTCCAATGTTGAGCAGTGACGTTTCTTCATGACATCGTTGACCAGTCAACAGATTCATGGTGATTCCACTTGATAGTTGTGATATGTTGTGATGACGCGGGTAGCCCAATAGGCCAAAAACTAGTCACATCAAATTGGGTTGAATTCCTGAACCAGATACCACCAGAAACATCCAGAAACCATCAGAAACTGTAGGAAAACATCAGAAATCATGAGAAACCACCGAAACCATGAGAAATCATCAAAAATAAACAAAAATGATCAACAGTCACCAGAAATCATCAAACATCAACAATATATATAATAATCAACAATCACTAGAATTCATCAAAAATCACCAGAAATCATAGGAAACCATTATGGACCCATACAATCCACTGGCCAATCACCAGAGACCTGCCCAGGGCAAGCTCTCCCAGTCCTTGCTCTTCGAGGTGCTCTGAAAATCATCGAACTAAATTTCAGAATCATTAAGGGATATGACCATGGTAATAACAACCATAAGTAAGTATCCATAACTTGGGATGCAATCCCTACAAGTAGATATAAATTGTTTGTTTTTTCCAGCCATGCTTGACTACCGGAGGCTAGCTTTTTCGTGTTTCTTCACTTTAAATTTAAATACAATGATTGTGGAGGTCTATCTGTGCAAGACGAACTCCGAGTCCCTCATTTCGACCTCGTCGGATGAAAGGAGTGCCACTACTTCATGATATGTTTCAAATCCATTTGAGCAAGCCTTTCCAGGTAAGCATTCAAGCCTCCGCAGAGACATATTACGTGGTAGGTGATGTAGGTGAGCATCTGGGTAGAACGCCCCGCTCCTGCCCCTTGCTTGATATGATTCCCAGACCAACAGACTTGGACCATTGATCAAGAAATTGCCAAGATACTTTGGTGTAGATGGGGTCAACATTCAAAGATTCAAACCGTTTCAAACCAAAACGTTGGCCGTTCCCACTTCAGCAACTTCAGCCAACGTCACCATGCCAAGTCCCAGGACCAGATCGTCGCATGGGCCGCTCACCCTCTCCCCGTCGCCGCGACAGCCGCGCACCGCCCCGCCGCCCGACGCCGCGCCGTTCGGGGGGCAGCCGGCGCCCGCGGCGCGCCGCGGCGCAGCCCGCGGCGGAGTCCGCGCCGCAGCCTGCGGCGCAGCCCGCGGCGCAGTCGCTCGCGGCGCAGCCGGGAACGTTCCAACCGACGCAGGTCATGATGGCAGCTGGTGATGGCAGTGATTCCACTGAGTTCGGAGGATTCTGGAGGTGGTGAACGCGCCGCAGCCGAATCATGATTTAGATTGTAGATAGCGATAGAATGATAGTATGGCCTGCTGGACAAAAGAATTGCAGCTCTATTGATTCTGTGATTTGACTGGACCAAAGAGAAGAGGGATCCTCACTTAAAGACTTAGGCTCACTTTCCTGAGTAAGCTGGCCAAGCACGAAGAGTTCATGGGCAAAAGCAGCATGACTACAGCCAACTGCTGGGCCCAATGAGAGTCACATCGGGATAGAATGAAACATTGATCCAATTTAGCCAAGACTCGAATTTGATCGTTCGATATCGCGTTGATGGTTGAATTGGGAGAAGCCAATGACTCTGGCTACTGTAATCAGTTGAAACTGCAGACAGGCCTGTTTCCAAGATGTGCAATTGGAATGACGTGCAAAACCGTGGACATCTCTCGAGAAACAGAGACACAATTTCCAGAGGAGTTCCAAATCATCCATTTTCATAGGATTTTCCATTACTGTATACATAAACCATCCATTTGGGGGATCTCCCATTTTAGGAACCCCCCAAATGGAGTCTCCATCGATGTCCGCATCCGCAACCGTTTCTACCAGATCAGCGGGTGTTTTGAAGGGCCCCGATGCAGTTTGCTAATGCCAGGCAAGGAAAGGGGGCAGGATGATCGAAAGAGCAGTTCTGGCTGCCATCAATTCCGTGAAATATAATTAATGTTGGTAAAACAATGTCATACACCACCCATTTGGGAATGGTTTATACCACCTATGGTGATTTTGGGGATGATTTATTATTGTTTTACCCACATTATTCAAATTCACTCAATCTAATGTACTGTACTCGTTTGCGACACTTCCTAGCCCACCTGGGGAAAACTGCATTCTCACGTTTGCAAGCGTCTTGCAAACGTGAGATACAGACGTATGTGTATTTAATTCTACATTTGTTAATGTAATGAGAATGATAATAATAACAATAATCACAATAGTAATAATAAAACATACCAATAATAACGATAGTAACAATAGTAGTAATAAGAATAACACTACTACTACTACTACTAATAATAATAATAGGTCCATCTCAAGACAGCATTGTCAGATATTGTGAGCATGAACCGCATGGGCCACCATTTCGACCTCAATTCCATCCGGAGTTGGGTCCATTCTGTTGGTCTCAATTCCGGAGCATTAAACGAATCCTTCGGCCAGGCACATTCATATGTCTGTATCCACTGCCTGCGGTACGGAACCCGGGCAGAGATCTGACGGCACAAAACGCCTCTATGGTTTCATCCTCTGAGGTTTCCTCCTATCGTCGGGGCCCGATTCTACTGGACAGATGGAGGAAATTTTGGAACAATTGACTCTCTTTAGACACCGAAGTAATTCAGTAATCTCAGGAGTTTTTTTTTCTGGAGTTTGGTATTTTTTTTTTCGGTGTTTTTTGGGCAGATTTAATGCTGACAGTGGGAGACTCTCTTTTGAGGTGGATTCTGCCAGAAGTTTATGCTCTTGAAGTCCATGAGGGTCACCAGGTGGGCAGAAATTTCTACGCCTTGGAAACCATAGAAGACCTGTAGTAAAGATTTACAATTCCAATCCATTGTCCATTTCATACTACTTGAATCTACTTAATAATAAATCTTAATACCATGTCGTAACATTCACACCATCTCTTTCCACTTCCAAATGTGTTTGGGATCTAGGGTCCTTCCCCCACCAAAAGCAAGGCTAACTCCACCCCAAGGTCTCACACTTGGGAACTCATGGAAGGTCATCACCGATTACACTATGTGGAGTATGCTACAATCCACTAGCAAATGGCATATCGCAACTATAGCAACCCCAAAATCGGGTTTTGGCAAGTCCATGGCACCGCGATTTTTCCGCCGGATTTTACGATATTTCAATTGTCTATCTCTTTGGGGTTGGCAAAAAACCAGCTTCCCTTGGGGATGGCGCCAGGCCCAACACATCTTGAGCCTGTCACGACGTCAGAAGGAGAAGTCGCGACGTGGAGGAAGTACCAAGGGAGGAAGCCTTTCAGTGCTGCACTCAGTGCTGGACATGGAGGTTTTGTGCTGGGAAAAATCATGGAACTATAGCTGGGGGAATTTCCAGCTATATAGCCGTGTGTGCTTACCAGAGGGGATGGTAAATATATCGGACATATCAGAATCTATGGGGATACAATATGATACAATGGGATTTTAATCATCAATACTGGAATTACATGGGGATAACAATGGGTATGGATCAACACATATTTGTTTCATAAATTTGTGGAGAATGAACATCCATCAACAACTGCTATTTTGGGGTGAACATAATGATAACAGGCTTTTGACCCATACTCAACTATTGGACATCAAGCATCATCGAATTTGATGATCTTCCTTCTTTAAACTGAATCTCCGTGAAACATTCATCACCTAGTTCATGATTGGCACTTGGGGTGGTATACACCACTCTTTTTTCCAAACAAAAATTGGTGGTTTAGCTCATTCCTCAAAGCATGATCAGGGGTCCAACAGGGTCCATATAGTTACCAAAATGATGAAAATTAGTGGTTATGTAATGAATTCTGTACTGTCAGTGTATGGATTATGTCAGTGTAAATACATGGTTTATACAGCCTCAATGGCGATGATCTATGGAGGAATAAAAAAAAACTTCTGCAACTGCGACGATCTCCGAATTGGGAAGTTTAACAGGAAACTCATGGAATCCCCAGGATTGGAATGGCAAAAATATTAACAATCCGGATTTCCTGCAGATGTTCCAGTTGAATCAGTTGACCAGGCCCAGAGACCTGACATTGGCCAAGGTGGAGATCGACCCACATGGAGCGCACCAAATGCTAACTCCGTTGGAGGAGTGCTGTGGGTTGAACCTGTTGGATCACTGCTTCGACTTTCGTGAAGATGGCTGATTTGGTCATCAAAAGCGAGGACATGTCTTCGGAATACACCGGCTTGGTCGGAGCTTGGGACTTAACTCAATACGTTGTTCTGGTTTGAAACAGGCAGAGTGTTTACCACCTGAGTGTGTTTCGTCAACCCAAGGATTTCCTAAGGCTGAGCTACTGTTTCCCTGCAAGGAGGCAAGTAGGAGGCAATACAAAAGCAAAAGGATTTGTGTGGGTAGTGTCACGGTAGTGTCGCAAAGAATCGTTCTAAGGTTGGAACAAGTGCTTCGGGCGGCCCTCAGTTTGAGGCCTGCGGCCTGCAACGGCCTGCAGCGGCCTGCATGGATGAAGTTTCCCAATGCCTTCAGAGTCGGCAGGCGCGAGTCGTCTTTGACACTGGCAGCACAAACCTTTGGATGGCCTCCGTTCTCTGCAAGGCGGATCGGAAATGAGTTCCTGAGCAAACAGCTTGCGGAGTCGATTGAAACACCCACAACAGTAGATATAAGATGATATAAGCAGAGGTTGTATCTATCTATCTATATCTATCTGTCTATACCTATCTATATCTATTTGTATCTATCTATCTAATCGAATCCTAATCTAATCTTATCTTACCTACCTATCTACCTATCTACCTATCTACCTATCTACCTATCTACCTATCTATCTATCCATCTACCTATCTATCTATCTATCTTACTTATCTATCTATCTTACTTATCTATCTATCTATCTATCTATCTATTTTTCTTTCTTTCTTTCTATCTATACAGATGATAGAGGTTTGAGATGAAATTGGAATTTACAAGCTTTCGCGGTCAAATTCAACAGCTCGCATGATGTCGCATTTTTAATGGCGCGGTGTTGGACAAACGCATCTAATCCCACAGGCATATCCGTGCGACGAGCAACACACTTCCTATGACCCTGCGAGTTCCATCACATCGGAGCTTGGGGCTGGGGGCACGAGTCTGGCAGGGCTGCATTTTCCTTGGTAGATTTGGTTATGGCTGAAACATGACATCCCTACCACTGGAATCGCAGAGGCAATTTTTTGTAAAAACCGTCCAACTTTTCTGCGTCAACGGCGTAAATGATTCGGAGCACTCACGACATCATGCAAGGTGAATCAGGCACCAGGACAATTGCTTTCATCTTGGAAGGAAGAGTACTTGGAGGGTAACAGTCGAGATATCGACATCATGCTGGAACCTGAGAGATGTCTATAGGAGGACATGCCGAACAAGGCACCAGTGGAAGGGAGGTCAGTACCAGGCTATTCTCAATCTATTTGTGCAAGGATGACACAAGATTCTTGGGAGACATTGCACACTTCTCAAATGGTTCATAATTTCCTCCCCAAATGTGCCGAACAAGCTTGACCATGCCAGTCTCAGCGCGCATGCCGTTCCAGTTTGTGACATGAGGTTTGGTACTGGAGAGTTGAAAGGCTGCAGCATGCTGCGGCTAGATCCATAATTGATCCGTCATAATGGGGTACTGGTACTCGGTATACCCCTCAAAATTGCCATTGCAAGATAGGGCATATTGCGATGAAGCAGTATTTTCAGACGAACCCACATATTACTCCCAGTGAAAACGATGTTAAAACATCTGCAAATCGAATCACCATGGTATTCAGAGCATGTGCAGGGTACGTTAAAAGCACTTGCGCTAAAGACGAGTTTGCATGATTTCAAGATGCCTTTTGAAGGCATCAAAGCACAATGGAATGACTTCACTTTATTGCTTTGAGATCTTTGAGGACGTTGAGCCAGCACAAATCTTGTTGCCGCCCATTTCGTATCAAGGCTCTGAGAGCAGGTGCTTAGAATTTTATCGGCCCCTTCACTCTTCGAACCTTCGCAGCCAAATCCACCGTTTGAGCTCCACAAAGCTAGGGAGAGTTTGCGCCAAAAGTCTATGCGCAAAAGAATATACAGATGCCTCATAGTGTACATGTATCTTAAGCTATCCAAGTTCATGATATATCCTCAGCCCATGGCCTACTCACAATTAAACACATATGTTTGCAACGTTGGTGTGTCTCGTGCCGCCATGGCAACAGCGGGCTGGGAGGAGCGCTATGCGCAAGGAGTGGCCGAGTTGATGGGTTGTGACCTGGTGGAACTGGTGGAACTGGTGGAACTGGTGGAGCTTGGAAGTTCACCAGCGCGACATGTCAGCGCGACATTTCAGTGGTTTCCAAATGACCCAGTCACATTATCAATGGATTGGTTTTCACGGGAAAATTTACAGGAATCCCCCATATTGAATGGGAAAATCTATGGTTTCCGGTTAAGATTTTCCCTTAAACCAATCCATTGACATTATGAGAATATCTCTGGATTAGGTGGCTTCGAAGTTGAGGTCCCAGAGAGCCCAAGCCAAATCCCCCCTCCCTTTAACGCCATTGCTGAAACTCCAACCATTCCAATTTCTTCGGAGGAAAAAACCTAATTTTGCAATATTTTGCAGGGATCAACAGTTATACTTTGAGAAAACAAACAACATTCCCCTCGTAAATTTACGCCATGTCTTCACACAATTCCAAGGCTTGGATGAGCAGGTCCTTCAGAAGCCACGCATCTGTTGGACCTTCGAAACTCTCCAAGCACACCTGGCCCAAGAGCGCCGACGCAAGGTGCATGCCGATGAGTGGATGAGATGCCGATGTTGGGAGGTGCCCCCCCAAAATGAGGGGGATATCCTAATCATTCATGAGCTTTCCCGCCTGAGAATAGATATGAATATATTATGTATATACATGCAATATATATGAATACTTATATATTATATTATATGAATAGATTATATTGTAATATATATAGGGGGTCACAGATTGATGGCCCCGGTAAAAGTTGATTCGTATGCCATCAATACGGAAAAAACAACTCCCAAAACGAAACGTTTTTATGCGATTCTGCTATTCCTATTGGGGCAGGCACGCTAAGATGGCAAAACAGGGGCCACCCACCTATTCGTATGCCATCAAAAAAAATTGACATTCGCTCCAAATGCCATCTTATCTGGCGCAGTGAAGATGCCATCTATTCGTGATCCGGTATATATTATACATAAACATATAATCACCTACCTTAGATCGTTTTGATGGATTTGGTCCCAAAGCCCGGAGATTTCTGAAACATTCTCCAGTCAAGCACGGCCCTGGAACGCAGTCCGAGCTCGTCCTCTCGCGACGCGTGGAGTCTTTGCAGGCCGTCTCCCAGGCCCAGTGCAATGGTAGTTGGCACCACATGGTAGTTGGCCAATTTTCGAATTTCCATCTGCAAAAAAATATGACACATTATGACACCTTTTACCAAGCCAAGCATCCAATTCTCCAAATCCATCCCATTTCCTGCTATGAAGGCTGATCAAGTCCCCTTAGACTCCATTTTTCTCAGGCGCAGGCCTCCCTTGGCCGCTTCTTGGATCGGCGCACCAGCAGCGTCCAGGATGCCTCCTGTGCCGCCTCTGATGCGCAGGGACGCTTGAACCGCTTGCAGGAACAGAGTCGAACGGTGCCCTGGCTGTGGGGCAGTGTTGGGCCCGTTCAAACCCAGACTTTCAAATGAGGGTATCAAACTTAGGGCCACCCCGATGAGGATTCGCATGGGGTATACTGGTATACTATATGGCCATGGCTAAATACAAGTTCAATGAGCTTGTGAGACCTGGTTGTAAGTTTTTCGGGGCCCGTTTTTTTGTAGCCGGGTTCAGTCAATTGGATCAATTGAATACAGAAGATTGGTGGGTTTGTCTGAAATCAGGGCACCCCAGCATCCAATGACCAAAACTAAGGGGTTATACCTCTGCAGTTTTGGACAAACCCAGCTATCGTGTCATATGATGTTGATATATAGTATAGACAATATAGACAGATAAGTGTATATACACTATAAATAATATATATACACTATAAATAATATATATATATATACACACTATAAATAATATATATACATATATATAATATATATATATGACATATTTATCTACATGTCATATATCCAATCCCCATGGTTATACCATTTGTTACTGCCTATCTCCCCATGACTTCGAAGCACCTGGCGCAGGTGCGGGTGAACGCCTTGAAACGTGCACAAGCGCAGGTGGCCGATGCAGAACAGCGAGCTCTGCAGGAAGAAATGCTGGGAGATGGCCAGACAAAATGGATGTTTTGAATGGGAAATTTGGTAGATTTATGGTAAACATATGGTAAACCATGATAAATAAATAAATATATATATATATATCAACCAATGGTAAATAAACATATGGTAAACATCTGGTAAAGCAATGGGACATTTTGGTAACATATGGAAAATATGTGGTAAAAGTATGGTAACATCTGGGAAAATATGGAACATATATGAACAAGCATGGGAACATAGGGTATGGGAGCATATGTGAAACTATGGAAAATATATGGCAAAAGTTTGGGCACATATGGGAACATATATGGTAAAAGTATGGGAAAATATGGCAAACCATGGTGAACTATGGGAACACATGGAACATATATGGTAAACGTATGGTAACATATGGTCAAAATGCTCTACAAATAGAAAAAACCATGAGACATCATCTATAAATATCTATAAATATGGAGGTTTCGAATGGGAAACTCATCTGTGAATGGAGGTTTTGAATTGTGACATCTGGTAAAATGTGATGGGAAAATCAAACATGGACGGTTTTGAATGGTTTTGTTATTGGAACATCATCTATAAATGGAGGTTGAAGAATGGGAACAGATGAAATCAAACAATATTATCATCAACATTTTTTTAAAAATGCGGCAAACCCAATGCCATGACGGAGATTTCACTTTGGATTAATTTTGGGATATTATAGGGATGTCACAACAAAATATAGGGATAAGAGAAAATTGATGATGATGGCTGGGAAAGCCCGAAACTAATTTTCAGGTTTTGTTATAGCAAGTCATCGAACAAAATGAGTTCCGGAATGATTTGAATTCCAGCCATTTATGGTCATATTACGGTCACACTGGGGGTTGTTTATGATGGTTTATGGCATTGGCTTTACCACAGTCCTGGTGATCATAAAGGCCATAAAGGCGCGTGGTCAACTGGTCAACCAGTCAACCATGAGCCATCTCACAGGAGGCTCGAGCAAGACACTTGCTGCTGGATCGACAAGAGGCTGAATTGGAGAAGGTGATTAAACTCACTGGCTCTTTGCAATCAATGTCCAAGGTGCGGTGTGTCTTTTTTGCCACGCTGTGACGTGGCTGTGTCTTGTTTTTTGGTTAATCCAAATCCCATAACTCGTCTACTTTTGGTAATCCCATTCATAACTCCGTTAAAAAAGCCCCATTAAATCCCATTTAGAACCCCATTTGAAATCCAAACTAAAACTCCAATCCACCCCATTTGAGGTGGTGATTGGGATTCTTCCAGGCTCACAGTTGCCACTGGGTTTCTGTTTTGGAGGCGACCTCCGAAAATCTGGCGAAGATCAGTCGGACTTTGGAGGCCCAGAGAGATGAGATCAACAGGGCTTCCAAAGTCCTGATTGCAAATCTATGATCATGTTTGATATGTCAGGTTATGTATATCCAAACCTTAATGTTTATTGTGCTGATCTCATCTGATTCATCTTTTTGCCACCTCATTTCTTCGGGTCCGTAGGCCCCCAGGTCGGTTGCCTCACAGGCAGCAGAGACACAAGCCTCCGAAGTGTTGGAGGAGAAAAGCCCCGTGGACTACAGCTGCCAGTTGGGGCCGTGGGTGGCATTGCCAGACACAGAGGGAGCAAGGGCCAAAGGGCCAATGGATCCCAAGGTCTGAACTCAGCAGGTGACTGCTGGAATTCTGAGGCATATGAATGCATATGAGTCATTGGTGCCAGTTTTTCAAATGATCAATGAATATCAATGATGCTCATTGATTCCCCCAAAATCCCTGGAATTTATGGTTCCTTGCACGGCAGGGATGACTTGCGGCTGAGGCTACATCGAGGAGCGCAGGGTGCAGCTGGAAGCGCGCGAAGCAGCGCTGCCGGTGATGGAGAGAGCCTGGAAGGACACCATGGATTTTTTGGACAAGCCTTGGAAAATGGTGGTTTAATGGGACGTCACCCCGGGGTTGATGGGGAAACCAACCCTTTCATGGGATTTGCCGATTTGCCCAACAATCTGAAATGATCTGGGTCTATCTGAAATACCAGTAGGGGTTTTAACCACTTTGACCCACCAGTCATGACAATTTTTAGAAGATCAACTGGGATTTTGGCGTACCTGTGTGTTTTTTGCTCACATTGGGCAATGGCCATCATATATATATATAATTAATAAGATTAATAAGGACTCAGCAGACTAAACGTGATATGAAAACAAGTTGATTACCATTTCATGGGATGACAAAAAAACGACGAATGACTCTCCCAGCACTCGAAGCTTTTTCGAAAGGAGGTCTCGGCCAAAGCACGTCGAGAGTCGACGAAAAGGCGCCAGTTGTTGGCGATGGCGACGGAACATCTCAGCAAGCAGCTCCTGAAGGAGATGGGATGAAGGCCTAGGTGTTTGCATTTTGGTAGCTTTAAAGACATGTATACTTTATATATATATAGATGTATACCCTATAAGTCGAAGACCATACTAAGTATCGTCTTTTGGGGGAGACCTTACTTTGGCACCCCTACCACCCAAAGACCGTTCATTTGCACCTGCAAGGTCCTGATCAGCTGAGGTGTGCTGCATCGGCTCAGCATGGCAGCAAACATGAAAGAAACCATTGGAATTTTCAAGGGATAGACCTTAAGAGTAGGTTTGAGATCTGCATTTGGACATATCCCACAAAGAATACTGTTTCACACATTATTGTGCCAACCGGCCGCACTTTTGGCTTGGCCATGCCGAGTGCAGTTTCATTGGGGCTCCTCCTCATTTTGCAACTTGCCAGCAAACATATGCAAACATGGTTTGATCAAACAAAATCTGCTGATGGTGCGATAGATTTTTTCAAGCCAACAACAACATAATCTTACAAAACTGGTACCACCGGCTGCTGAGGCACTTCCTGGGTTTGATGCACAGAGCTTTGGTTTTGAGCCTGGGTCCTAGTATGGGTAAGCTCAGATCTTGGATTTTTTTATCTACCTACATCAGGATATTGAGTCAAGTTGTCTTTCATTGATTGGAAAAAGACATATTTTGAACAGTCAAACGAATTTGGGCGCAGTTGGGTTGACAGTGTTTTTCTTATAATACTAGTAGCGTGCTAGCTTTTGAAAGGTGGTTCTGCTACAACTTATCTTTACCTTGGTTGAGCCCCTATGAATTTATAACCCCAACTGCACCTTAAAGAGCAGCATAACTTTCTTTTCTGGTATTCAAGTCTACTAAAGGCTCAAGTATGTTATAACAAGGGTTTGCTGGCTGATGCCCAGGCAATGCTGGCTTGAACTCGCTGGATCACACGCCTATGGAGGCCGATGATGAGAAGGAGCCAGGTGCCTACCACCCTCGCACTGCCTTTTGACTTGGGATGGCTCGGGACATGTGGGACCACTGGAAAAAATCAGCTAAACTACTGAGCAGTAAGTGTAAAATGAGAAACTGAACAGTTGAACAGCTGATGTAGTTGTTTTGGTTCAGGGTTTGACTGCCCGATGCCATCCCATGCCCGGCGCCGAAAAACCAGAATGTCTTGTGAAAGACTTGCGATGCTGGAGGCCAAGCTTTGGCGTGTGATTGATTCTGCTCAAAGTCTTGTTGGGAATTTGTGCACATTGAGCCCCCGAACATCATCAAGTGTCAAACAAAACCAGCATACAGTGTAGGTTGATATGTTTTGCGTTTATCAAAGAGGCTCTGACGTGCATGGGTGTCGATCAGTGTCTTTCATTGCAACCTTGTGTCAACCTAGTTTTAGGGGATGCTGAATTCATCAGTTCCTTGCTACCCATTTTTGCATATTGATGCATGGATATGATTCTGATATATCGATACAATAGGTGCTGCAAACTCGATCTAATGCCTGATTCAACTTACCCGGCTGCAGGATATGTATGAGAGCATGCTGACCCCAGAGTTCATCAGTGCGCGACGCAGGGAGATCAAGGAAATCAAAGGTCGGGGACACGCCAGGTCCACAGAGCAGAGGGCATCAGGATCAGGGTTTGTTGGGGCCTACATGGTGGATTTTTTTCTTGGTTCCAAAATCCTGAAGTCAAACACCTTCTTCACCCCATGATTTGAGATCTATTTTGGACATTGGATAGAGGTGGTATTAGTATTGAAATGTTTTGAAGTTGAAAATTGGCGACATCAAGCCATTCTGGATTCAGGTCTTCACCTTTGTGAACATGTCTGGCGGCCGCGTCACAGAGATGGAGGCCAGGAGTGTGTCAGCGCTTGCTGCCAAAGATGATTACATTTTTAGATTATTTCGTGGTGGTGTAGAAAACAGCATCATGAATGCTAGGATCTTTGATCATCATACAAAACCATAATCATGCATCTTTGTGACAAAAACACAGCTCACATTTGCGACGTGCAAAGGTTGAAAAGACCACAAACTTCATGTTCTTGCTGGAGTACCTTGCTACGTTCACTGGAGACCTTCCTACACAAGGTGAAGTCCAGGCCATGGTATCTTAATTGGAAAGCTGGTATAGCATGCTGAAAGGTTGAGCGACATATTTCTGTTTCTATGTTCATTCTTCGATGTGAAAAGATTGAAGGATATTGAGGGAACAGGGCAGCTTAAATTCCAGCTTGGTAGGATACTTAGTTCATCGCATCTCCTGTCTCCGCAACATCTGCGCTCTCAGCACTCCCGTGATGTCAGGAAGTCCTGGTCAAAATGTCCCAGCAGAAGCACTTGAACGCTTTCAATTGCCGTGAGAAGCATGAGGTGCATACTCTGCTAAGTCATGTGATGAGTTTAGAAAGCTGGTCAACTTTGTAAACATTTTTCATTCTAGGCAGTGTGCCGGTAGCACTAATGGGTTTTGAAACTGGTTGGATCACAACGATATCGAGTACAATAAAAATCCAATCGTCCCAGATGCCATTGTTTAATTGACTGCCAGAACCCGCAGGCATGGGCCCTGGTGGAAAGTGGGCAGCAAAGAGCTCTTGCATCATATGTTTCCAACCGCTGTGCCCGTACACAGCAAAGCCGGTTCAGCCCCCAGAATTCAATTATGCCACTGTGATGCCGGTCCGTTAAAAGAGGGACAATATGCATATGCTTATTTGTTGTCATGTGATTGTTCCTATATTTTAATTTCAGTAATAAAGATATAGATTTGATTTTGATATATGTGAAACTTGTGTACATATATGATTTGTATGAATCTTCCAATTTTATCCAATTTTGATTAAGCCACAGTGGCCCAATTACTTCCAACCCGGCAGTCCTGATTTTCATGAGGCCGGGTCGCAGCAAGATGGCTGACCTGAAGCAGCTGATCATGGCAAAGTTGCAGGCTTGGGGTCCAAGAAGTGAATCCAGAATGGAATATGTTTAATGACCAACAAAGCAACTGTTCATTCTAATTATCGCATTGTATGTCGTGATCAAAGCATGTGACTTAATTCTCCACTTGAAACTGACGGCGATGATTGCAATAGAAATGGTTTCATGTTGCAAGCACTGGACCCAACCCACATCCCAGGAAAAGGGACTCCTTAATGCCAAAGGGAAGAAGATTCCAACCAAAGGAAGGTCAAGGGACAATCTCGACCCTGGCACTGTGGCACAGGCACCGGTATCCCAGACTAATATGACTTTGTATTTTGATGTGGTTTCTATTTATAAACGTGTACTAGGTGATCAGAAAACTGCTATCTTACCACTACTCTCACATCATGAAACATATATTGGAACTAGCCTGCCGGTTCCAGATTGCCATCAACCTGCCCAGTCTCACTACTAATCAAAGTGAACGATTGTTATCATATTAATATAGTACAAGATATATTTTCCACTGGATGTATCGCAATCATATTTTTGCGTGGGTTGGGTACTATTTGTGTCTCTGTGCTGTGTGTGTCTAATGTTTGCAAAACTGATCGAGCTCGTGATTTCGATCTTACTTCAGCACTTTGCAGTTTGATCAATTTGTACTTTCATCCAATTTGATTTGCACGATTTCGTCATGCATCTTGTTTTTGAAATCAACATCAACTTGCAAAAGCACGCAGGGTGGCAAAAAAACAAAAGAGACAGCTCAAGCTTCGTCGGGACCTAGCAAAGAGCCAGAGGGGGCACCAGCGGGACAACCTGCCCGGAAAAAAAGACCCAAAGAAACCTATCCCACTCCTGACCGCTTACCTTCTTCTGAATATTGCACAAGTGATGAAGATGATGATGGTGAGAGTGATGGTGCAGAGGATAAGGGGGTGACTGAACCAGTTCTCTTGCATGAGGAATTGCATGAGGAGTTGTACGGTTTGCCCACCCCCAAGAAACCAATCGCTCATGCCAGTTCCAATGAGATCGCCCCCACTGAACTGGAACTGGACAGCACTAGCTCTGACGAAGAATCGACAAGTGGAAAGCCGAAAGATAAGCAGCCTTCGCCTGCTGACACTACAGGGGCACACAAGGACTAAGCACACGCATGCAGGTGTTGTTTCTCTTGTGTCTTGGAACAATATATCCAAAGAATGGAGGTGATTCTTGATCGACAGCTGTTCATGTTGCATATCCTGTGTGCATGGACGCATGCATGAATTCACAGTAAATAACATGTGTGCGTATGTATCAATATACATGAGCTCTGCTGTAAATAATTTACTGTAGATTCTCGGTACCAGCTTATGGTAGTAAAATAAATGCCTGTCCCTGCCCGGCACCGCCAGGATTGCAAACCTCTCACAGCAGAAATCGCCAAGCTCCCAGACAGTTCCCTTCAAGCGCAAGTTTTTCTCCATATTCAAAGACTGAAATCTACGAACGACATGCAAAACTTGCTAAAGGCTAGCCTGGAACCGTATAAGATGCATTCATGCATACAGCATACATGGTATACATTTATATATATATATACATACATCATACATGCTTGCATGCATGCATGCATACATGCAGGTGTGTCTCTTGGGTTTCTCTGTGGATCTTCGTCCTTGATTTTTTGGCCGGAACCATAGTAGTGTTGATAGACAAAGCCTTGAACCAAGAAACCAATCGAAAAAAAAAACAAGAGAAATATTTTTCGCCATCAAAGAAACTTCAGACATATTGACTGCGGGAATTTGTCCATCTACATTTATCGTCACCATCGCTTGACATTCAGGCCCAACAGCAAATGAGAAGGGCATCCCGTGCCAAAGGAGATCCTAACGATGAGGAGCAAGAGGAAGATCCTGATGCAAAATGGAAAGAAGAAGCATATGATGAGGAAGGTCCAAGAAAAGGCAAGGGCAAGGGAAGAGCCAGAGGGAAAGGCCGGGGAAAAGGAAGGGGGAGGAGCGCCAAAGGAGGAACACCGGAAAAAACACACCACGAAGCAAAGCAGGAGGAAACCCCAGCTGCAGGAAGCAGCAGCTCAGATAACAAACCAGTTGAAGCAGCAGAGCCCACGGCAGAACCTGAAATTTTGCCCCCGAAGCCCAAGAAACGCAAGACATCAAAACAGAAGGAAAGCAACAATGACAACAAGACTGAATGTACTGGGGAGGAAAAGTCAAAGGATATGGATGAATGTGCATCCCAATGTTCAACTGAGTCAGGTGCCGAGACCCCTAGGAAAAAAAACCAACAAAGGCCAAGCTTACTGGAAAGAAAACGCCCCTCAAAGGACGTTCTCCCAAAGCCATCAAGACTGCAAAGGAAGCATTGAAAAAGAAAGTTTCGCCACAGGACTGGAACAAGTGTTTTAGACAGGGGTACAAGCAGAGTGATGTTGGAATATCAAGTTTTGAAACAAAAAACTTGGGACATACAAAATTAGAAGTTATGTCGGGGGTTTGGAATGTCAATGATTAGTTATATATAACATAAATGGCATGCACCTGGTTTCTCTGCAGGAGCTTTTGGAAGATGCCGTCCCTGACATGCGCCTCTTTCATCCACCAGATGGGTTTGCCACCAAGAAGTGGGGTCCTCAGATTGCGCATCTGGTTCAGAAATCAACGATATACGATTGCTAGCATGTAACATCATGTAAAATAACAAGTATTGTTTGGAAATTGAAATGACAATAATGACGATGACGATGATGATTATGATGATGATGCTGATGATGAGGGCGATATGAGGGTTGACGGTTGATGACTCTGATAACGATGGTGATGATAGGGGTGGTGTGATGGTGGTTGGCGATGATAAATATAATAATGCTTTTGATGGTCATCATGACTTGAACAATGCCAAACGTTTCTATTAGATATTAATTTGCATCCTCAACAAGATTTCGGTTGAAAGGGGTCCTCAAAACATCTTGGGTTCGCATGCCGTCCCCTGTACCTTCTGATCCCTAAAAAATCATGTTAATGACCCGCTTCAAAGGAAATCATGTTCGTGGCTGCTTGAGGACTTTCACTGTGCGACACCCCCATGGAGAAGCTCACAAGGCCGAAGATGGATTGGCAGTTTGTTCAATCGGCGTCATGTCGCGCGCTCAGTGTTTTTTCTTCATGACATTCAAAACCAGGTAGTTTCTGATTTGTTGATCTATCGATTTATCTAGTTCAACAAATCAACTTCATCTTCTCAGGATGGATCGAGGGGCTTCGATGTATGTCTACAAAGTGCCTGCAGCCCGTGTGGAGAAGCTGAATAAGTTGAATATTGCCAAAGAACCTGTGTCGGCTTTTCGGCCACAACATATTGACAGTTTAAACCGTGCATGCGTACAAGACTAGCATATTATCACTATCACAGTAATTAGTGAACCAAAATATTTGTCTCTGAATGGGTCATCATATATTCATGAATTACCGTTCTATTGTAAAATATAGTTGCGCTTTGGGCTTCCACTGCCTGCTGAGGTCAACAAGCTGACCGGTGTTAGTTTGGGATGGGCACGATTTGGTGGAGTTCGCGAAGCGTCGGGGCCAAAGTTGATTTTCTGCACCCACATCTGTTAGATAGGATCCCGTTGGAAGAGAATGAAACTTGTTCATACAGATCAAGAGACATGCACAGGGTGAATGAAACTGGCCCTAGAATCCATTTTGCAAAAATGTTTCGTTCACCCTGAGCCTCTGTGCTGGCTGAGGTGGGCAGTGGCCATGGCTGTGGCTGGTTGGGTAAGCTTGGAAAAAGGAGCAAAGAAGCCTGAGTCAGAGGACCCTGTGTCATAGCCGACTGATGGAAGACTCTACAACAGCATCACCCTTAGGAACTTGCAGTGGAACCGGCCATGCAGCAACATGAAACAAAAAACCATTAGAGTTGTATGCTGTCATACCGTCAATGAATTTCCTGTTGGCTGGAACTGCTTGTGCGGGTGGTTGTTTTTGAAATGTCGACCACTACGTGAGCGGAGAACACGCTTTGGGACTGCGATGGAAGGAGAAACACCTGCGCTTCTTGCGCCTACTAGTGACTGCCCATTGGATTTGTGCATGCGCAAGTATATTTACATCACGATTGGAAAGTTTGAGCATGCTGACCCTGCCCCTATGTGTTCCTATGATTCTATGTTCCAATGGCTCAGGGCTCAATGCTGAAATAAGTGATCTTAATTAAGGGTTGCAGCAGCCCAGTCATGCCTCCAATCAACCGACGCTGGCGAGACTCCCCAATGGCACTTTCCCCGCGTTCTATCTTTTTACTGTTGACTTTGGGATGCCCAGTCCTTTTGTTGCTTTGCTCAAGTAGTTCGTGGGGATTTCTGAGTTCAGGTTTTGCAGTTTGTTAGTCTGCGGTCTAATTTGATATCACCTTCTGCACTGCCTTCGCAAAGGTTACATGCGGCGGACTTTGTGTGCCAGAACACAGAAGAAGCGTGTTCTGCCCGCGTGGGAACCTCAATCATGTTCATGATGGTGCTTGTATACTATTAGTATCTATTAATATCTAGTGTGACAAAAAGGTGAAAGACGCAAGAGGTGTTCTACTGCTGAAGCAAACAAAATAGGAATCATAATATTATGTTTCTTATTTTTCGACATAATCAATGCATTCCCTGCCCTGAGAACTTGGACTTCGTTGATGTCTTTGGTGGCCAAGCATCAGTAACCAAAGGCTTCAGTCCATGCCTCAGTCATTGGTTTGAAGCCGCTACCAACAAAGGGCCTGTTGTTTTCAAAAGAGAACTCTATCGATTTATTTTGCTAGATCAGAGTGCATGTTATTTTGAGCATGCTAAAATCAAGACTTAATTTATATCTACTGACTTGATTGGGAGTGCTGCGTTCTGTTCAAAACAATCTACAATTAATGTCAAAATTTCAGCATAGTGTCATATAATATATATATCCTAATTTGCAATCTAATATATGTACTCCATCATTCCCCCTGCCACATGTGCTGAACTTCTTACTATACTCGAAATCCCTTGTCCAGCAATGCTCAGGCAGCTACGGAGCTCGAGGGTTCGCCCCCAAGATTCTGCAAAAGCACAGCAGAATTGTTGACCAGCCCGATTGTAGCATAGATGACATGTCCTCAGTTTTGTATCCGGCCACTTGCGCCGGCTGATTGAGGAAACTGTTTGATGTGGAGACCGATTCCAAGGCAAACGACATCCTCAGCACGAACCTTTGCTTAGGAATTAAGCCATGAATGCTCAAATTGAACTGTAGGGTCATTCAATAGCTTCAAAGTCCGCATTACTGCATAGGTAGTAATTAATTGCATTTGGGGGCTCCAATAAAAAGGTTCCAAACCCATTTCGTGACTTAGTATTTTTTAGACAAAAAATAGGTGGTCACGAACCATGATTTTGAATCTATCGATATGGTATTTTGGAACCCCCATTCAAATTCTTTGAGATGCTGGGACAAGCATGTCGTCATATGATGTCAAACCCTTGGGCTCCAGAGGCCTGAAAATTCGACAGTAAGATAAATTCAGCATAGTAATGATGCGATTATTGAATTAAGAAATTCCTATTATCGTATCCTGATCGGTTATTGTTCCTTCTACTTTGGATGCGGCCTCTTTTGGTTCAGCTGAGGAGAGGATTCCTCCGACTCCTTCAACTTACCTTACGGACCCGGTCGGAAGGGTTACTGCATTGTGGTCCTCCATGTTCTAGCTTTGTCTGGGTGAATCGGCACACGAGCCGTCGTAGCCCAGAATGTCCAGAAGGGGATGTGACGGTTAAATCTGTAGGCCCAGCAAATGCGATTCTTGGACTGGATTGAAGCTTTGTTTGGGGATTCGTTTCTTTCTACTTTAAATGGGCTTCTGAATTCACTATATACTTTATGTATAGAACTGTTTCCAATCGTGGGGAATGTCAAAAATTTGAAACCATAAAAACCACCAAGCCAACAGGCGTCATACCCGGCTCAGGATCACAAGTCGACTGGCACTCATACTGATATTAGCAGTATGCCGATGTTGTCACACTTTGGTGGAACAGCCACGAACTTCGCTGATGCCATGGTTTTCCCCCTTCGTGAAGTTGGCAGAGCAACTGGCGCAATTGTTCAACTTACCATGGAGATCCACGTTCATGTTGGGAACTCAATGGTCCAAACAAGTTTGATTGGTAAAATTAATCTTGAAAGTCCGTTTGGTATTTGACATGCAAACGGCAATGGAATGTTTACGACCGATGAACAATAATGGGAAACACAATAATGAAATAAACCAACCCCTTGGGAATGGTTTATCATGTTTTCGGGTGTGGTTTCCTATTGGTTTACCCACATTCATTAATTAATATAATTCATATGTGTTTCCCAGAATCCCTCTTTTTGTGTGAAATCCTGCTTGCCCTCTCAGGTGGATGGGGACATGGGGCGCCCACACCCCCAAGCCAAGTCGCCTTTTCGGGACAGCGTGCGATCCCCAGATGCAGCGTTGCTGTCCTGAGATCTCCCAAGCAATAATGAAACCAAGAGGTGTCAGGAAGGTGTATCATTTTAGTGCAAGACCAATTCTTGATGGAGTCACAAACAGTTTGACTGGTTAGCAATGGTTGTAGACAATGAGTGAGTGGGTCTAAAATAGTTCATGCATAATAAATTTAAAATATAATTGTTCACCTACTTCAAAAAATCAGCTTCCCTAGCACATCATTCCAAAAAATAACTACCTTGGCCTGTGCATATTCCGCATTTCCCAAGGCCTTGGGCGGATGCCCTCTACCGCAAAATGACAAAGGCCCAGCGGGAGAAGCTGAAAAGAAGGTTGCTTAGAAAGGGTGGTCCCCTTGTGAAGACATGGACATCTAAAGATGGAAGAAAACGAGTGTCCATGTCTCAGCAGCTAATTGCTCGGAAAATAAAATCAATAAAATACTTTGACAGGCCGATTCTCATCATACTCGGAGTACTGGTATATATTTATTTTATATATCATGGCTACCTGCACACTTAATCACAACTAAGGCAAGGCACAAAGGCCTTGAAGAGATCACAAGTATATCCACTCCCCTATGGGCAAGAAGTGGCCCGCCTTCACCTCTCTCACGTTGTAGCTTGGACTATCCAGCACAATGCATGCTTTACGATTATTGGAAACTTGAATTAGTGGGGTTTTGTTGCATGATCCTAGGCAAAGAAGAAAGGAGCCCTACGTGCGCAATTCCTGAAACATGCGCCGCTGCGACCTGCAGAGAAGGACCTACTGAGACTTCTGCGTCAAGTTTCCCGACAAAATGCATTATATAGCTGTTAGATTCTCAAAAGCATCCGACACCCTTTTAAACCACCATCATTGTGCCCTTGTTTTAAAAGGTGTTTGGGGGACCCAAGCAAGAAGAAAGAAAAGGGCACGTCCAAAATGGTTTGAAGGTCATGGTTTCCTATGTCACTTGCGAAGTAAGGGAAACCTCGAATCTATGCATGTGCCCCAAAACGTAATAATTATTGGATCATATTGAAACCAATGTAAAGTAAATTCAAACATTTTGGGGATAGAGGTGGGATCGACCTTGCTCCTTGACGGGCAAATGTTGTCAAATTTTGCCGACTTTGCATTTCCCAAACTGTAGGATGGGTTCAACAGAGAATTGCCCCCATTGTCATCGACTTGATCTTGGTCTCAACTTCATTGTCCACAGGATTGTGTTGAGGGAAGTTCGCCCGACCACTCTGCCCAGGCGCCAACAATTGACGACACTATGTGGAAGCATGCTGACCTTCAGCCGGTCTTGGAGTTTCTGCGGGAGCAAAGGAATGCAGGAACTTACGTCCCTACACTTCCATATGGATTAGACTAAATCCTTTGCAGCATGCAACATGTCTTCGAATTCACACACGCGTTCTTAGACGCAGTGGTGTGAGCATGGGAAAGGCCACATGAGATGAAAGTGACTGGTTCTGTGACAAAATTTGTTCCAAATACCCAAACTGTTGCTACCAAGGCGCCCCTTCCCAACATGATTGTGTTGTTGGCCGAACTGATTTAATTTCACATTCATTGCCAGCCATTGGATAGAAAAAATATGATTGTGAGTGTGAGGGGTATGGGGGGTACCGTGGTACGACCGTGGTACGACCGTGGAACGACCAAACAAAGGCGTGGAACGACCAAACAAAGTCGTGGAACGACCGTGGTTTGCCACCCCCCTAAATTGCCCCCAAATCCATCCAAATGTATCCAAATGTTGTTTTTTGCCATTTAATTCCGTGACTTCAAATTGAAACCAGGCTATTGCACAGAACTTGCACCAACCACCCAGTTCAAGAAAATTGCTATCAAAAATATTGTCTGGATTTGCATTTATTTGTTTTATTGCCCTATATGCCGTATGTCATTTGAAATTTAGGCTCAATAGACCTCACTTGGCTTTTGTGAGTGGCTTTATATAGAGCAATCAGATTGCTTCTATGGCCACAAGCCTGAAGCCCGAAATGAGGGCACTCTCGGACCCAGTCCAGGCAGCCTTGTTGAAGGCTGCCCAGAGAAAGCAACGGTGCGCAAAGCCCAAGGATCCTGAGACAGACGAAGGACTTCGGTCGTTGAGGGTTGCATGGGATGTCGTGACTGACGTATGATGCAACCATTACCCCAAACTAAGCCAATAAGTTATGGGTATTATGTTTTGGCGCAAGCTCTGCCCTCAAGCAAATTTTGCCTTTAATGGTGATGTGGCTTGATAGCGGGTATTTTTTCATGGCGAGTTTTGCCATATGTGCCATCCACTTGGGTTCACTACACTGAGGGGTGCAGTTGGAGTTTTATTTCAATGGGCCAATGGGGTAACAATTACAAGATAGTGATCACCCCAAAATTTGGGATATAAACCCTTTAATAATAAGGTTTATTGTCATGCTACCACTAATGACACTGTGCCCCCATGCAATGCAAACTACTTTGCTGTTTGCCAAGGCATCCCCTGCAGTCAGTACATGCACACACATGCACACATATTGCATCTGACTTTTAGTGAATAAAAACATGCATACATACAAGATATAAAATAACATGGGTTCTATTGCTAACTTTTACACGCGTGCAATAATATCATACGTGCATGATCACGCAATAATCCAAGCAAAAATGTCCATGAAATGCTTTTCAAACGCAGTCCCAGGATGCACAAGTGGCGTGCCCACCATCAAAGCTGATGATACAGCAGTGGAGGAAACGAAGAAAGCACTGGCTGAGATTGGCAGTCACCCACCCAAAAGGTTAAAGAGGTCAAATGAGGACAACTTCGAAAGATTTGACTCCCAGGCCACTTTAGTGCTAGGAAGCGAAGACCATCTTGATGGAACTCCCAGATATGAGGCAGCTGAAGGTTCAGCTGGGGAAAGACTTGAAGGTGGTGATGAAGTCAAGCCAAATCACCCACGAGAGAAGAAAGCCAAAAAAGACAAGAAGGAGAAGCGTAAGAAGGAAAAGAAAGAGAACAAGGAAACAAGGACAGGGAATGTGGACCGTCCCACCAAGGTGAATGCTGCTGTCTCTGAGGACGACGGCGAATGGGACGGCGAAGAACTACTTCCTCGGACGCTCGACTTCGAGAACATGGAGCTGGACATTGAAAGCGATGCCCCTGAGGACTTGGAAGCTATTCAGAGCGACTTATGCGAGACAGTTGATGACACCTTGGTTGATGACAGCTTGGCTGACGAGATGGGGGAGCCCAATGGCCAGTCGGTTGAAGAGATCAAAAAGATGCTTTACCGCGAGCTTGAGGAGACGAATAAAAAAGACCAGTCGATGGAGAAGAGGGAGGAATACAAAAAGCGATTGGCAAAACAGATTGATGAAGATGAACAGAAAGCAAAGGTGAAGAAGGAGGAGGCAGCCAAGAGAGAAAAGGAACTGATCGAGAAGGAACTCAGAGACGATGAGACCAGAGAGAAGTCAAAGGACAAGAGCCGCAAAGGAGCCAGACAAGCGTTAGAAAACCTCAAAGCACAGCTGGCCAAGGAGAAGGAGATCCGAGCAAAGGCAGACAAAGAAGCTGAAGAGAAGGAGACGCAGGCCATGTTGGCCAAAGAGAAGGAGATCCGAGCAAAGGCAGACAAAGAAGTTGAAGAGAAGGAGACCCAGGCCATGTTGGCCAAGGAGAAGGAGATCCGAGCAAAGGCAGACAAAGAAGCTGAAGAGAAGGAGACCCAGGCCATGTTGGCCAAAGAGAAGGAGATCCGAGCAAAGGCAGACAAAGAAGCTGAAGAGAAGGAGACCCAGGCCATGTTGGCCAAGGAGAAGGAGATCCGAGCAAAGGCAGACAAAGAAGCTGAAGAGAAGGAGACCCAGGCCATGTTGGCCAAGGAGAAGGAGATCCGAGCAAAGGCAGACAAAGAAGCTGAAGAGAAGGAGACCCAGGCCATGTTGGCCAAAGAGAAGGAGATCAAGGAAAAGGCAAACAAAGAAGCTGAAGAGAAGGAGAACCGAACGCAACGACCAGTTGCCACCCCCTCAAGCTGCAGCAAAACAAGCACCAGCACGCCCAGGTCTCTCAAGAGGAAGCTCTTCCTTTGAAGCAGTTGCTGACATCTTGAACCGGAAGGACAGCCAGCAACAGTTGTCTCCAGCACCCTCTCCCCCGGCCACCGTTGGCACACACAGCAACTCCACGGCCCCAGCAAGTACTGCACTCGCATTGTTGGACAGCAGCACCAAGACCCCAACAAGTGCCGCATCTGAGGTGTTGAACGGACACAGTGATGAGGATGAAAGACCCAAGAAAAGACAGCGGACCCCAGCACAACTCATCATTCACAAGCAGAAGATGAGCTTCTACAGAAGTTTGGACAGTAGGATGCTTAGACAGGAACTTTCTATATGGCACGGGTGGTATCACGTGCATGTATTGTGTCATTCAATACTTTGTGAACTCAAAAATATCTCATGCTATACAATGAGAGTATTTAATCAGCCCCGCTTCCAAATTAAATTCTATATATTATATTACCCTATTATAGCATGGGATGACCGTTACTACCTATGAGATCCAAAGGTCATATACCCAACGTGCCCATCTGTCTCATCCTAAGGTTCCAGGAGCCCTCCGGAGATCCGCTCTATGGCTGCCAACGCACGTGGAAGCATCTCGACTTGGGATGGTCGGGGATGGTTGCATATATTTTATATTAATTGTGTCCGCGCAACACCACTGAATGACATGTGATGTGAAAACAAATGCATATATTACAGAACATCCATCGTGATGGGCATCGTCCAAACTCAAATGCCATGTCAATGTCACCAAACGGGTCTTGAGATCGGTGGGAACGTTGCTGCCGCAAGGTAACAACAAGATGGACATGCTGCAGGTTCTTTGGGAGCAGTGGATTCAATCTGCTGGACAATGGGACAAGAGCGAGCTGGTTGTCCAGGCAAGGTCAACAATCAAGGGTACCAAAACAGGAGCCAGACGCTGGATGCTCAAGTCCGACATCGTTCAGAAGTATGGTGACGAATCCATAGCCGAGGAGCTCATCCGAGCCAAGGAGTCTGACCCCAAGCTTCGCCAGACCCAGGTGAGAGACCACCCAGAGCTTCCACACAGAGTTGACTTGAGGCTCTACCTCTGCTGGGACTCCAGCCATGAGAGTGACACGGAAGATGTTGTCATCGAGCAAATGCTGAACTGTGTGCAGAAGGACTCTCACGGACGTGGACGGGGCAAAGACAAGAAGTCCCGCAAAGACAAGAAGAAGCGCAAGCAAACAACTTCTTCGAGCACCAGCAGCCGAAGCAAGTCCACCAAGTCGATGTCCAGCAAGTCAAGCAAGACCAGCAGCAGCGCATCGTCGAAGGCAACGAAGGCAACAAAGGCAACCAAAGTGTCGAAGAAGAGCAAGAAAGCTAAGAAAGACAAGAAGATCAGTAAAAAGACCAATAGGAAGAGCCCTTCGCCAGAGGGACGAAAGTTGACCCAAGCACAGATTGAGAAGGCAGAGAAAGAAAGAGTGAAAGCAGAAGAGAAGGCAGAAAAAGAAAGGAAGAAGGCAGACGAGAAGGCGGACAAGAAGAAACAGAAGGATGAGGAGACTCAAAAGAAAAAAGCTGAGAGGGAAGCAAAGCAGAAGATTGAGAAAGAGAAGCAGAAGGTCAGGGCAAGTGGCAAGAAGGCGTGGGGGGTGCAGGGAACAGAATACCATGGACACAGTTTCTTGGTGTGCTATTACATGATACATACACGTACAAATGCGCGCACCTCTCATGTTTTCCCTCAAATCTCTCCCTTTGAATTTAATAGTTCTCTTGATCTTTCTGCATGTTTTCCTGAACTCAGAGACGATGCTACTATATGCAAAGATCAAAACATCATGCGTGTATAACGCAATAACGCAGATGGCAGCTTTGCCAATCTGAATGTGCTTCCAAGAAGGCTAATTTTAGGTCCCCCCATTGTTTCTTTCCTAGTTTTCATATTTTTAAATGTTACCCCATATGTTTTGGGATCAGAAACTTCCATCAAGTTTAAAAAATCCACCCTCATCAGCAATGCTGGGCCGAGGCTCTGAACCAAGTGCAGCAGGCCCTCCAGGATCCTGCAAAGAAGGAAACAAAGGTTGAATCCATGCAACCTGGGTTGCATGTGAGGCAACTACCAAGGGTCTTACATATTATTGATATGTTCTTTGTAGGTTGAATACGCTATAATATAATATAAAAGATCGAGATATTATTTACAACCGGTACATGGTTCCAAATGAGGAAGAATTCAACATGGCATATTCCCATCGCGATGGTAGTCACCAACCTGTGGAAATGTTAAAAAACAATCTACATGACAGCCACGGGGCATTGCATCCACAACTGGAGTGGGACCAACATTGCATAGGTTTCCTACAAGTTCTAAATCCATAGAATTGAATTTACCCTGAATTTGCGATCATACGTCAAGTAATAATTAATATATAATATACTATTTTAAATTTCTAGATTGGGCAATCACAAACAAATATTTTGGAGTCGGCATATTATATATACCATATTGGTGATACGAAATCATCACATATCAGATATTCTCCACAAATTGGAAAAGGTTGTACGAGACCCCCAATCTTATTATATCGTCATATTCTTTTAAGATCACGATTGGGGATGTTCACTGAAGCACCAAGATTAACTCATGGTCACCATTTGGGAACCATTCCAACCACAAAGAGTGGACCATTGGTTTTGGGGTTCACCTCGTTTGGGACGGACCCTGCTCCTAGTGGGGTACGGTTGTGTTCATTAGTGGATATTACAATCATAGGTGGAAACTGGAATTTCTGTTTTGTTGGTTTGGATGATCTCGTCAGTGAATTGCATCAATGTCACTGCCCAACCAACACTATATTTATAGTCTAGTATGTCTTGGGACCACCTCGCCATTATCCTGGGAGTCCTAGATCGTCGATGTTTTGTTTGCAATTGTTCAATCCCAATCAAATTAAAATTACATTATATAGAGCAGTTTTCCCCGTTCAAGACCGTATGGTATCGAAGCATGCATCTTTGGGAAAACACCAAACAACCAATGGTCCGCACAGGAACCTTGTGATATTTGTAAAGAGGTATGGACCTTTTGTAAGATATATTGCCAGGGATTAATCAAGTATCCCCCATAATATTTTTTATATAATTTATATATTACGTAACTGGGTTCTTGCATGGACATTGATCCCCCGGCGTTGCTGCCGTGATCTGAGGGCCGCTGGCTTCCGAGATGCAGCCAAAGCCGTGCTGCAAGAGCAGAAAAATCCCTTGAGGACAGCAAGAGCCGACCTGCAGGACGCCATCGACAAGGATGAGGTCATATTCCCAGAATGTTTGGGAGATTTCCCCCCTACACCCCAAACATGGTGCATCAGGTTTTGGGCCATTGGAAGATTGTCACATGCCAAGGGTCCTTGGATAAAATATAGATCGACAAAGACACACACACTATGGTGAATTTGCTACATAGAAATATATTTGGATTTCCTTCAGCACTGCAATTGCAATTATATGTCTATCTATCATCATGTCATGATGTTCTTGATTCAGGTTGCTGCGATCCCCGGACTGGCGACAGCTGCTGAATCGGTGGCTGCAAAGTTCAAATCCTTAAAGGATGCTGGACAACTGGGCTAAACAATCGGAGTTAGAACCTCGTTGATTGGGCTCTCCAAAGATCCATTTGCAAATGGAATGGACCAAACTTTTCTTGGGGTTGGTATACAGCTCGAAGTAGTTGTATACTATATATGTGGTTTTGCTGGCTGGACGCCCACGGAGGAGACTTGATAGAACTCAAATGTTGCAATGCTCGCATCAACAGCTAAAATTTAGTAGATGAATCTTAAGTCTCGTTGATCATAATATATAATTCTATATGGTTCCATCATTCTCGTTAGTTTTTGTGTAGATTCATATTCTTCCCTGGGGGAGTCAGTATGTGGCCAGTGGATTGGGTCGATCAAACATGACCTGTGCTATCTCCAATGAGTGGAGTCATTCTCGATTATTGCGATCATTGACTTGGGAACCTTGTGTGGCCTGCGCACAGGGATGGGACAAAAAAGATCGAATGTGCGAATGGGATATAATATATACACATTTACCAAATCAATGGTACCAAGAAGAAGTTCCCTTGCCCACGCAGGTGACAGCCAGGCCTTCGTTGCCATCAATGCGATTGATGATGTCGCTTCTGGTGTACCTTAGCATGGTGAGCAGTCGGGAGAGATGCCCCCCAAAAAAGGACCAACCATAATCCACCAGCAGATTTTTTGCGGAATCTATTGTAAGTTATGGGCCATCAATAAAAGGTATATATATTATATAGTATCACCATAGCCATGCAACAATTATATTCGTACGGATTATCAACCCACATTACAAAAGATTATAATGTTAACATCACAACTATACTAAAATTATAATAGAAACCCATCATACTGCGGAAGATAGCAAAATACTTGGTGATTTTACAAGTTTGGGATGCCAACACATATCGCACGACCTTGAGCAACATCAATCAATGTTGTTAAATTTACATGTGAGCATGAGCCAAATCTATTGATATTTGGTCCTATATACGACCTAGGTTTCCAGCATTCGCCGGGCAATGAAGGGGGTCAGATCTCATATCCATGAGCCTCAGCTGCATCATGCCCTGATTCAAAGATTTAATCTCCTATGCATGCTTTTTGTCAACATGTGCCTAAAGAGAAAAGGGTGTACTGGTCATGTGCACGCATGCAGATGTATGAAGGAAAGGAAGTCAGTCTATCTAATCCCTGTCACAAAACTTTTTGCTCTTCTGCTACCGCCCTGTGTGCTACTTGGAAAGTTTCTTTGAGGAGTCAAAGCAACACTGCCATCCGGTGACTTATCGCTCGGGGTCTCGTTCTGCACACAACGCCACCCGCGACTTCTGGAGTTTTTGCAAGATACCTGTGGTGACTTGGTTGCAAGCCTTTCTCAAAAAAATGTCGCGCATGTGTTTGGCAAAGCTTTCGAAAAATATGTGTTTTTGGGCCGGGTCTTGTAATTTAAGCCAGGAAACGGTCACAATCCGAGCACCTCTGGCAAACCCAAAGCTGGACCCCCCTTATGAGATGAAGGACTTGAAGCTTTTAGAGCCCTTCTCGGTGGTCAGATATATGTTTTGCGAAGCTGGACTTGCTGTGGACTATGAAGCTGTGAAGAAATTCTGTGCTCACCATTGGGAAGTGGGTTCGCCCTGGGCCAAGGACACCACTGCAACGGATCAGCACATTCCCTTGGGGTTACATGGGGACGGTGCCAAGATAAGGCAAATAGCATTTCAACCTGCACAGAAGATGGTCGGCATATTTTTAAATGCCCCACTATGGCGTCCAAAAAGCTGTAGGGCCTCGAGATGGCTATTGTGCGCCATAAGGGAAGAAGATTTGTACCAACATTTTACTCTGAATGCCATATACCATCACATAGTTTGGTCGCTGAATTGTTTACACGATGGGGTCTTCCCGTCCACTGGTCCCAACGGTGAAGAGCTTCAAGGAAAACAAAAAGAACGCGCTGGTAGCCCAATTTGCAATGGAATGAAATTTGCTGTCACGGAGGTAAGAGGCGATTGGCTATATCACAAACAACTCCTGCGGTTTAGATCGAGCTGGGCAGGGGGTGCAAAAGTGACAGTATGCTTTCAATGCCCTGCCTGGAACTTTGGGCCTGACCGTTTTTATGATGTGAGCGAAACTTCTCCATTGTGGATGAAGCAGTATTCTTTGATTGAATTTCTAGTCCAGCAAATGCCACATCAGGATCCAAGTGCCCAAGATGATAAGCAACTTTTCATGTGTCCAACATGTACCCCAATTAGAAGCATTGGGGATTTTGTGTGCCATGCGCAATGAACAATGCATACTATTTTTACCCATACAAGTACTCTATGGCATCCTACAGTCTACATAAGAACACAAATGTTTTGTGAAACAAGTTGCCGAAAACATGTTTTTTTTCGAAAACAAAATGTATACCCCAGGCCTTGCCCAGCTCAGGTCCTTTAATTTGCTTGCGAGACTTTCACCCCACAACTTTGAAGTATTGCTCAATGCATGTGACCAATCTTGGTATCTGCTTTTCGGTGAACGGAGGGGCACTGCAACTTAGCTTCGTGCATGTAGGGTGTTTTGATACCCAAGCATAATTTTGCGCGATCAAACTTAGAAAATACGAATATTAGCCCCCAATTGTTTTTTTTCTTGGTATCGAAAAGCCCTTTCCTTTTTGTGCATGCCACCGTGTTGTCTCATCAGGATGATGTTGGTGGAATGTGGCGTGTTTGGTGCCCGGAACCTTTCACTGCAACAACGGTTGGATTCTGCATACAAACGTTTCAAAGAGTTTTGCAAGATACGAAAGATCCAAAGCTCCCAGGCCCCTTTCACAGAAAAGATGGATCCCTAGATCAGTTCAGCAGCTGTTTTTGTTTTCGGAAAACCCACAAAAAAAAGGGTTACTATCAACACTGATTTGGTCAACTCTTGTGTCCTTGGCTGCCTTACATCGTGCATGCTTGAGGTATGCAAGAAAACTGGTGAGATGCTCTTGACCGCGAAAGCGTACAACGGCCGTTGCATCACTGAATGGTTGGCGTTTGAGCTTTTGGGGGCATCATCCAATCAGCAATTACATGCACAAGACAGTCGAATCGCTGCTGCGTCGATATGTGTGTTCCCTGGTTCATGTGATTCTTGCCTGATTTTCTCATATAGATCAAAATGCAGGTTTGCAAACACCCTGATCACGTTGTGAATCAACCGGGTGTGTTTTGAAACAATGTTAAATTGTGCCAACTGGGACCCATGATTTTCAAAAAAAACATCTCAGGGGTTCATTGGCGCGATGGTTTGGCCTCATTGAGCGATACCCAAGGTTTTTGATGCTGGGCTGAGACCATGCACGCAGTATAATGAAACAATGAAACCATGCACTCTACCTTTGATGGCTGGAATTTTACTGACTTCAGGGTGCTTTATATTAATCTACATGACTTAAGTTCGTTATCACTAACCTATTTTGGAGATTCTGTACACAGATATGTCAATATCTACAGTAAACATGGGGAAAGACATGCCTTCAGCCTGCTTAGGACGCTTCAACAAGCAAAACGTGTGTACCGTGAAGGAGCACGTTTTTGCGAGACATATCTTCTTCTGACGCACCAATCCTGCTTGCAACTTGGCCTTCTGTGTTAGAGAAAAAGTGCAATGTGCTTTATTTAGCGCTCATTTTGAAGTTTTGGAACTTCAAGCCTGAACATCAGGATGGGAAAACTACAGTTTCTTTGCAAGCCAAAAATACATGTGCCTTGGAGCGTGCTTTTTGGATCTTTTTGGTGTGCAAGATTTGTGCATAGGGTCTGACCCATGTTTAATTGGGGAGTCACATTATCATGCGCGCTATCACCCCATGGCGTTCTTATGCATAAGAAAGAAGATAAGCAGGCATGCTGTTTACATTTTTGCATGTGCAAGGCGGACGCGAAGAAACTTAGGCTTTTGCTCACCTCAACTACCAACTGCGCTTTTGGCGCTACTGGGCTGCTTTTGGCCCTATGGATCCCTAAGGTAACATTATACCAAAATCCAATTTGGTTTCTAATTTAGTGCAATTATTAATATGTGTCTGAAAATAGTGTACCCCTAAACCCAATGGTTAATGATCATTATCGATTAAATGGCTATAATTGGGAATATACCCTATTTTCAGACAAACCCATATGTTGGATTCGTCTCCACTTGCTGCATGCTTCACTCCCTGGCCCTGGCCCTTCATCTCCCACAACTTGCTGCCAAGGGTGCAATGTTCGTCATGAACACACTTTTGTAGATGAAGATGCCATGGGATGGTTGAAGCGACGCGTGGCTGAGTTAGGTTTCCAAACTTGCAATGATCTGTGTATGCGCATGTGCATGTGCCTGTGCCCTGTAGTATATAGTAAGTTATTTAATATAGTCTTCCTCCTGGGGTTCATAAAATTTTCATAAAATATTCAATTTATGATATATCCTGAGAGCCCAGAGATCAAGTTTTCAGCCCCTATGTTTGAGAGCACATCCGAGAAATGACGCTACGTGCACACGGCTCTCATCAAAGATCTTGGCTCCTCAAGGCTTCAAAGCTTAGGACGGGCGTTGAATTGTTTGCGTATTCATGTATTATCCTGGACACTGTAATACTTTTGGTGCTATTTGTTCTTTGCAGGATGCTCCATGCAAAGTTCAAGATGAAACAGCCACCAAGTTGCAATATTGATCCACCCATTTCAAGTTTTTCTTGTTGAAGTTCCAAGTTTTCTTCATGAGAACATGTTTTGATCTTTTTCAAAGCTGACAAGGTTGAACAAGTCAGCGGCGAGACGCAGATGATATCATGAAAAGGGCGCCGAGTGTGTCAGTGGTTGTGACCCTTATGGCAAGAAATTGCCAGGAAAATCCTAGGAATCAACATGGTGGCCAATCTCTGTGTATATATACTATCTCATGCCGGAAAAACAATTCTGACCCAGCATGAAACCATGATGAATGCCTTGTGCAAGATCATCCAACATGAGGCCCCTATGGTCACACCATCAGCCTGGGGTTCCTTTGTTTAGTCTAGGGTACCTTTGAATGGGCTTTACTGAAACGACTATACTAAGTATCGTGTTTTGAACCTCAGGGTATATATATTATAATTATGATATTGATGAAATTTTGAGGACTTGAGAAGCCCAGTACTTGTGGAGCTAGGAAGATGTAATGAATGGACATAGCCGTCATTGGCAGCATCGGTTCCCACAGGACCAAAAGCCGTTGCTCATTTCCATGGTCTCCATGGAATCCCAACATCCCCATGATAATACTGTAGTCACTTCCAATAGAATTACATAGACTATGACCCAATCATATAATATATGTATATATATAATATATGTATATACATATATATATAATATATGTGTATATATATATATTATCTATCTATCTATCTATCTATCTATCTATCTATCTATCTTATCTATCTATCTATCTATCTATATATATCTATATATCTATCTATCTATCTATCTATCTATCTATCTATCATACTCTATATCATATCTATCCATCCGCCTGGTCCTATCTATCTATCTATCTATCTATCTATATCTATATATTATCTATCTATCTATCTATCTATCTATCTATCTATCTATCTATCTATCTATCTATCTATCTATCTATATATATAGATATGACAGTTACATTATGTTACGTTCACTAAAATAGCCCATTACTCCAATCACGGCAGGACCAGCGTTTCATGCAGCGCCTGCAGCAATCCATCCGCCTGGTCCGCAGCCGCGACGGCCGCGACGGTGCGCCGCCGGCGCCGCCGCCCACGCAGCGGAAGTCCGCGCGCCGCGAGGCGCCGAGTCCCGCGAGCGAGTCGCCGGTGGATGAGGCGTGGGGAGATGGGGGACCGGGGTGGATTGTTGAAGATCAATTTTTGTATTAAGCAAACTTAATCATTTCTAGTTTCTTGAATTTGAAAACAAACCAGGTGAGGAATGACGTGAAACTTTACACCTCTTCTGTGACGAGCAGTTCCGCACAGTGCAGCCGCACATTCTTTCTTTGGGTCTACATAGTCGTGTCTAACTTCAGCGGATCAACCTGCTGCCTGGGAGCTTCAATGAGCTTCATCTAAAAAGATTGGGACTAACGAAGACTCAGGATGCCGTTTGGATACTCCGAGACTCGATAGGTACATCATGGCCCATAACCATCCATCAGGTGCCTGGGGCGCCGCCGCCCACGCAGCGGAAGTCCGCGCGCCGCAAGGCGCCGAGTCCCACGAGCCCCGAGTCCCGCCCCGAGTCCTGGGCCTCTGGCGAGTCGACGGTGGAGGCGTGGGGAGATGGGGGAGGGAAGTGGTGAAACAAATGGTGAACATTGATGGAAGTCCTACGAATCATGTGGGAAACTGAAGATTGGGGGAGTTGAAGAGTGTAATACGGTAACATGGATGAACAAAACCAAAGACTTGAAGCAGATTCGCTGAAGATATTGAGCAAGACGAATCGTTATGTTCTCTATATTTTGAAAAAGGCCGCATGCGATGGACAATGTATGACATGTTAATAAATGTTACATGTCTTCGCAGATACTCTGGCAGTTCTGCACGGTGCGACCGCACATTCTTTCTTTGGGTCTACATAGTCATGTCTAACTTCAGCGGATCAACCTGCTGCCTGGGAGCCATCCATCAGGTGCCTGGGGAGGCTGCTGAAGCATCACCCGAGGAAATCAGCGTTGAAAGCCCGCAAAAAGAAGTGTTGCTTGGCTAAAAGAGGCACAGAGGCGAAAAGAGGCACATATAGGTTGAGTTTCAGGAGCTACTGCTATGGCCCCAGATAGATTGAGTTTCAGGAGCTACTGCTATGGCCCGAAGATTTCCTATTGAACTATTGAACTGTTTTCTTTATCTGGGAATATTAACCTCTCTTAGTGGTTTTTGCTTGCAGTGTACATCTGGAAGATGCTCTCAAATTTTGCTTCAGAAGGCAGACAAATCTCAAGTATTCCTGCCCGTAGCATTGATAACCAAAGACAACATAGAAAGATGAATGCTGTCTCTATGGCCATTGCATACTACTTTCAACAAGTACAGATGTGGGTCTGAAAACCGTGTACCGCTCAATCTACTGGGTAATCATGGGTAATCATCATATTCCCCATTTAAATGGCCATAAATTTACACCCCTTGGACCTGGGGTGTTGAGAACAACCCTAAAATTTGGGGGTTTAAAGCCCCCATTTTGAGACTCATGGGAGTTTGGACTTTGGAGCCTGCATCACAACATGAATATCCAGGTTCGTTCGACAGGCTTCAGAGCTTTCACAAGAGGACGGCCCAGCAACTTGGCTGACATTTCTTTGCTGCTTGGAACCAAGGTCTTTTGAAGGACAACCAGTAGTGTTCACCACTTTTTTTTTCAAGGAACTACAGTACATCATTCTTCACTGGGGACTTGCCAGGATTATATATAGAATATTCATCCCCCTTCGCAAAAAGTACTGGGCTAAATAGCTAAAACAATATTGAAACAATATAAAGTAATACTTGCATCGAGATGCTAAGTGTCTCTGACACATCCAGGTCCAGTAGTGCTGCCTGAATTGATTTGGAAGTCAGTAGTGACACCGATACCGATGTTCAGACATTGGAAGTGGACAGAGGTTGCACGGTTTGACAAGTCTTGAGTTTTTTTCAGCTCGATGGACTGTTGAGACACTCAGCTGACTCTCTGCTTTTTCCAGGTCTTGAAGAATGTGCAAGTGCCAGATCCAAAAAAGGTGGTCAGGTGGGATGATGCTTGTGCATTTCCATGCCATTTGTGTATAGCAAGGCTTTTACTTGTAGTGTAGGATTCTGTTCACACTTTGGTCATCCTTGAGTTTTGGTAACTCAATCTCAAACTCCTATATCTCCCCCCTATATATTATAGATTGCATCGGAGAGTCAACACTGAAACAGCTTGTTGCGCGAAGATATTGGCTGATTTTCTGTCATTCAAATTTGAGACCTTGCAGAAGCAATGTGATATCAGTGATATCTAGAAGCAATGTGATATCTATATATATACTGTACATATATATATATACAAATCATTATCTATGAATCACAACCATGGCAAGTTCCACCTTTATCAACCCATCGACCCATCGACCCATTGACCGAAAATGATGTGATCACCTCGGAGCATCGGCCAGGTCGATCACTGCTCCACCCAGAAGGCTCAACCGCTGGCCCCAAGCTGCCGCCATGGGCGCTGGCGCCTCTCAAAGTCGGGTGCTGGTTCAAACGAAGCCCAGCGGCAAGGGAAGATATGGGTCATACGAGAAGAACAGAATTAACATAGCTATTGAAAATGACCATTAATAGTGGATTTTCCCATTAAAAATGGTGATTTATAGTGGATTTATCCATTGAAAATGACCATTAATAGTGGATTTTCCCATTAAACATGGTGATTTTCCATAGCTATGTTAGTTTACCAGAGGGTACTCTAAAATCCAAAAGTATCCAAAGTCATTAGAAGCAGATCATCTTTTTGGTAAATCAGGGTTGGATCATCATACATCATGATTTGCATCATCACATTTCCATTTTTCTTGGCCACTGACCCAAAGCCGGCAGTCAGGATTCCCAGTGCACGAATTGCAGAGTCGAGCCCTTTGCATCGACAGGAGGTGCAATGGAGGGACAGCTGGAAGAAAGGGAAGAACATGGGCTTTACCATTGATTTTTCCATTGACAATGAATCATGCTGCTTTATTGGGAGTTTAAGATGGAAACCAACCATCAAAATATAGGGATAAGGGACAACAATCAATTGTGGCATGTCACTTCTTTGACACTCAGCCTTCAGAACTTCTGTCAACAACTTACGTGCCACTGTTGACTACGCAGCTCCAACGTTTCACTATGTTTCAATCCTCTTTGGATGAATACTGTAAACTCTTGTAATGTGGCAAAGCATAGATTTGGCTTTTGAACGATTTTGAAAGCTCTTGTTTGCATCCCCGTACTTGGTGGTTCACCTCACTTCGTAAGTGGCCTAGTTCACCGCAGCAGTGGGGTAAGTAGGGGATAGTAGGGGCGATGTTTGTGACTGGGCTGTTTTACCTTGTTTTAACATGTTATAACCAGCTTGCCTAAGTGGGTTGAACCACCAAGTACCATACCCAGATCATCATCTTTCCAAAGTCCAAGTCCAGGCCGCCCGTCAGATCTCCCAGCCCTTCACGCCGGAGCCGATGAGGTCTGGAACTGGGTCAGATCATTGGAGTTTTTCACACCAAATTTCTTGGACATCAATATCATGGTAAAAAGGAGCATCTAATCGCTCAGTTCTATACTAGAGCTTCTAATTTGCTGCTTTCATCCATCCATATCCATCCTATTAGAAACCATTAGAAACCAACTTGTGACCCCTGGGGCATCATCCTCTCGCCAGGTACATCTCCGTCTCCCGGGAGGCTGAGCGTTCCCCCGTGCGCGGCAGCCCCGTGGCCCCCGTGGCGGTCGCGGGTACCGCGACGTCGCCGCTGCGCAGCGTGGTGACGACGGAGGCGCCCTCCACGCCGCAGATGCCCAGGAGGCCGCAGTGCCTTGGGTTCAGTTGCATCTTTTGGAAGCCTTGTTTAACATATTTGTTTGTATTTCTGTTATGTTGTTCGAACCCCGTTCAGATTTGTGAATCGGATATCGTTGGGTTTCAATGAATCAAAAAGAATTATTCTGGGAATACACACATATATATATATATATGTTAAACGATTGTTTTCGAAGGGTTTCCCTTGGATGAAAGTAATGGTATGTTGATTATTACCGTCTCTACGGGGACTATTAAACACGCGCAACAAAAAGAAACCAGAGAAGCTCTTCACACGCGACTATACAATCGGAGACAAGGTACTGGGATCCACCAGAAAGCCTTGCACATCTGCAGCCTGCATATTCTGCTTGGGACAAGCCAAAGCTTTTGCTTCATCAAAGCGCTGCTCACAGCAACTCGACTTTGCTGCAGGATCTGCGCAGCGGTGATTCTGCCCTTGGGATTCAAAGACCGCAAAGCCAGATACAAACGAACGTTGTGCTCATCCACTTGCACTGCCGCATTGTGTTTCTGGAAATCCTCGTCTAGAGGGCACCAACTCAAAAATAGGGAGGTTGACTGAGGTTGACCCTATAGGTGGGAGATTAAGAAAGCCTCAAGCCGAAAAATCAAATAGCCAAGCCACGGTCAGGGCACGCACGGCCTTGCTCCGCTCGTCCCCGTCCGTGGAAACATTCTCCATGGCTGCCTGGACTTCACCTGCAGTGAACTTGGCCATGGCAACCAAGGTCTTCTAAAGGAGGGCTCGTGGCTTCTGCGGAACCGCTGAGAACAGGTGAGCCGGAAAAACAACGGTAATGAACGTTAACATACGTTAATCCAACGGTAATGGCCGGAAATCAGGTATAATCGGTATTATCTTGTCATTATCGTTCATTATCGTCTATTAACGTATATTAACGTCTATTAACGTCCCGTAACGGTCAGTAACAGAGATTAACGCATTTCCACATCAAACTATTGCTGGAACAAACGGGACAAGCTATTTCTCCTCGCTTTTTCAAGTCTTCTTTGACGAATCTTTCTACAGCATTCCCGGCAGCCATTCCCGAATCAAAGCGTCTGCCTTCTGGCAGCCTGTGCCTGCACCAACTTTCTGTTTCAGATTTTTCATTTCACTGTCCAGCCAAATCTTTCTGCTTTTGTTTTTGCCGATAAATCCATTCATCTGCACTCGATGCAGCATCCATGCAGACAGCACCATCTGCGCTATTTGTGGATCTGAAGGGTCAGAATCAAAATCTCGAATTTGTATGGTTTTACTTTTGTTCTTGCTACCTAGCAAGTCAGGAGAGCACCATTTTTCAGACAAACGCGCCCGCAAGGACACAGCCGCATGAGCAGCGCAAGAATCCGCATAGTTACTGATGGAAAAGTAAGGGTTGTTCATGATCACAAAGATGCCTGGGGCTGCTTTTTCAATTGCCGCCTGTGGCGGCTGCTCTTCTTGGGGAGGCTGCGCGTCTTAAGAAAAGGACGCAGATGAGGTTTCCACATCAATTTCAATCCCCGCCTCTGCAGAAGAGCTTCCGCCAACCCATTCATCGGAACTCTCCGAATCAACATCATACAGATTTGCCTCAAAAGCTGCCTCAACAGAATCGCTTTCGCTGCTGTCGTGCTTAGATTCTTTCCGGATCGCTTTCTCCAGATTGACAGGGGTCGCTTCAGACACGTATAAACAAATTTCCCACCCTTGAATTGTGACAACCTCCATGTTCAAGCTGTAAATAGGAACCGGACCCTTGTGCACATCAAAGCCCAGGTTCCCAACGATCCCTGCGCAAAAAGAATTGCGGTTTACAAATCTTGGCAATCCATCTCCCCGCAATATATTTGGGTTCATATTAATTGTGGTGATACCCCTGGCCTAATGAATGCTCTATTATTTTGCTTTATGGAGAGATATATAACAAATATATACGGTGATTAACGTTAATTTATGTTAATAACCTTAATATACTTTATTGTATGCCTCCAACTAATGCAACCGAACTTGGGAGATCCAAATGGGACAGGGCTGCTCCGATGTTCCAACCCACTATAGTTACTCCGGTCTATCTGGAGGTTTCCTAAAATGGGAGTGCCCCCAAATCATCCAAGTCAGACCATTTTAATCAGTATTGAAACCTAGGGTTTGGGGGAGCCTGCCCCCATTTTCAGAACCCCCACATCTATTGGTAAATTTTGGCCATGAGAGGGAAATTAGTATTTTAACATACTTTAACCTCTTTATCTAGCCATTGTCCCCTATCTGGAGTGTTGGGAGCAACCCTATCGGGATTCTCCAATTAAGTGGGATTGGACATGGGGGTTAGGAACTATGGGATGGAATGATGTTCGCCCAACATTTTGAGGGAAATCAACCAGAAAAAAGAAACATATTGGGACATATGGTACCTATGGTACCAATCATTCGAGGAGATAACATATAACCAGATCAAGCGCTAAAAGATGAGATATGAGTCATAACTAAATTTCATAGGATATTAGTCATGAACAGCACTGATTGGGGTTTGGATCGGCAAACAGGTAAGGATCTTTGTCATGATCAATCGGAGATCGACAAGATATGAATGGGGGGGATATTGCCAGCCAAAGATGGGAACAGCAATCATCAGCAATCAGGCTATCAATCAAGAATCAATGATCAACCAGCAGTAATCTAGTGATTGTAACCAGCAAGAGATGGGGATATCAAATGGAACCCCAAACAGCTGGACCGGAGAGAGACCATTTTCGGGTTAAGGGAAAATCAACATATGTTTCGGGGTGTTGGCTTTGAAGATCATACTAACATCACAACATAATCCATGATTTCATGCGAGGCAAGTTCGCCAGGTACCAATGTTTTGCCCCCCCCCCCACACACACAATTGGGCTTCACCAACTGAAAAATCTGCCTGGCAACGCTGAGGTTTCCCTATTCTCCACAAGCGTTTTCACCTGCCAGCCTTCAGACTATGCCGGGTCCCATGGTGACGACCATGTCACCTGCGCGATTGCCTCCCCAAGCTTTCTCACATCTGAACCATTACACTGTGCCTCGTTTCCCCGCACAAACAACAGTGGTGAGCCCTGCTCATCGTACAGTCGTGTGGACTGTGCAGCGGTAAGTGGCTGAAAATTGTAAAACCGCAGAGTCCAAAGGTACAAGTCCTTGGATTTTTGTAGTTGGAGAGTTCAGAAGTTGCCGACCCAATTCCTTCGCTTCCGGAAAAGAGACAACTGACTGCTGCCGGGTGGTGACTGGATCTGTGACAACATGCTTTCTCCGTCAGCGGTGTCGCATCATGCGATGTTCGGCGCTTGAGAATGCTGAGACATGCGAGACACATGATCAACAATTAGCAGCCGTAGTCACAAGATGGTCACTCCTGTCAGACCTTTGCCAGCCTTCATTTGGGAAATCCGAGAATTTGTGATCGCACCACCCTCACATCAAACCATGACTTGACTCCAGCTGCCAAGTTCCCTTAAATTTTCAATTGCACCCAAAGGTCTTGGTCGAATTTTCAAGTCCACCCCAAGTTCAGTCCACCTTCAACACCAGCTTTACCAGGTATTCTTGGGGGAAAAAACATCCCCAGATCGCAGGTCCTCTGCACGTGGACACCTATCATGTGGGTCCTATGGAGGTGGACCACCAGCCCTTCGCGATGATTCGAGCTGCTCAGCCGCACTGGTTTTTTTGGGTCGATAAACCCAACTATAAATGGATGATGGTTGAAGTATGGTTCAAATATGCCATCATCATCATCATCATCATCATCATCATCAAAACTGACAGAAGTATGATGGAAGTGGGAGTGGTGTCACCTTTTTTTACCCTTCGATTTTTGCTGGTCGCTCCGTCTGAGGAGATGTCGGGTGAAGTCTTTGCATCCTTCCCCTTTGAAGGCTGGGCGGCTGGACCTAAGGCACTGCCGCATTGCAGTTGTGTTATATCATGTTATATCTATGATTATCTATGTAATTATTAATTGATTGTGTATATATATATAATTATATATATATATATATAAATTATATGTGTATATATATATATATCATATATATATATATATCATATATATATATATATAAATTGACACATGTATATATGAGAAGCAGCACCAAATTGTGCTCTTTCAAAGTCTTGACAGGAAAATCACACAGTCTCTTGATCTTCCTTGTTGACCCTTGCAACAGTCGTATTCGTCGAAACAGATCAGTAGATGGTGGCCCTAGCTCACCGGGGCTGTGAGGCATCTTGGGTTTGGCCTTCCCTTCACTGTCCTTCGGTGGTATCACGCCATTCTTTGAGACTGGGTGGCATTGTGACATTTTCTTGTACCAGTTGTTACGGCAAGTCCGGCAAGTGGGGCTAGCTTCCTCAACTGACGGTGAGCGTCAAACAAGTGCAGATGGAAGATGATGATGAGGATGATGAATATGAATTGAGTAAGAGTAGGAGCACCAGTGCCAGTACCAATACGAGTATGAGGAGGAGGAGGAGGTGGAGGAGGTGGAGGAGGAGGAGTATTGTGATGATGATGATGATGATGATGATGATGATGATGACCACGATGATGTTAAGCCCAAAGACTCACCGTACTTATAAGGTCATTGTCACACGTAGGCCAGAGATGCATCATTGCTCATACAACCTTCGCTGTTCCTTTCAAGACAAGAGGGTGCATTTGGTCACCATCAGGCAACGTTGGCATGCTGTCAACTTACCGTGAACAAACGAGTCTTCATGAAAAGGTAAAGACAGAAACGAGCCTTCAGACGTCTCCACAATGTGTTGGAGTTGCGCGCTTTGTTTCAGGAAAGGGTCATTGAAAAAAAGCGGGGCTGACGTGTTTGCCTGGAACAAGTGATGTTGGAGGCTATTATACACATTGTACATACTGTTATGTATATATAAATCTGTATGTACGCCACAAAACACACACACACAAGTTGACTTTTGTGTCCTCTCCGCCCACAAGAAGTCTTTGGCAGAAATTGTTGCTATCAAAAAATCAGTTGGCAGGCTCTTGAAAAGGAATGAATTTGCCTTCTACCTCAACGCAGATAGCCACAGACCTCAGCGATTCATGTGCCTGTGTTCCTCTTGCTACTTTGTCTACCGAAGAAGATGTTGATAATGTTCGATTGAGCCCAAGACAATGTTGGACCAGGAAAACTTGACTGACTTTTGTTTTTGGGCAAAAATTCAACATGTGTGATTTCCCTCCAGGACCGGACCGCCACCAATTCAATAATCCAGGTGTTTATTTGTCTCAAAATATCTTCAGGAAAGCTGCAAGATGCGAAGTCACATGACCTGAGACAGTGGTCATGGTGCCAAATTTCAATTCCAACAGGCCCACGACTCAAACTTAACCCTAAAAGTTGACTTTCCAGAATTATCAACAGCAAATAGACCATATTCTCCACAAGGTCCACAACAAAAGTTTACTTTCCACAGTTACACTGTCCAGTGCTACTGAGGCAGCCGCCCCAGCGCCTTACTTTGGGGTGGTGTCGATAAGGTGCCCCTGTCGATGTACCATGGGAGATCTTGATGGGGATATTGCTGTCCTCAGAAAAAAGCAGTGGGTTTAAGCGTTTAATCAGGAAAATGGGTGAACATGGGGATTTGAAGATATTTGAAGCGGGTTTTCTATCACACTTGGCCTTTTGATGGCCTTGGCTCCAGGACCTGTATGAAGGTGACATCCTGATGTTCCCCGTGAAGAAAGCGCACTACTGGGCACTGGAGTTGGTCGACTTCAGGACCACGGGGGGACCACGGTAGTTTCTTGGTCATGAAATGTTTGATATGTGGGTATGGATCAATACCTATTATTACCATTTTTAGGGGAATGAACATCCATTTACCAGCTATTTTGATGTTCACCAGGGGTACAAGGTTTTGACACACTGCCATCTCTTAAAATGGATATAGCTCAAAATGGAAACGTCAATGTGGAAATTTGATGATCAATCATCAAAATTTGGGGTACTTATTATACTTCCAAACAACTCTATTTTAAACATAAATTGAAAAATCATCGAGTTTGGGTGGTTGATCATTCTTGTCCTTTCTACCTTTGCAGGATTGGAAACCGATCTCTAATGGAGGATGAGAAGCACTCAAAGACGAAGTATTTGATCGTGGACACTGGTGATGACCTTACCGCCTCCTTATCTGCTGACATTCAGCATTCCCGTTGAAGCATTGCCTGTGGTTGACCTGTGCTGGGTGAACTGGGGACATTTGTGAGGCTAAACATTTGGTGTTTGAGATCAGCACGGGTATGCAGTCATTTTATGCTCAGGTACAACTTACTTCACGGCCCCTGGATCAATCTACGATGAGATCATTGCTACCTTGCAAGAGGAATTGCTGGCACATTTCAGTCCTCGCCCTTTCATGCTCAGAGGATAGTTGGACCGTTGGAAAAGATGTCTCACTTCACTTTGGATCCAACCAGCCAGAATGAACATTGCAGGGATGCAAGAAACAACAATGACAGTGTTTATAGATGTCCATGTTTAGAGCATTTTAATGTATTTAATGTATTTCATATAATATAACATAAGTGTTATAAGTTATTTGTTACAAGTGGTTGGTGCTTCGATTTTTTCAAGCCAGGCACCCTGCCCTCAAGTGGATTCCTATGTGCCTTTGACCTATGTCCTTCGAAGTCCGGCCTCTCAGGAGTCCCAGGCAAGGTGCCACATGCCACTGGCAGCAACTCAGGTGGTTCCGGTGACACCTTCAACCTGGAGGTGACTCAGGAAACGTGCGCTGGGGCCATCCCTTGGAACATGATTGGCACAATTGCCACAGGTCCAGCACGACTTCATCAATTTCCATACCCAGGGGTATCCTCAGTGAAACTCCAAGCAGTTCCCAGCTTCATAGGATTTCATAGGTACATGGTGGCGGATGACTCGGAGGACTGCCAGCCGGCCTTCATGAAGTTGGACCTCAAGAAGCAGCTTCTTGGCTGATGGGGGCCCCAAGGAGGCCCATGGGATCCAAGCTGCCCTGAGGTATGGTCCTGCAATGATCCTGGGGGAGGCTGGGGCTTGGGGCTGAAGTGATGGTATTTTTGAGTCATCCTGGATCTAGGATGCATGTATTCATACTCAGATGGAACCAAACCAGTGCAGGTTCATTGCGAGCAGGCATTTGTGTTGATGGTGTTGTTTTTTTTTGACTGTCAGTCATAGCCATAGCAGGCACAGATGCTTAAACAATCATGCGTTTAATGATCGTGATTTCACAGTAGCAGTGCTGGCTGTTTGCGCAATGGGGCGATATGTCTGTTTGCTGTCAGTGTATATCATAGACTCACCAGAAGCATCCCACATCCATGTTCCGCTCAGAGGCTTGCTTGAAAACAAGGAATGCTGTTAGGGTGTACCAGAAAACTCTCCCAGAATCGGGTACCGCCCAAATCATCCAAACTCCATCAAGGATCGAAATTTCTGGGTTCCATCCCTATTTTTAATGTATTTTAATGGGTCACATCCTGATTTTGTTCAGTTGAACCATCCACGTTTTCAGCAGGTCTTCATGCGCCACTTCTTCACCGTCTTCAGCCGTGGCAATGGCGACCTCACAGAGGTCGTGGCGAATGGAAATCAAGAACTCAAGCCCCAGGAAGTTAACGTTGATGATCAATCAAAAGATCCAGCACATATACACACATACATGTATATAATGTGTATATATATATATACATGTACATGTACATGTACATGTACATGTATATGATATATGATATATGATATATATATATAATATTATATATATATCAACCTATGTCTTCGTGTTTTTTGATGGGATGTTGCTGATATCATCATTTTGAGTGGGGTCATATCCCTATCCTGCAAATGGTCGAAAACTCATTATACAAAACATGCTGCAAACAAAAGACTCCAAAAATGATATACTGCGAAACTAATCCTGCACAAGAAAAATAGATGAACCTTGAGACCCATATTTTCTCGTAAGTTCACATAACTTCATAACTATGGAACATGATCCGTTTATATACATATATACATATATATATATATGATATTTCCATTAAGACCTTCATGAACCAAGGATTTCCCAAGGGTCAAAATCCTCTGACCTGGCCATCTGTTCATCCAGCAGTTGATCGAGGCCAAGGTGGGCTTTGCCAAGGCGAAGTTGGGAGCCATGCCCAAGGTGTGGCCCAGTTCAGACAGAAATGCGAGGTTTCCTAAAATGGGTTACCCTTTACCCTCTGGTAAATTAATGGTGATTTAATGGTGATTTAATGGTGATTTAATGGGATTTAATGGGATTTAATGGGAATTAGATGGGATTGATATGGATATTATACCCTCTGGTAATAATTGGATGGTTAATAGTGGTTAATAGTGGTTAATGGTGGTTAATGGTGGTTAATGGTGGTTAATGGATATTATTAGCCTCTGGTAAATTTTCACATAGACCCTGATTTTAGCGAAACAAAAACTGCAGGTTTTTGTGCAGGACAGAATGCAGGTGTGATGGGGTGCCATTTTGGCTCAAGAAACCCCACACACCTGCAAAATGAACCTTTTTTGCCTAGTTTTGCTTGGGTGTGCGGGCTGCAATGTTTCCTTCTCAGACAGCTGCCATGCAGTTCACCACCGTGACGGCGGTGAGGGAGCACTACCAACTTCCGGACCAAGTTTGGCGGTCGTTCATCGAAGTATGTGGCGACCCCAACGACGACCTCAAGCTGTTGGCGGTGCTTCCTCCAAGGATAGTGGCAGCTTCGTTGGAACGAGCTCAACTACCAGATGGGGGATATCTTTCGGCAATCCAAGCATCCCATGTGGGCCTTGTATACAACCTTGCACGTCGTATAGTGCACACCCGAGGAGGAGGCGACTGGGACAGTTGGAAGGAATCCTCCCCCTTTGGAGATCAAGTTGCACCAGGACCCGAAGGATCCAATTCACAAGGACCAGATGCGCAGGCCACCTCAAAAGCCGAGAGGAAGCTGAAGATGAACAACATCATCGACCAGGCAGACGATGGAGAATTCACAGTGCAGAACGAAGACACGAAGGCTGCCTGGTATCAAAGATACCTCGAGGTTGTTGGAGGATGGCCCCAAGAGGAGGAAGAACCCACAATGGAACAATTGTCAGGGGTGCAAAGGAGGCTGCAAATACAGGACACAGCCCCATATGTGGACTTCGCCATCTTCGTCCCCTACGGCTCGAAGGCGCTGAGAGCAAGCAAATTCAGGAACTACACACTGACGGCAAGCGGTTACACCACCAAAGATCTGCCGGGTCCATCGGGCTTCATACAGTGGAGGGCGTGCTTCCGAATTCTACGCACGACGCTCATCATGTTGGATGCGGTGACGTTGGCAGCCCTCCACAACTACGAAGCTCATGTGGAGAGGCTCACCCGAACCTTTCCCACGGCGTGGCACCTCGTATACAGTGCCGACGAGTTGGCGAGGTCGAGCCATTCGAACAGACTGAGATCACAGCTCCTCATGGACCTGAAGGGTGGAAGGACGGCCCCGAGAAACTGGGATCATGCCAGACCATGGGATTGGGTCTTTCAACAACTGGTCCTGGACGACGCCTTCTGGCAGACGCAGGTGGTGGGACCAGCCCTCACATGGCTGGCAGCAGGGAGCCGGGGCACCCCAAAGACCCCTTCGGAACAACTTGCGATGAGCTACATGGAAGGGGGCCTCAAGGCAATCACTCCAGCGGCGGACACGAAGAGACAACATTCGAGGTCCACTTCAAGAACGTGGCGAAGGAAGAAAAGAAAGAACAGACAAACAGAAGACCGAGGCTCCCCAGAGCCAAAAGGCACAGGAGACGGAGGAGGAAAGAAAGGAAAGAAGGGCAAAGGAAAGGGCGGCACAAAACAAAAGTGCTTCAGTTGGAACAATGGTACACCACCTTGTGGAGGTTTATCACCTGGACAAACGTGTGCGGGAAAAGTTCAACGCTTGCACCGTTGCACGGTCTGCAATTCACCAGGCCACCCATCGAAGTCCTGCCCAAATCGAATGCAGGAGTGAACAACCACGGAGAAGGGCATGACGGCGAAGGACAAAAGAAGGAAGAAGCGGTAGCAAAGGCGGCGACTCCGACTACAGCTACACCTACGAGACTGAAGAGGAGGATGACCAGAAGGATGAAAAGCGAGGAGACGAAGAGGACAAAGACAAGAAGAAGGACGGTGATGGGGGCGAGAACAAAGAAGAACCCATAGATGCCGATTCACTGGAGGATTACTTTAGGAGAAGAAGATTCATCTTTGTCCACCACTTCGCAGGCCCTGAGGATCCACTCACAGAAGCCATGCTGATCGAAGCATCGAAGAGAAAGGTGCTCCTCAAGACCTTCAGCATCGAGAAGGACAAGGGCACGGGGGACCTTCTCAAAGATGAGCCCTACGGCACTCACCTTAGATGGGCGAAGCGGGGCTACATTGACGCTTATCACAGCGGTTTCCCCTGTGCCACCTTCAGCAGATTGAAGTTCAGGGAGGTGGAGGGCCTACCTGGTCCAATCCGCACCAAAGAGGAGCCCTATGGGAGGAGGTCCAACACAGGGCGAGAACAACAATCATGCGACGATGGAACAATCATGGCATGCAGATCCATAAACATAGCAGATGCGGTGGCGGACAAGAAGACCGTGACGAAGGTCAGACCCATCGCAACCTTAGAAAATCCTCCCGAATCAGATCACCCTCAACATTTGTCTGCTTGGGAGCTCCCCGAGATGAAGGAGTTCACAAAGAAGAGTGGCAGGAGGGTAGCTCTGTTCAACACCTGTGCCTATCAAAATCAAACACCCGTTGGGCACAGGCACTTCAAACCTCAAAAGTTCGTCGGCACCCTCATGGGCATCGAGCAACTCTGCAAACGTTGTGGGTGCGGTGAATTTGCAACGCACGATGCTATAATAGGCCCCCAAAAGTCGAAGGAGTCTGGGAGGTATCCAGACGAGTTCTGCGAGGCCTATGCAAAGCTCGCCATTCAACATTTGATACTCATGGGCAAGGAGGAGTACCTGAAGGAGCGCATGACGAAGCTAGGGGACACCATAAGAAAGAGGAAAGCAGAAGTGGTCGAGTACAACACCCTACGACGGCCAAGCCGCAGCCCTCTGACGAGAAGGAGGAGAGAAGCAGAGGAGAAAACAAGGAGAGACGCAGATGAAGATCGTAGCAACTCCCCAGCAAGACCTGCGGGACACAACAGCCCGCCACCTATGAGGTTGAGGTCAAGATCACCAAGAAACAAGAAGGCGGAGCTGAAACCGAACCAGGACAAAGGCTGGGTCGAGGGAGAAGGCAAATACGGCTCACTCAAAGCCCAAAAGTCCAAGGCAGAACTGAGAGACCCTGCCGAGTTCGTTGGGGGCATGCGTAACCCCTATGAGACGGTTGTTGCGATGTCCAACCTACTCTCCTTGGGCATCCGAGTCAAAGCGGCCTGGGAAGCCTTCTACAGGCAGAACAAGGGCGCGACAACCGTGGCAGAGCAGTACGGCACGAAGGAATGCTGGAAGGATAACAGGCTGCTACAAAACTGGAAGGGACACCTCAAGAAGGTGTTGGGCGCCAATGCACCTCCAGCGGTCAAGATGACTCCACGGTGGGGCTACGTCTCACCTCTTGACCCGGAGATCTTTGAGGCGTGGGTGACCCGTGGCAATGACCCAGAGGTGCATGTCAGCGACTGGATTCGGCGGGGAGCCCCTCTGGGAATAGAGTCACCGATACCCACGGCCGGAATCTTCCCTCCAGCAGAAGCAAACAACATGGATTACCCGGGGCAACAAGAACTTGAAGATGCTGCGGGCCAACTCAGCAAAGGACACCTCACCAACTATTCGAGCGTCCAGGAGAACACGGAAGAAGCGAAGGTGGAGCTCGACAGATACCGCAAAGCAGGCTTCATGGTCGATGTCAAGAAGGAAGTGGTGACCGAGGAGATGAAGCACGGCACCATTAGCAAGCTGGGGCTGATCATCAAGCACAAAGCGGAAGGCATCAAACGACGAATAATACTGGACCTCCGCCGGTCGGGAGGCAACAAGAAGGCCACCCTGCCGGAAAAGTTGGTGTTGCCACGCCCCAGAGACTTCCTCAACTCCATCCGGTCGGTGTACGCCATGCAACGAGCCCATGGTCGAGACGAAGGCTACGCTCGGGAGCTTGCAGTCATCGACGTCAGCGATGCCTTCATGTCACTGGCCGTGGAGGAGAGGGAGTTGCCGCACACCTTGGCGCCGAACATAGAGAGCGAAGACTTCTACATGTTCGTAGCCTTGCTGTTTGGCTACAAGACGGCGCCACTCTTGTGGAGCAGGGTAGCGGCTTTGCTATCCAGACTCGTCCAGTCAGCAGTGCCAGGTTCAATGGGACAACACCAAACCTACTTGGACGATGCGGCCTTCATCTTGTACACGATGGCAGCCTTAGGTTTCCGCATCTCCCTACAGAAAGGGATGCGGTCCACCCAAGTCACATGGGTGGGAGTGCGGTTCACGGTCACCCCGGACCACGTCATCATCGGCTTGCCGGAAAAGTTCGTGACAGAACTGGTCGAGCTACTGGAAAGCTGGCACAACAAAGGCATGGTGGCCATCAAAGAGCTTAGACAGGCGGCAGGGAGGGTTTCATGGATGTCAGGGATCCTGCCGAGAACCCGATGGGTGGTGGCCACATTTTACAAGGTTTTGCATGAGAGGCTCAACGATGTGGCCACCGGAACAGAGGCCATCAGGCGTTCGAACCGCCAAGACACAAGGCCGAAAGACCATTTGTTCACGGTCAAACAGCTGGAACAACCGAGACAATGGCTGGTGACCTATTTGAGGGCCGCGCTGTTGAAGCCAACGCGCAAATACAAGCTGGACATCGAGAAGTACCCGAAGGCCACCATTGTGACGGATGCCAGTCCACTTGGACTGGGAGCCATCCTCCTCGTCAACAACAAGGCGACGAGAGCTCTGGCCTTCAAGGTGACGGAGACAGACGCCCACCAGCTAGGCTTCAAGGACTGCTGGAAAGAAGCCGGCTCCCAAGGCATCGTCGAAACTCTGGCGGTGCTGGTGGCGATCAAGACATGGATGAAAGAGCTGGCCTCATGCCAAGTGGAGCTCAAGGTCCAGAGCGATAGCATGGTGGCGTTAGCCGTCACCCAGAGGCTTTCAAACTCCACTTCTTCCTTGAATTTCTTGGGGGCGGAGATCGCTGTGCAGTGCGAGATTGCGGGTGTGGAGAACTTGAAGGCCTCACACATCCCAGGGGCCGCAAACGTGGCAGCCGACTGGCTGAGCAGGCCACAGAAAGAGGCCACCACTGCAATGCCCCCGGAACTCGAGGGAGTTCCGATCAGCAGGGATGAGGAGCTGCGGGTGGCAGACTATTACAAGCTGCCGACGCCTGCCAGCGCCCCTGCACTTTGGTTTTCCGGCGCTGCGGCCAATGATATCTGGGCCAGCATGCGCTGAAGTCGGCACAGGGCCGAGACTGATTCTCCCCACTTGTTCGCAAAAGGATAAACGCGACGGTGGGGTGTATCAAACACCGTGCATATGGCACAAAGGACTCACATTTCACTTATTTAATTTTAAGTTTATCCGCCTCTAGGCTCAAAACATGGAGCTGGTGCTCAGCTCACACCCGCCGCCGCCAGTGGCGACCATTGTGCCATGGACCCCAGCATATGGCTGGGTAGAGATCGGGGTCGTGTTGAGCGGCCTCTGCCTCTTGCTGACCACCCTGCTCTACTACATGAAGGGCTGCGGTCGTTTTTGTGCACGGGCAGCACAGACCCATCCGAGAGGACAGAGGGGTTGCTCAAGTTCCTCAAGACCCCTTCCAATCGCGCGGTTCCCCATGGAGGAGACAGACCTGGCGACGTTTGTAACGAGGAGAACATCGATCTGGAGAAGGCATCAGCTGGCTGGGAACGACGTTTTCCTCATGCTGGATTGAAGAACAGCACAACAAGTAGTCGGTCTCAACCCATTTTGTCACAAGGGCCAGCACCAACCGAGTTGTCGGACACAGAGGAGAACTTGACGTTTGGGCCTTTTCCTGCAGCCTATCAAGGGTACGAAGGTTTTGCCACAGGGTCATTTCCGAAGTTTCCTCCATCGCCACCACACCAGCTACGCGCCGAGGACAAAGCCACAATTGACTCCACACCCGAGAAGGGTGAGAAAGGCCCATGGTGGAGAGAACTCTTGGCTTCACCGGTAAAGCGGCTGAGACTAACAGGTTGGACTTCGCCATGGAAAGATCAGCCACCAGTGCTCGACCTACCACCTGCAAATCTTGAGATTCCCATCACAGAGGACACGAAGGTTCCATCGGCCCGAAAGCCCCGTGCAATGAGAAACAACGTCAAGCACAAGTTGGCACCGCACAGGCTTGATTTAGCACCGAGGGTGACAGGACTGGGTCGAAAGAAGTGCAACAGGGGCCAAGCGGTCGGGCTAGCCAAGAACAAGGCCCTTCGTAGCCGAGCCGTAGCCAACATAGTGGCCTCCTACTATTCCAACTCCTCCATCGCTGCCAAGAACTCCAAACGGAAGATGGTGGACAAACTGCTCAAGGCCGCAAACCTTAGCTTTCCTTTGACCCCACTGCACATCAAGACCGTTGCAGGTGCGCTCAAGGAGGCAGGATACAAATCCACCTTCTCCTACTTGATCGAAATGAAAACGATGCACATCGAGCTGGACTACCAATGGACCTCTCTTCTGGACAGACACTTCAAACTGTGCATGGCCGCTGCAAAGAGAAACATGGGCCCCAGAAAGAAAGCTCCGGAGGTCCCTGAAGACGCCTGGGCCAATCGATCACTCCTGGAGGACCCCAGCGACTTCGACACGAAGGTTTGCCTGGCAGCACATTTGTTCGCCTGCGGAGTTCACTGGATGATGCGTGAGATCGAGATTGCCAATTTGTCTGCAAAGGACATCAAGTTCGACTCGCGCAACAGATTGGTGACGGTTCTCTTCGTCAACTCAAAAGGAGATCAAGAAGCCCGAGGTGTATCCAGGACGTTGCAATGCATCTGCAAAGAAGGGTGCACACTCAAGTGCCCATATGCAGTACTGGAAGTACTGGTCAACTACGCCGGACTCAAGGGATCACCAGACGCTATGATATCGACAACGGCGAACGGCAAACAACGAGCCACAAAGAAAGACCTGGTCGACTCCTGGCGCGCCTTGTACGGCCAGGACATCGCTGGCCACTCAGCCAGGCGATCGGGTGCCTTGCAGTACATCCGGAAAGGCTGGGCAGTCAGCCAGGTTGGATACCTTGGGCGGTGGAAAAGCAACATCATATTGGAATATGCCCAGGAGGCCTTAGAATCGATGGCGGTGAATGCGGGCATAGCCTTCGGGCACTGCGACTACCTGAAGGACCCCTCGACGGTAGAGAAGGAAATCACCTCCATCAACAACCGCCAACCGATAGCGCCAGAAGCTCACAGTCACGAAGGTCACGAAGACAAACGTGTCATCGTCTCCAAGCTAGCAGCAGAACTCAGGTTATTCAAAACGGAGTCCAAGGATGCTGTCAAGGGATTAGGAAATGCGATCAAGGAACTGGAGGTAAAGCTGGGCAACAACACGAAGTATTTGCCACCAATGGTGAGATCAGGGAGATATCAAGTCATCCACCGAAATACCAAAACCCTGGTCTATGCTCACTCCGCGATGTGGAAGACGACATGCGGCTGGAACTATTATGGCTCCACCTACGAGTTTGTCGAAGGTGACGTGACGATGGTGACATGCACCAAATGCCAAGCGACCGCGCTGAGCAAGGAGGAATGTGTGTCGGTCGAAAGAGACAAATGACACATGGGTGTTGCAGCTGCCAAACCTAACAGCTGCAAATTCAAGGACACAGCAGCTGAGGCAATCCAACACCACTCAAAAGGCAGCGCCGTTGCAGTTGTGGGGTTGGGATGGATGGAATCAACTATCCCACATAACACTGCATGTGTCGCGAAACAAAAACTGCAGGTTTTTGTGCAGGACAGAATGCAGGTGTGATGGGGTGCCATTTTGGCTCAAGAAACCCCACACACCTGCAAAATGAACCTTTTTTCCACACCCACCCGCCCTTTTGGGTGAGGAATGTGTGTCGGTCGAAAGAGACAAATGACACATGGGTGTTGCAGCTGCCAAACCTAACAGCTGCAAATTCAAGGACACAGCAGCTGAGGCAATCCAACACCACTCAAAAGGCAGCGCCGTTGCAGTTGTGGGGTTGGGATGGATGGAATCAACTATCCCACATAACACTGCATGTGTCGCGAAACAAAAACTGCAGGTTTTTGTGCAGGACAGAATGCAGGTGTGATGGGGTGCCATTTTGGCTCAAGAAACCCCACGCACCTGCAAAATGAACCTTTTTTCCACACCCACCCGCCCTTTTGGGTGAGGAATGTGTGTCGGTCGAAAGAGACAAATGACACATGGGTGTTGCAGCTGCCAAACCTAACAGCTGCAAATTCAAGGACACAGCAGCTGAGGCAATCCAACACCACTCAAAAGGCAGCGCCGTTGCAGTTGTGGGGTTGGGATGGATGGAATCAACTATCCCACATAACACTGCATGTGTCTCACCAGTTTTTAATGGAAAGTAGTCTTCCAAGCCCGATGACTGCCAGGGTCTATGTTAATTTACCAGAGGGTATTGTCAATGGAAAAACCAATGGTTTGGGGTACCCATAGTTTAGGAAGCCTCCAAATGAATCCAATTTAGAGATGTTTCCAGATGTTTGATGGTTCATTGAAGGGGAAAATTTGCTGCATTTATGAACTCTCAAAAAAGAACATATAAAAACCAGTGGGTCAAAAGATCGCCGGAAGTACTGACCAGCGATGGGAGCCAGGTATCTTCCAACATCGGATCACTTGTCCAGATCCAAGAGGCACCTGCAGATATTTTTGCGTTTTTTGTTCGCCAGTCCAAAGAGGTTGGTTTGCTGCTACGTCTCTGCTTTCGTCCTGGAAGATTCCAGCCTTGCAGAAACAACATAGCATGGTATAGCATGGACATGATCATGGCGAGAAAGTACATGTAGCATCATGTAGCATGACCATGCTCAAAACAGGATTTGCCAGTGACCGAGAATTATTTTGTCAAGATTCTGGTTTCTGTTTGTAGAAACTTCACACTGGCTAGAGGCCTGATGGTCAATCTGTTGCGAGGCGTCGTTGATGCGTAGAAACCCCGAACGTTGATTCCGTCCGCTCTGAGAAAAAGGGAACCGGACCATGATCGCTTCCAGTTGTCGTGGGTTTTCACTGAAAGACCTGGGTCCAGGACCTGGGTATCCAGTTAAAGCTTAAGAATACCCTTTCCACAGAGAAACGGATAAACTAGAATTACTGATCATTCTGGATTAATCCACAGATAGTCATATCAGATAATCCATGGTATTTTTTTCAAAACATTTTTTCCTTTTGTATAATATATAACATCATATATGTCATATAGCCTTCATAAAGTATACGTTTTACACATAATAACATATATAATATGACAATATCATATGTAATAAATATGTCATTTAAGCAGATATACCAAACCATCCACCTTTTTCCACCCTGCATATTTTCGGCTCACAGCTTGGGGACTCCGCTTAACATGGCGGACGCCACGGTGGATGCAAGCGCCGTGGAGGTGAAGGCGAGATGAGTTTTTTGACAGGCAACCATCATGGTGATTTGTTACAGGATTCCATGGGATTTACACGGATTTTTCACGGGATTTTTCATGGGAGATAAATGGAGATAATGGGGATACAATGGGAAATATACTGTGATTAATATTGGATTTGAATTGGAGATCATGGGGATACGATGAACATGTGGGAAACATGCTGAATGAAATGATGGGAAGAATCTGGAACTGATGAGTCTTACCAAGAAGAAACGAAAAATAGACAAATGATGAAGAATGAGTCCATCAAAATTTGGTTAGAGCATGAAACCATGGTGGACATCAGCTTTCTGTATCTTTCTGTGAAATCGAAAATGCCGCTGCCAGGTAAAGACTGAGAAGCCCACAGACGGCGATGAGGTGAGTGATCCCTGGGGGACGGGGTTGGACTGGGTGCATGACCACACTGTGCGAGTGACTGTGCGTCAAACACAAGGTCCCAAGGTACCATAGAGAGCCAGTCTTCCGACATCCCGTGCAGGTCGTAGCAGATCCTGCCGGCTTTTTGACGGGCACAGTCAAGATCGAGGCCTCAGCTGGCCAGTTGTCCACTATGAAATCGGTTCAACCTCGGGTATGGGTAATGTGGATTCCCCCCAAAATGGGATGGTTATTCAAAGAACAACCAACAGTAAACAACATGTCTCTGGCCCCCTCACTCATCATGTTTGGTCCCCAGACATCCCCGGAAAAGTTGCACAGTTCACGTCTCCAGGATGGCACCACCATCAAGAAGGAGGACTTAGATGCGAAGGCAGGTGGGACGAGCCAAGTGGCATTGCAACTGGCTGAAGTTGAGACTTTCAGGTGAAACAGGAGAAGAAGGAGGAGGAGAAGGCTGGGTCTTATCGTCCAGCATAGAGGTTTTTGGAAATACATGGAAATACAACTTGCGAAGTACTAGTATCAAGCAATCACGCAAATTTCATGGAGCAGTGAACCTGAGATTTTGTAGCATGAAGACGGTGCGCATTTATTTGCCGTGGATGTTATATTCTACAAAGTGCCGACTTGCCAGGACATCAAAGTCGACGCAGTGAAAGGTGAGGGCGTCAAGGGAGAGGGTGTCAAGCAAGAAGGCAGGTTCCGGAATTTCTTGGGCTGCCAGAATGGCGTCATGATTGCAAAGTTCTTCTCCATGTAGGACCCTGAAGGCATCTCTGTACCTGGGCAGGAAATGTCAAGCAAGAAAAGATGAGAAGTGAAGAAGATGCGCCTTGGACACCTCGTTGAAGAGTACTATTAATTACTGCAGATCAAGTCAATATATTTATCAGAGTGCGACGTTTAACGTAGTAATATGTAGTAATAATATCAATGAAGATGTCGGGGAGCAGCTGAATCGGTTCTTTAGCATCCAGCAGGGTGGTACCATGGGGGACAGAATCCAGGACTAGTAACACTTAGTAGATCACAAGTCTCCACCAGACTGCTATGTGTGGCTGAATAACTTCCCTGGATCAACAGCTGATGAATGTGGAATTCTTCTTTAGAAAGCCCTAGTGATAGCGATGAGGTGAAGAACGAAATGAAGATGGAAGGAACGAAACGGGAAGACTTCTATGCCCTTGCCACAAAGGGAGAGGCCGGGAGCCCTTGAATGCTGTAATCCTTTGACATCTTGGGTCCAGCCTCCAAAGTGGTATTGGATTACTATGCATCCTGCTACAGTGATTTGGAGGGTTTGAAGCTTGACACAGAACGGCACAACATGCGGCCGTTTAGCGGATAGATGCAGACTGTGCTTTGGGGTGCTTCAGTTGCCGTGTTTGCAAGTTTCATGCCTAATACATCCGGAATCCCTGGGAGATGAACCAGTCAAGAGATCTGACTTCTTTATTTTTGCCTTGAAGGATCTTGAAGGACTACGATGAAAAACGAAAAACGACCACAGATAGGTCTCAGAGAGGCCATCATCTTCCATTCCTTTGCTGCCAGGGGGCCAAAGGCGAAGTGAAAGGTGAGACAAAGGGCGAGATCAAAGGTGAAGGTGTGAAAGGTGAGTCGAAGCGAGAGAGGCCCGGAACCATTGGAGCCATTGGAACCATTCGTCTATGATCAGCA